TAGAAAATCATACACACGTACTCCCGTTTACCCGTAACGCCAGGTTTTTCCCTGCCTAATTATACTTCCATGCGCCCCCGCCAGTGGTAAGAGGATCTTCGTAACAACGTCGCACGTACAACTGCACACCTAATGAACGCGAGGGTATTTTTTTTTTTTTTTTTTTTCACTTTGGATTCTATCGCTGCAAAGTTCACTCTCTTGCGCTGCAAACTTTCTCGGCTTACTTTGAGCGCGTAAATATCAGAAACGAGTAGACACGCATGAGAAAGAGAGGGAGGCTGGTAAGCAGTTGGGAAGGCATTCATCAATTGATCAAACGGGTCTCGCCAACCTCGGCATCGAGTTCGAAACTACACAAAGTACTACACGTATGTATGTTTACACCAGTGCCATTTTGGTTACCAACGATTCGAATGACCAATTCTCACTTGCTTCGTCTCGACTATACGAATGGATGTTCTCTTCCAAAGGGGGAGGCAAGGACAGCGCAAGCGACGCGTTCGGGGAGCCTAACTAGTTTTTGGGCCGCCGTTAACTCACGGTCTGGCCGTAATAACGGCGCGACGAGGCGAATCGTAATTTTCGGGCGTTGGGGAGGAGTCGGTCGCGAGAAAGAGAGGATGCGCTTGGATATACGTGTAGAAATCGAGAAAAGTCTGTCTCGAGCGCCGCTGATATTTTGGTCATTTGTCGTGTAACCCATAGCGTGTGTTCGGGAATTATTTACGCTGTAAAATTTTAGCACGAGTGAAAATGTATGTTTGCGAATGTCATCGAACGCGTTACGTCGTGTAATTTGTGTAGGGCAAAGCTCATCGACCTATTTGAAGCCATCAAATACTTGTTTGTCTTAAATTTCGTTCAAAATTTTTTTTTTTTTAATTGAAAAAATGTATGCTCATTGATAGAAAAATATTTTTCATGTATGTATGCTTAATTAAAATATTGAAAAAAAAAAAAAAATTCATGGAGTAAAAATGTTTTTTCCAATTATATAACTGAAAAAAAATATTTACTTTTTTTTATTTCACATAAAAAACAAATTTTTGTCGTACAGCTGTTTATTTAACTTGTATCACGCAATACACGCACGTTGTTGGTTAAATACCCTTCTGAAGCTGTGATCTTCAAAGGAAAGCCACGAAAATCCATAAATTTTTGTATTTTTCGATTCCGTAGCTTTGTTATTTAAAAGCCATCATGGCAGAGGAAGTGATCAAACTAGACGAGCATATACTTTTTTTTGTGCTTCCTCTCGCCGAAAGGGTAGAGCTTTTGTTTGGATCCCGAAATCCGAAGCCCGCAAAGTGCAGAGCCGAGTCGGAGCGTCAAAGGACACTATTTTTTTTTTTTTTTTTTTTTTAAGGAAAAACGATAATCTCTGCAGCGACTACACGCTCTTTTCGGTACGTGGCTGATCCATCCGTCGCGTGTATCGTACCGAGGCGAAGGGAAAACTTGATCGGCAGATTTTTTAACGGTACGATGCATTTAAAGAAAAATCCAATTATACGCAGATTTTTCAGACAGACTCGATGAGGTATTTTTATCGCTGCCAAAAAAGCTAACGGTTTCTAAATAGTTTCTTATTATTTTTATTGCCTAGTCAACCACCGAGTCAATTGTTAAGAGAGAAAAAAAAGAAATAGTTTGATTCGTTATATCCTGGACAGAAAAAAAACGTAAATGGTCAAAGAGGATTACAATCAACACATTGGTAGGGAGGAGCAGCTATCCTAATCCGGAAGCCGAGAGAGTATGACACGCGGATCCTAGAGTCGGTGGAGCGTCTACGCGTGCAAATGTCATCCGGGGAACAAAAGTTGGCCCGGCCCTTCCATCAGAAACCGGATGCCCTTGTACGTGCGAACGCTGGGCTTCTGTGCTCTGACATTGTGAATTTTAAGTTTTTTTCTCTCTCTCTCTCTCTCTCTCTCTCTTTCCGCGTTTCCGAGCAAACAATTGCGTTAATTGGACGAAAAATTTCCATCTGAAAAGCAACAACCCAAACATCTTGTAGCCCAAGAGGGCGTACTATTTTACATCAAACTGCATTCTTGCAAATGCAATAAAGACGAAGAAAAAAAAAACGCTCGTGTACGATAATTAAAAATGTTCCCCAACGCAGTAAAAAAAAAAAAAGAAAAGCACCAACAGTATCTTTAGTGCACAGTCACGGGGAGGATAGGTCGTTGGTGAAAAATTTCACGTACCCGGGTAGGAGGGGGATGGGGCAACAGTAGCAATTGTTGCAGCAAAATAAAATATACGAGGACGACTCTATATATGGTATGTACCACCGCAAAAGCACATCAGAGAGAGAGAGAGTTTGTCTGTTTGTCGGCGAAGGCGTTTACAGTTTGTTCTCTCGCAACCCCTTATCGCGCCTCCACGGTGCTCGTATACACAGGTAAGTATACATACAGTGCGGTAAAGAAGTTTTCCCAAGCAACAACAACGGCAGAGGTGCTCCAAGCCCCACGTGCCGGGAAATACTTATAAGGCGTTGCGAGGCTCAACTGCGCGTATCCGTGTATTGTGTGTATACATATGTACACAGTAACGCTCCGTTGCGGAGAGAGAAAAGGCGCCACGTGCAGCTGCGTCTTGAATTAGACTTGGCCGGGGAAATCTAATTGAATGAAGGCCGCGTTATTTTCTCCGGCTCTTGAATATATTCCCGCTCCTCGCAAGCGTAGCTCGGGTAGCTTTGTTCATCAAATTATCTGCACTCACCCGTCCATGGTATTTCTTTGAAACGTCGCTTTTTTCTTTTTTTTTACCTTAAAATCGTCCTCGAGGGGCATACATCTACAAGGATCAAAGTACAAATTGGCGCGCCTTATACATTATTTCGTATACGAGAGACGGAGTTAAAAACTTTGTTGCGCGTAAGTACACGAGCCGGGGAGCCCCGGACGATAAATAACGAGTCGCGAGTACCTGTGTACTCCTGTGTATGTATATGCATACAGCCTCCAAGTCCCAGCCAAGGAAAAGCCAGATTTGGTCGGCCCGAGCGTGTTCTTAGGTGCAGTAAGTATCCATCGATTAATCCGATACAATAAATTAAGAGGGGTTTGCATATATATGTAGCGCGCCGATTAAGGGCCTAACGAGGCCTAGAGCGTCCCCCGAGTCACCCGCGGGACTCCAAAGATTAATCCCCCTCCGGTTCCGGGGACGAAACGGAAAGGGACTATCGCGCCGATCTCCCTCTCAAGGGGGCGGGGAGGATTATCTCCCGCGTCGAAAAAACAAAAAAACAACGCGTATAATCGCACCTACACCCCGTGCACTTGGGGTATACGTGTAATTGCAGTTGGTATACACGCGTATAGGCCTGGATTGCCGCGGCTTCTTCCGGGACCAAAAAGCACCGCCCTGAGGTTGAGCGCTTCCTGGCGACCTGCCCTCTCCCACTTGGCCGTAAATCCAATGTCAGCTATCTCGCCGGCTCTTTCTCTCCCGAATTTGTACTTTTCTCGGTCCGTACGGGAAAATGAAATAAATATGACTACCGTTACGCAATCGTCTCCTACTTTTTGGTTCCTCGTTGTCGAAGTAAACGACGGCGACCCGTGAAAAAAGCCCTCCCCACCTTTCATTAGAAGCGAGCCGTACCCCCGGCTTACCCGGGCGTAAAAGTCTCGGGCAGCCCCCCGCGACGACGCTGACTTTCTTCGAAAAGAGCGCGAACTTTCGACCACTCCCCCCCCCCCCCTTCTCCTGCTTTTGTCCCCATGCTCGACTTTCTTCCGGAACGGCCCCTCGAAGCAGTTCTCGCGAAACTTTTTTTTTTTTTCTTGCGCGATAGCATAAAAAATGAACTCCCGCTTGTTCCGCTCTCGCGAGTGAGTGGATGGGGTGGAGATGTCCCCGGCAAAGTTTTTCAGCCGGGCAGGGAGAAATCAGAGCGAAGGGAACTTTGCCGACTAATTTTTTTTTTTTTTTTTCAACCCGGCAAGCCACGACTTTGATTTCTCGAGCCATCTCTTTACCGCAGTCACCCCCGTGTGTATCTTCGACTGTATACGTGCAGGGTACGGATTAACCGGTCGCCATGAATCCCTAATTATATTCCTTGCGACTTTTTTTTTTTTTCCCCTTCCTCCCCCTCAAAAGCAGTCGTTCGTGCCGTAAAGCATGTAACAAAAGCGGATGAGGGAGTTGACGAGCGAAAGCTCACTTAAACGCGGCGCTTAAAGGTGTAATTAAAAAAAAAAAAAGACTACACGCTCTTTTCGGTACGTGGCTGATCCATCCGTCGCGTGTATCGTACCGAGGCGAAGGGAAAACTTGATCGGCAGATTTTTTAACGGTACGATGCATTTAAAGAAAAATCCAATTATACGCAGATTTTTCAGACAGACTCGATGAGGTATTTTTATCGCTGCCAAAAAAGCTAACGGTTTCTAAATAGTTTCTTATTATTTTTATTGCCTAGTCAACCACCGAGTNAATAAAAAAAAAAAAAAAAAAAAAAAAAAAAAAAGGAAAAAATAATGGTTATACGTGCCGAAAACCGTATCTATAGGCATCGGAGCTTTACGTGGTGTAGTCCAGTGTGAAAGTATATAATAAAATGTACGGCTCATTTTACACACATACTATATTACGTATACACCCGGGGGGGGGCTACAAGGAAGGAAAGGGGGATTAGGACGCGAGATCCTGATTACGGCGATGAAAACCAAAGCACCCACGCGCTGACCTCAACGCGTTTATGAAAATATTGCGCAACCTCCCTCCCACCCTCCTGGAATAATTATTATACCTTGCGCAGCGCTGGTCGGCGGACTTTATTAAATATAAACCCGAGCCGGGTATTCTTGTACGCAAGTTTGAGGAAACGATGGTGGAAAGGGTGGGAGGTTTTATTTTTCACGTGCACCTTTAGAGGACGGGTCATAAGAGACATAAGGGATGGTGGATTAGCGTTCCGTTGTTGTCAGGGGAGGGGGGGAGGGGTTAAATAAATTCAAATCGCCCCGATGTAATGCTGAATTTCAAATTTTATTCCCTACACAAGTACATATGGGCGTTTCATTGTACATCTTATCGTCTCTAATGCTTTTGCGTTTGTGTGTATAATAGCGCGGGGTTTTGCTTATTCACGATGAGTAGCTTACATACGCGCACGCACACGATCGCGGCCTAAAGAGCTCTCTGGTTATTCGTTGTGTACTACACGTGTATTATTAATATAACCCGTGGCTCGGAGCTTTACACCGGCTTTTACACAACATGCGCTTTTTACACTCAACGTTAGGTGTGTTTCGTGGCTATTTACATCGTTTCGCCGTTTTATTGGTTTTTCTCGCAACTCATGTTACTCATTTTTTAATACAAACATCAATTAGATTCCTACGTCTAACAATGCCGTCTGTCAAAGTGAATCGTAGCAATATTGTCTATAATATATTTCACGTGTGAAAACTTGACTGCGAAATCGGATACAATAAAAGCTGCGGTCCAAATATTATCGGTGCGATCGGCAACTTTGTACAAGCTAAGGGATGTTTGTGCATCCATCGAAGCAGTGCATGTACACCGAAAAGCGCGAAAAATATGATAACAGTCCCATCGCCGTTTCACTGTTACTTCTGTACACCGCCGATCGTCGAGTCCCAACTTGCTCCTCTCTCGTCCTTGGGGACAACCGTGGCCGCTAAGAAGTTTTCGGCAAAGTTCCCTGTACACACGACAGCAACGAGCCGATGCCGCAGGTAAGGGGCCAAAGCTCAGATCAGCCTGTCCCGGCTGGCGTAGGTGTGCAACGCCTCGGGCTCCATGGGCGACTCGAGGCTCGACTTGTGCCGGTGGCGCCTTCGCGGCGGCGTCGGCACGATCAGGGGCTCCTCGATCGTCGTCTCCTCCGCCGAGCCGAGCCGCTCCGTGTGCTTCGGCACCTCCCCGCCACCATCTGCGGACGAGAGCAAAATTTCAACCTCCACTCTACGCTCCATGTAAGAAAAAAAAAAAAAAAAAAAAGGAAAAACGCCGAGCGAGCATACAAACGTCGGAGGTAAGGGACGAGAGTAAATTATTCATTTTGTTCGGGCACGGCTCGAAGGTCGATTTCGACCTCGAGAACGACCGATGACGAATAGCTGTCATCTCGCCTTGGCGTCCTCTGTATTATATACATATACACACCCGAGTTTTTGACTCGACGAATCTCTACGTAACTAGCGTTATTGTACTTTGAAGCTTTTGAGTCACTGAATCGCTGCATTTTCAATTGTTGTAAAATTTTTGGAATTTTTAAGTTCTATATTGATTGGCTTTTGGGTTTTCAAGATTCTGAGTTTTTTTAGGATTTTTGGGTTTCAGAGTGTCATTGTGTCACCCGGTCGGGGCTGTACCGGAGCTGCTGCTCATATCCTCAGCCCCATCGAGTTCCACGACCGAGTGATGGATGTCCCTCGTTTTTCCTCCCAGGTATATACGTATACACGAACGATGCCCAATCGAGTTCGACCATCGATAGGAGAGCCAGTGTAGGGTGACGATAAGAACGGATCGCTCGATAGAGCTGTAGTGGCCTCGGATACTTGAGACGTACAGATGCGGGCGTGTGTGGTCTGGCACTAATTTGAACGTAATTTAATCGTATATTTTTTAATTGCAAAATTGAAAGTATTTCTGAATAAATGTAAAAACAAAATACAAACGAGTCAACAAGTAGTTAAACTTGAACCACAATGACAATAATATATAAAGACAGCCCTTGAAAAACTGTCCAGCTGAGAGGGGAAGGTCAGCGCGCAACTTTAACCTTAAGTTTAGTAGGGGCAGCGGAAAGGCGATTGAAATTTCATCACGCCACAATTGAATTAACAGGCGGACCCGACACCACGCATGCCTACATGTATATAGACACATGCGAAGGTACTTGCAAATCGCTTTCAGCCCGTGAGCACCACAAAGAGCAAACAACACGCGCAGCGTCGGTTTGAGTGGCGGCTGATATCCACACACACACGTCCACCTACCTAACATTCACGGGGCGCATCTCTCGGAATGCCGTAATAGCATACTTATTGGCGAGATCGTAACAACGTTATGATTTCCGTAAGGCAGCAACATCAGTCGTGGACGTATGGGTATATATATATACATATGTATATGTACACATCCAAAGGAGAAGAGGAGATCCGGCAGGTACATAATAGTATATGCTCTCTCTCTCTCCGCTGAGTCGCTTCTTACAAAGCTCTACCTATACTAGCTGCCGTTGGACCCTTGCAATAACACGCCGGAGCGCATTAACGGTAATGGGCGCAGCGCATATCTCTCTCTCTCGGCCGGTAGTCCTCTCGCGCCTATATCCTACATATACATGTACCGATGCTTACAAGTGCACATGAGTGTCTATATGATATTCTGTATATATATATAGTGGTTCTGATGTGCAGCGTCAGCGAACGAGAGAAAGAGCATCACATAATACACTGCATAATACATACGCGCACATATATATATATATATATATACCTACAGGAGAGTCAGCAAAGAGTGCACAAGTGTANAAAAAAAAAAAAAAAAAAAAAAAAAAAAGTGGCCACCGAACCGTGGTCGTCCAAGAAGGGGTTCGTCCTCTCGAAGACCCTCGGGGGTTGCTCCCCAAATGGCAGGGGCCGCTTCACCGGGACGATTCGCGGCTCGGACTTGCCTCCCTCGGTGGCCTCTGTCGGGACACCTGGAGAGCCCGCCTCCACCGACAGGTCAACGAACCCGTTGACGATGCCGTCCCCAATCTGAACGAGCTCCAACGCGTTACTTCACCCTCCCTCTCTAAACCATAAAAAAAAAACTTACCTCCCGTCTCTTGACCTCCGGACTCGGCGAGGGCGTCGCATAGTCCTCGAGCTCGCTGGTCTGTCTGTCCAGCCGGCGAGGCTCCTCGTCCAACTCTTCCACCAGCATCTCGCGCGGCAGCGACTCCTCGGATATCGTGCGCTGGATCACCACCAAACCCGAAATGTCCCCATCGTTGCCTGCATCTGTGTACAAGGAAGGTGTGCATATGTACGACAAGCCCCCCTGAGTTGATTTATATTGTGTGTACATGTACATACCATTGGGGATGATGCCGGAGGACGCCTCGTGGAAATCGGACGAGCTGGCCTCGGTGAGGGTAGCGCGAGTGTCGCTTCGCGACGCGTAGCCTCCGTCGTCCTCGCTCCTGGGACTCGCCGGCCGGTCGACGTCTTGGCCCACGACGACGAAGCTCCTGCTCGGGGCTTTTGGGGACAAGTCACGCGAGTTTTCCAACGCCGATCTGCAAGGGCATTGTCTTTCACCGGCCAATCGGTGCTTTTGCCTCGTAAAACAACAACAACAACAACAACAAAAACTCACGGGTGGTTGTTGGCGAAGCTCTCGAAGGCGGCGTCGAGACTCTGGGTGGTGGAGGCTTCGTCCTCGTCGGTCACATCGGCCGAGGCGGTGGTGGACACGGGTTTGACGGGTGTTGAAGTTTTGGCGTGAAACCCGGTGTCCTCGACCGGATGAAGCTGTACCAGAGACGAGGAGGTGTCGGTCTTGAAAATCGAGTTATCCTCGACGCCGGTGGTGCTCGGGAATAATCCACCCTCGGGACCACTCTCCCCGTCCGATACCTATACGCGAACACACGTACATATATGTACAATACAGGGGAGCTCGGCACGCGCTCCGATATAAACTTTCGGAATCCGGAGGACTGCGCGGCAACTGACGCCCCCCCCCCCCCACCTCGAACTTTTTCTCACGCGTGCCCCTCCAAATGCAATTTTAAATAGTTTCCCCGCTCGTGAGATATATATATATATATGTACGTATATACGCTCTTTCATCCTATATGAGAAAAACTTTTGTGCAAATATGCAGCAACAATAAAATGTGTACCCCCACCTCGAGCGAAACGGAGTCTCGGGGCAGGGAGCTCGTCTTTTGCCTCGGCGGTCTCTTGGCGCCTCCTTCCCCCATCTCGGCGGGTGGATCCTCGGGCAAAAGCTCAAAGTCCACGACGTTTGGCAGGCTAGCGGCGCTCTGGCTCTTTGGTTGTTGGGCTGCCGGCACCGCCTCCTCCTTCAGCAAGCTCTTTTCGATCTATCGGTCGTTGTGGGGGGAGGGACAAAGAAAACATTGTATATATGCGATGTGGTTAACGGAGCCTCGACACCGACCTCGACAAACTCGTCGTCCGAGTTGGCCTCGTTGGTGCTGTTGGTGGGTTGATCGGCAGGTCCCGTCAACAGTTCGGGCTCCGACTCGTCGTTTGCTTCGCCGGGCGGCGAGCGCATCTCGTGCCGTCTGCGCCTGCGCGGTGGCGGGACCGGTAGTGCATCACCGACGGCCTCCATATTCCTCGACGCACCGATTTTACCTGAATTTTTTTTTTTTCTCACATCATTACCTCGGAATGTATACAAAAGTACACAACTCAGTGCAGTATAGTAAAGCAAAAAAAAAAAAAGAAAAACGAGGGTATTTATATATAATTATGTATAGATACCGTTAGAGCCGGGTATCCCAGAGTCGGTTTGGTGTAGCTGCCGGTAGTGGCCCGAGCCGTCGAGCGCGACGCATGGCCTGGGGGTGCAGGGCACCTCGAGATTAACGTCGACCCACTCGCTCGGGTGGAACGGCCGGTCCACGGAGTCGATGCTGTGGCCGCGCTGAAGCGGGCGACCGGCTCGAGGCGCCGAAACCGCTCCTCCTCCCGCGTACGCGATTTCCGAGCTGCTATTTCGTGGATACACCGGGACATACACGTGTTATAGTACATAATTATTCATCGACACTTTTTCCACCACACGTCCAATATATCTTAATAATGTAATCGCAGGCTTTTTTTTTAACGTAAAATCAAAAATACCCCCAGTGTGTTTTTTTTTTTTTTTTTCAATGTGCATAAGTATACAATAATCAAATGATAAAAACAAAAGAACCCTCGTACATTGGGTGGATTGTGTATTTGACGTGTATTGATCGGTGTTAATTTAGGAGCGTATAATTTTGCGAGAATCATACACGTAACGACAAAGTATGTGCGAGCGTATAATTAGCTGCGGGGCCATTTAAGCTGTGTTGGTAATGCGAAAACAAGCAGGCCCCGTGTGTCTTTTATTGGGTCCCGAGTAATTACGCGCTATAAATGTATATAGGTACGTGTGCAGAGCTGCGATTATATTATTATCGGGTCCAGCGATCGATTCTCCGCGCACTATACCTGTATGTATAATATATATATNGCTCCAAAGGCCCATATATATGCATTGGCTCGGCTTTTTCCGCCACTTGATCTTTTTTTCTCCCCCCGACCGGCCGGATTGATATGTTGTTGCGCATATCATGTGAATATATGTGTGTATATATATATATATATATATATATATATATATATATACCGTAGCACCAATAATAACGGATATACATATTCATCGGATGTTAATTCGCCGGATCGACTGCAGCGTTTTACATAGTATAGGTACCCGTACACACAAGTACTCGTTGCTCTATTAAGGTGTATGTATACACTCACTCGTAGCTATGTATAGCTGTGCTGGCATGGTACAAACGCCTGACCAAATTAACACTTTGGTGGGTTTCGCGGTGTGCAACACTCCCCCTTCGTTAAAGCACCAGCTCCGGATATTATGTACAAGTGTATATACACTTTTATGCACGCGTACTAATTGCTCGCCGTAAGTCGATTGCTCGCGCTTTGTACTTTTCACGAGCGGAGCTTTTTACCCCTTGCTGTTTGTTTGATACTGATATCGCAGAGTCGGGGGATTTCGAAATTTCACAGCGATGATGATTTTCGTTGGACCTTTTTGTACTTGACGCGTCGAGGGATTTTTTCTTTCTCGATACTTAAACAGCTTCGCCCACGCTCGAGCGTAAACTCGAAAGATCGTTCTCGCGCGATAAGTATCCCTGACTGCGATCCTTTTACAAATAAAAAAAAAAAAAAAAAAAAAAAAAAAAAAAAAAGGAAAGTTGGAGGCGAATGGCTTTTTAAAAAGCATCGGGACCCAAAAAAGAAACAATAGCAGCGCTGGGAAGAGAATCGAGATTTAAAAAAAAATGATAATGAAAAAAAAACAGACACTGCCTTCGCGTGTACGAGGTTCGTAAGTACAGCAATGTTGAGAGAGCGCGTGGGTACACACGTGCCTCCTACGCGCGAGCAGGCCTTCAACGCGTTTTTTTTCGTCGATCGAGGCTTCATTCGATACTCCGACTGATTTTGCGAGGATGGAGACATACTAATCGAAAAATTATGCTGATCTCTTTAAACGGATGCTTGTGCGTATACGACGTTTATGCGAGAAGAAGAAAATGTATTGTTCGAGTAAATTTCAGTTTCTTTTTTTAATACAAGCATACATATTTGGAGCGATGGATGGGATGAGCTTTGTCAAGATATCCTTGTCATCCGATGTTTGTTTTTTTTTTATCGACTCGATCAATTTGTTAAAATGAATTATTTGTTATTCGTATAAACTGCTTCCACTTGGCGCGTCAAATTCATTGTTTCACGGGAACGTATCCATGTTTTCGTATTTTGCCTCTTCGTGATTGATATTTCAAAGGATTCATCGGTATTTTTCGCAGGACTTTTCCACTCGAAATCGAGAAGCGAAAAAATGTAGGTCACCACACGACAACGACTCTTTCGGATGCACGAGCGCGAACTGATTGCTCCTCGGGGGCGTCCGTATACCGTGGCCCATTTTTAAAATCCATTCGAGCTTTCGATGGTAACAGCCCGAAGAGTCGGTAGAAAAAATATACAATGAGACTTTTTTCTATTTCTTCGCCCGAAGAAACGCGTGTGTAGGGGAAAAAAAAAAAACCACTAACTCAATTTTTGGAGGAGGGGAGAAAAATGAGGTAGCGTGCAAAAAGATCATTACCCCGAACATCGGGCGTTTAAGCACATTGCGAAAAAGTTAATCATCGCGACGGGACGTGTTGCGTTTTGCTCGTCTTGATTTTTAATCGCGAGTTTCAAACTCTTCGCCTCAACTCTCCTCATTAACCCACTTTAATTTTCATCGTCGCGATGAATTTGCCCTCGGTCCTCGTTACGTATTTTCCGTGTATACAGTTGCACAACGCCCGATTATTTATATGCATTTTCCCAACTTTTTTAATTAACATTCCCAGTTCGAGCGTAATCCTCTGTTGCACGCGTTTCAACAACGCGTGCCTGCACGGAATACAATTTTTACAATTTCGAACCAACAATCACCCCCCTCGCATTTACCGTGTACGCGTAAATGAAAAAAAGAAAAATAAGAATATAGAGCGAGCATCGATCGAAAAGAAATTTAACTCGAGTACAGGAGACAAAATTCAGTCATAGTCATACGGGAATGATAAAATACATCTCTCGAGAGTCTCGAGCACGCGGCACAAAAGAGCGCGTCCCAGCATTTTCCTCCCGCACGTACGAGTTTCTCATCCTCGGCCTCGCTCGGAAAAATACGCATACATACATATACACCGGATCGACACCAAGTCGATATAGCGAGTACAGTGCTGATGAATTTAAAGTGGGCTCGTGTAGTAATATATACGTGTATCGTACCTCGTGACCCTTTGGGTGGCGCCGAGTACGGAGCCCTCCTCCTTCAGGCTTGGATAGATCTGCAAAGAAAGTATATATAGATATCGTAAACGGTATTCTGTTACATACATACGTACATATATGATATTATATTTATATGCACTACTACTCTTCTAGTAGCGTGAAAGTATATATATAGTTTTTTTTTTTATATTATAGTGCTCTACGTCCGGCTCTTTTTTAATAAGGGCACTACCATGGACACTTAGCATTTGGGAAAGGGACAAGGAAAGGGATGGATGGGGGTAGAGGGAAATTAGGCAATTGTTGCTGCCAGAAGGTCGCGCCCTATTAAAACCCTCCTCGAGGAGCATTGAGCACATGTGAAAAATCACAGAGGTACTTGCCCAAAAATGTCGCACTGGCCGGGAATCCACGGAATCGAATCCACGACCTAGCCGACCGAACCACCGCGCCCTCAATATATTTATTGTTCTTATCATCGAATAACACGCAATTCAGCATAAATACCTACAATGTCTATTATGAATGTACGTATACGCGTTCTAAGCAACCAAAGCACGCAACTAATAGTCCTGTGGCCTATTTTTTTAATTTTAGCTCAATTTACATCAACTCCAAGGCTTTATTATTATGGTAAGCCAAAGAATAGCCATTGTTTGCTTTCGGATGATACGAGTTTTTTTCTCCCCCCCCCCCCCTCGCAAACGTATGGGTATTGCCCACGTCATCTCGCGCTACATGTTATAAATAGCCCATCAGCGTTGGTTTATGTTTACTCGGATGGAAAAGTAACTCGGTAGTCCAGCGCTACTATAAAGTAAGTATTGGGTCCTACATTATTTTGACTCATGTAGTTGTCGCGTTCATAAATTGTAATTGGGATTTAATCTTTTTTCTCTGTACTTTTTATTTTATTGATTATTCGAATATCCGTCACTTCACAAAATAATTACCATCTCTGTAAGGACGATAATTTATGTAATCATCGATCAACTTGAATAATTTGTTTACGCTTGAACACGTGCGCATACATTATTACCCACACACTTATACAGCTGTATAATATATATATGGGCTCTCTGATTAATTAGTGGTCATTATATATACCGAAGGTACTACGTTATGTGTGCGTGTGTACGATCGCTCGGAGGCATTATAATAATGTAATTAATCGACGAGGAAACGATAGTCGGATTATCGAGAAAAGCGCGTTTTCAACAAAAACAATCGCGTTTTCGTTCAAATTTGCATCCAATCGTTCGACGATATGAACACGTTATTACCTATCCCATGTATATGAGGTATCCGCGTTGCGTGCCCCAGACCGTATATTATATACACGTGAGTCGATCCTTTTCCCTTGTCCTGTATGCACACGAGTGATGCAAGAAAGGCGATAAAATGGCACAGCCAAATATCGATCGGTCGAATCGGTGCGAACTGTTTCGCGAAAAGACGCGCGTGTAGGGATTAACGAGGCCACGCGCGTATAGAACGGGATAACTGTATATCGAGCACCGGCTCGAAAGATCGCTCGAGAGCTGCTCGACTATTGCTTCGGCTTTCGAGTGCCCCCCTTACTCCGCGGTCACGGCTCGCTCGCCGAGTGCCCTTTTTTTCCCCAACCGTCCCCCAATTTTTAGTATCAATCACAAAGCAGTTTTATTTCTTTCCACCCGATGAAAAAAATAAAATGACTCGCAGAGGCTCGTCTCTTTTAACACCTCATGACTCACACTGACGATTAAAGCAAGGGAAAAATTTTAGCGCGCGGTTTTAAATACAACCGAAACGCGAGAAGGTAGGTACATGTGTGCACACAAAGATGGGAGAACAATGCCCACGCGGTGATGATCTTTCAGAAGAGATGGTGGATCGTGTATCGCGCGCCGAGGCGTTTCTTTTTCGAGGTCGTTGCCGGGCCATTATGGGGCATTTGGTGATGTTACCAGCCGCGCGGTGTTGTTGACGTAAAAAACGTTGTTGGCGCTAACTTTTGTACTGTACGCGACCGGGACGTTTTTGCAATTGCTCGCGGAGCACGAGGGGAGATAAGGAATAAAAAAAGGGTCCTCGGTGACCTCAAGCACGTCCATAATGCGCACTTACTTATAACCAGTTTTTAGCCTCATTTTTCTCTCGGTTTCACTTTCTACTATACTTGGAGTATCCGGTGTATAATATATTTTTAAGTTCATGTGCACAATGAGGCGTTGCCGTGTGTAAATAATCTTATCGCAAACTGTCAGCGTATAGGAAATGGCACCTCACCTCGAGTGTACCCGTATAAAGCAGTTCTTTGAAAAGTACATTATATGAGCATTATTGTTCCCTCTCTCTCTTTCGTGGCCCATTGTGTGCGTAGGTATATATATCTTTAAAGCTTAAAGTTGATGTTTTAATGTTTTTCATCTCCTTTGCTGGACGGGCTCTCGAGCGTATGGTTATTAAAAAAGTTTTAATAGCTTTCGGAGTCTTAAAGTATATTTTCTTTGCTTTGCTTTGCTTTGCCCCCTCGAGGATTGTTTGTGCAATTTTAAGCAATAAACGCTCCCACTTGTACAAATCATTTGAACTTTGACAAAAAATATATAAAAATGAAGGAAATAATACTCGACGACCAATAATGTTATTAATTGGCTGAAAATCTTTCATTCCACGTGTCTTTGGATCTTCGGTTTTAACAGAACACCCGTAAAGAGGCCAACAACTGAGAGAGTTACACAGATATACCTATATCAGGGGGGATCAGCTAAAGTTGCTTATACATATAGCGAACGAAATTCCACTTTGCGCGCTCGTGTCCATTTTAAATGCGATGCGCTTGCATGCATTATTACCTCGGAGAGTCCACATGGGATGCATGAATCGCACGCATACAGTTAGTTGGGTATACTTGTAGCTGCGCGTGCACGGTGCAGCTCCTTCGGCGTTTAACATTGCAAATTTCTCTGCCAACTCGGAGATCCGACGTCGGTGTCTGTGCGGATACGTCTCTGTCTTTTGCCCTCTGCGTGCTCATCTCCACTCGGACAGAAGTTATTTGACGATCAAATTAAACCGGCCGGCTGGCCAATGCTAACACCGGGCATGGCTTTACTTATATACTATACCATCAACTCTAGGCGTCACTCGTCCATCACCTGCTGGTAAATATATGGGTGACGGAGAACAAACTCGCATAAAAATAGCTGTGCACTTTTGTTGTTTTTTTTTTCCTTTTTTTTTTTTTTTTTTTTCATAATTGACAAAAAAACTCAAGTTCGTTAGTATAACTTGAACAAGCGGCACAAATATTGTTGAATCGATACAAATTAGTGATTCAGCCGCTGTTTCTAAATACGTTAATATATTTACTCTAGATGGCTATAAGTTGATTTTGCAATGAAAAATCGCGCTTACTGACATTTCATTTATTCGGATTGAAAAGAGTATCAAAAAAAGAGTGCGCGAATTCCCACTTCTTTGTAAAATAATGCAAATGTTGCTCAAACTTTTATACACGCATATATGCGCCACGGTCTACAAATACATGTGTATAAAATATTAGAGAAAAAACATTCGTAGCGCACATATTATGTACGAGCAACAGCATAATTTTTTGCACATTTTAAAAGTCCTCGCTCGAAATATCGTGTAGTGATGTGTGTGTATATATATACGTATACAGCTTGAGCCCCGCATCCGTAGAGTGAGCGTTTCAATGCGAAGCAAGTGCACTTGAATGTACGCAAATGTATAGGGCTGATGACAATAAATCCATCAGAGGTACGAGCACTGGCAGGGAGCTGCGGTAATACGGGGCGCAAGGAGGGGCTGTCATCCTGCAGCGAGTGCGCCAACAAGCTTTAGCGGCTCTCGAGAGCTTTTTTTTTCTTTTTTTTTTTTTTTTTTCCTGAAATAACGAAATGTACACGGCGATTTGTATCATTGCGTTTGTACTGAGCACTGTGCCAATGGGTCATTTGTACTCGTTTGAAGGCTGTAGATGTAATAAAATTTGTATGGGCTAAATAGTAGGTATGTCATTCCTATCGTATCATGTATGATATATGTCCACGTACGCCAAGTAGACTCTAAAAGTTAAAGGACTGGAGAAAGAAACAAAATAAATGAATGTTTTATGATATAAAAAAAAAAAAAAATAACATGTACAAAGTGCGGTGGTACAAGTTGATTTTTCTTATTCATTCCAGGTGACGGGGTACAAAGGGCTTTGGAAAAAAGCCAGAAATCACACTCTACGTAATGAAATGTAAGTAATGCCCATGATTATCGCGAGAGAAACACCGGCTACGTCGTACATTTGTCACCGATTAAGGCAAGAGAATCCAACTGACGCGCTTTTACATGTCTATATCTACTATTCCCGAGCTTACAATTATTGAGCTTTTTTTCATTTTTGAAACTGAAAAAATTGCTTCTATCCAATGAGCACATCCATCCATATAATATTATCTTGAGATTACAACGAATTCAAAGTGCCACGATATATTTTGAGCGAAGACAAGGTGTATACGACTTGTGATACGAGTGTTTCTTATAGACTTTGTAGATATAGTGCTCGGATATATCCATCAGAAACAACAGCAAAACGCAAAAACGGACTGACTGCAACGAATAGACGTGGATTATGTAAACTGGCAAGTAGGCAATACACGCTGTTTGTTCACGGCTATACTTTCACCTGTGCAGGTACATCATTGAACCCATAATCCGATTGTTGAAGGTTGTCAAATGTAAAACTACTACATAAAATACACACACACGCATTGCAATGTTATTACAAAACAATACCTGTATGTACCTATATCTATTTGCTTAACCATGTCAAATTCTCTCGCTTGTACATACACATTACGACGGCCACATATTATATCCATCCGTATACCCACAGCGTAATTTTGTGGGTACAATTATACACTCCATATATTACATTATAATATGCATATGCAACGGGCAAAAGTTGTTGTAATACGATATTTGCCTTCACCTACACTCTTATAGCATATATATAAGCAATGAGCGCACAAAGGCATTATATACAGCTCGAGTTTGAGTTTTGAATCACCGAGCCAAGAGATAAGTTCGCTCCGGCGATATAATGCACACGCCTGCGCTCTCTTCTCTCCTCTTTCTGTCTTATTATCTATACTTCTATACAGTGTAGGTATATACATATATATGTGTGCATTACTCTTTTATATTTGATCCGATGGCATTCCACAACTGCAGACCAGAGTGTGTTGATAGTCAGGCGTTTCTTTTATTGTCATACTTTCAGTCTGACTCTGCAGGTATATATATATATATATACCTACTCACTCGTGCACGAGCGCGAGCACATTTTCTTATATTGTCACTCGCGCCGTGCTTTCTCAGACGCGAACCAAACGCTCATGAGCGTGTGGATATAATTATTATGCATCGTGAATAATATATGCGCCAAAATAAACAAGTATAGGTGTAAGACATACTATATGCGTTTCAAAGTATAATTGGATACGGTAATTCACTGGTATCTTCATAAGTAATCAATTATCAATGTGGTTCATCGATGATCTCGCCAACCCAACTATTCTCCGACACTGCATCGTCATGAAAAAAAAAAAATGTATTTGTCAAAGATTTAATGCGCTCACGAGTGCAGGATTATCTTTTTTTCGAGTAACACACGCGATTCCTCTTTTGTAACATATACGTATACATAACTGCTTTGTGCAAATTATGTTCTGCGAGTTTTGTAAGCTTTACGTCATCGTAATTGGCACGAAGCGCATCCGCGGATGGTTTATGCAACGAAAAGAAAAAAAAAAAAAGCCGGTGGTTGATCTGATTTTCTGGGCTTTTGCACACACGTACGTAACAACAGTCGCCCTTAAACACAGTACACAGAAGAGGATATGCGAATATACATAATATATAAAATGAATACATGATTGGTTTGCCGTCAAAGGTGATGTATGATACTCGTACCCCTGCATATATTAAACAGCAAACGCGTTTAATTTATAACTTCCTGAATTCCATGCTGCCTGCACTACTGCAAGTGAAAACATTGCAAACTTATATATAAACACACCCACACGCACGCATGACAACTGACAACGACAAATTCGACCGGATAAATACGTATGTATGTATTTTTTTAGTTTGCTAACGTGAGTTAACAATAATGGATGTAGGTAGTAGGTGGTGCCCCATCGCCTGTGTATACACACGTGTGCAGGATTACTTGTGCCGCTGTCCTTCGTCGTTCTTTTTTTGTGGCGCGCACGGCACACACTCGTTACGCAACTGAGAGACGAGAGAGAGAGAGAAAAAAAAGAGCCTTGACGGAAAAAGGAGCACGCGATGTATGTACCTACATGGTTAAAATACACACGTACTAAGTCCTAACGCGCGCTAATTGTCTACCGGCCAAAGACTCCCTCTTACCCCCGTCCCAAAATCCCAGATATATACTTATGTCACCTTTTTTATAGGTAAACCATAATAACTCACCGATCGAATTGATCTCGTCTAAAGAGCGCGCACGTCATTTTCGGCTAATTACTTTTGTAAACAAAACTGCATTGGTTCCATGGGTTTGTTTATTTATATTTAAAACCCCAATATGTATTTCGCATGGGTCGACGGGAAATCCAAAATTAGAATTATTTACTTTTAAAGGCTTTTAACAAAAAAATTACAATAAATTGACGACTTACGGCGAAACGTGTCGTTGCGCGCTGCCTGGCGGTCGCCGACTTTTTTACGGCCGCGCTTTACAAAGTCGTTTATCGGGTGCACAGGTACGCGCAAATGAAACTCTGTAATACGTCCATACACGCGGTACGGTTGATTTATTTCCTTTTTTTTTTTTTTTTTTTTTTTTTTTTTTTTTTNGGCGTCCCAAGCCGTGCGCCCTCGAATGGCATCGACCTTTCCCGCCCTTTCTCGCGAATACACGCGCCGAGGAACAGTCACACACGCGCCAACACATCCAACACCGTCCCCCACCCTCCGCTCACCCGGCGTCCAACGATGCCCAGCAACTTCAACGAACGCTCGTATCTCGAAAAATAAAGAGCCTCGAAGAGCGCTACATTTTTTTAAAAATCCAAAAAAAAAACGACTCGTACTCACCCTGTGGGCGCATCTAACGAAAACCCGATCTAGCGGCGACTTGGAGTCCTGGGCCTTGGCTGACTTTTCTTTGCACCAGGCCTGTCCCATCTTGCGACGCACCTTACGGATAAACTCTCGTACTCGCTCCCCGCCTCTCAAACGCAGGAGTGTTGCAACTCCGGAGCGGCTCAAGTACAACTAGCCGCATTGTAGGCCACCATCCTATTCACCACGTATACACATGTACGTGCACGCGCGTTGTACACACCGTGCGGAATCGTTGTCCCGGTCAGCGCTGCCGATGTGCCGGGAGTAGTTTGCTGGGAGCATCGAGGAAAAAGCGCTAATGCATTTCACCGCTGCGCGGTGGCCTGGAAAATATATATGTATGTTATATGCTCGGCATGTACTGCGTCCATATACGTATTAGGTATTTGTTAGTGTACGCGTCTAACTTGTCAGCGGCAGCGTTTTTCCACTACCGGTTTTCCGGCAATTTTCTTTCGAAGCGCGCGCGCGAGGAAGAAAACAGGAGAGAAAAAAAAAAAAACAAAGATTAGACGCGCACGAGAGTATATATAGACTGTGTTTAACGTGTACAAGTACTGCAGAAAATAAAAAAAAAAAAAAATAAAGACGTGCTCCACATTAAAAGGCTCGTTTTCTCGCTCGAACGCGCCTTCGCAGCGAGCGTGGATTTTGTGGCGCTTTCGATCGTCGCACATAAATATATAAGTATTATACCTACTTGCGATGGTTAACCAACAGGTACTCAATTAAATGGTAATCGTGTTTTCGTTTTATTCGACTTTTTTTTGTTGTCTGATATCGCATAGTGGGTAAAGATACGAAGAGACGATTCGGATAATATTAAACTCGACGACACCGGCCTGTGCCATACGATATACAGTTTGATTACAAACGCCAGTGTCACGTTACGTTCTTGAATGCACCGCGAGACACTATTTTTATACACCTCAACTCGACGGTACGGCGTGCACACGTGCGGCCTTCTTCGGGTATATACGCGCGGATAACTCCCTGTACAACTCTCATCTACGCAGTGGCTTGTTATTTTTGCGTAAACATCATCAGCTGCGAAATCAGCGTGAATCATGCGACTACGTGGGAATGCGAGCTCGAACTAAATAAAGGTTTTAAGTTGTGTGGAATGGTTAATCACGCCGCGCATTGTATGGGTCGTTTCGTTGAAAAAAATAAAATAAAATAATTTTCCCCCCGTGAAATTAACGGTCGTTAAACAATGTGTTGGACGTACGGCTCAAATGACGCGTGCTAGTTCAAAATTAAAGAAAAAATGGTCCCATAGTGGCATAAATGAACACTAGGTTTTACGACGAAGATATCCGCTTGATTAAACACAGACGCAGAAGAAGGGTCGAGTCATCGTTTTCATTTATTTATTATTATTTTATTTTTTAAACGCAGTCATCGTATACTTAACGCGTTTCCACGAATGGACCTGATAGAGAGTTCGCGTGCTCGGAAAGAAATCGATCCTTTTTTTCATCTCTCGACTCGTACGAGTTTCTATAAACCACTTCCACACACCTCGATGTATGGATTATTTATTGAAACGGTAGTGAAACTTTGAATCTTTTACAAATACTAATCGATAATCGTAATTCAACACATGAAATATATTTAAATATTTTTAGTGGAACCAACGGGCAATGAATTATTTCTGATCTCAATGATGATAAAAACATGGATCGCGTACGTGATGCGTGAGAAAAAAAAAATACTTACAGAATTAGCGAGCAAATGCATGGTTCGATAGGTACCTAATACATGTATGTATATGTTATGTACACGGTCAGAAAGAGGCTGGGCTCGAAACATAAGTGCTTGTATCCATGAGTATAGGTATGTATAGTGTACCTGTTGCAGGTGCAATTGAAAGAATAATGCTCACGGGCCTTGAGGTTTACGCAATCGCTCGACGTTAGTGGTGGTACGAATAAATCGTATATACTTATTCATGTGTGTACCTAGTATTTATGTAGCCGTACGGTGTACATCGTGTATGTAGCAACCTCAAAAGATAACCGGCTTCCATGCGCAGCACCACCGACCTTTCGATTTCCTATTGGACGTACTTGTATATATACACTACTGCGCAAATAGTGAAATTTCATTTACAAGTATACTGATACCTACTATTTGTGTATATAGGTACTACAACGAGGCACAACTGTTCGGTCAAAGGAACAATCACGTAGGTATACGTATATGTACCGTACATAAGTTAGGTGGTGTGTTGTGATGCCGCTTTTATAGAGAAAGTCCGTGGATTTTTGTCTCACGTGTGCGAGAGATACCACATTGACGAGAGAAAGTTTCACTCGGAATCTTCCTCACTCCCCGTTTTTTTCCTTTTTTTCAGCTCATCCTTGAAATATACAGTACCGATCCCCGTATATCTCTACGAGCAACCTCTGACGGTTGAAAGTACTAACAATGGCACCTGATGTTTGATTAATTATGATATATCAACTTCGTAAAAAGTGCGCATATAGTTACGAAATACAAGTGTGTATGGGGTGTATGCACGGGTATAATATATTATAGTTTGATACAGGTGAAAGTGAGAGGAAATAATCAACCCGAATACATTACAATCTAATCTAATGTATAATGAATTCCGAATGCACCGAGGCCCACAACTGTTCACTAATCGACGCGCACAACAAATCAAGTGTGATATACATGTACACGTCACTGCAGCACTAAAAATCATCGACCATCTTCGTATGGATATTCAACCAACACTCTCGTTATCAATTGATACTCGCATGAGGGAACTAATAATACTTGGTCGTGACCAACGCGTTCTAGATGGGCGTCTATACGTACACGGGAGTATAAGCGTAGAAAATGTGCCCACGTTGCATTCAACGCGTCCACGAACCGATCGCCCAACAAAAAGAGAGCACCCGTGGATGCGTTAATCGGTATTACATGTTTATACTTACGATGGACTATAACTTGGCCGTATATCATCGAGCACGAGCGAAAAAGGTACAATTGCAACAGTCGAACTGCATGAAAAAATAAAACAAAACAAAAAAAAAATCGGCGATCGTACCAACGCTGAGACACGACTCGCGATCGGCAACGTCGGACCGTAGACTGCTACGCGGTCCCGCGATCGGGGGCCCGTACACCTTTCTAACCGCAGCCTCCGCTCTCCGGTTCCCTCCGACCGGCTCCTTTCTTACCTCCCCCTTCCCTCCCATCTCTCCTCCTCCTCCTCCCCCTTCCGAGAAGCCATATGCTGCTCGTCTGGTTCATTTGTTGGGCACAGATATACGTATCCTGATGACGAACATCACTCCTGTGTATGCATATGTATTCGCGGGGAAAAAATTTCGGAAGTGAATGGATCTTCCTCTGTGGTGATGGAACAATTCGATCGTTGCTGCAGTTCTAGGATGGTTTCTTTTTTTTTTTTTTTTTTTGCCGCCGACCCGCGATGACCTGGAAGTACCGGTGATGCTTCACTTGTTTTTTTCTCATAAATCTATGGTCGGGTATGCGGCCAATTTTTTTTCCGCGATTGACTAGGAAACACAAAGAAAAAGGGACCATTTTACATTATTTGCATGTGTTCGCTGTTGGAGAAGGCGTCATCGCAACCGAGCGTTTGGATGCATCTTTTTTTTTTTTTTTTTTTTTCTTCTCTCTTGAAATCGTACGAGTCACCTCTCGTGTGTAGTCGTTTCGCACCTGGTGTCTCGTCCTCCTCCGCTATGCGTATTATATTACGTACACCCGAACGAGAACTGCAATTTTTTTTACGAAACTACGTATGTACTTACTTGTCTCTCTTTCGAAAGTCACTTCCGCCTTGAGATTACGCTTAAATCAAAAATCGACTCATTCTTTTTTCCGCTGTATTTTTAGACACGGCTGTCTGTATTGTTACCAGAGTATACAAATCGTTACAGCGTGTAAATCGTGGATTTTTAAAGGACAACACATTTCGATCCCAAAATGAGTGGGACACGAGTTAATTCCATAATGTATGATATACAGATACAAAAGTAATGATTTTTTTTTTGTCTTAAAACTCGACAAAAGTTTAAAATATCTAACAAAATAAGTTTATCATTATCCGGTAAAATTAACACATAAGTAAGATTAAAAAAGATATAATATTTAAAAATTTACCTTTTTAAATTAAAAAAAAAATTATGAAGCCATTTATGTTACATCGTTATTTATACTATTGGAATATTGTAACTTCAACTAAATCATGAAGCGTGAAAAACAACAAACAATATTTTTATGAAGCCACGAGCATAATGTTGGCATGCGTGAATGTTGAGAAAAAAAAATCCTCACTTTAGTTCCATGCTGTTTATTTCTTATCTCGAGAAGAAGCTCGTAAAAAGGAGCCGAACGCGGGAAAAAGGTACGAGAGAAAAGAACGAATGGCCATACGAGCGCAAATAAAACGTGCTGGCACGGCGATGTGTACAGTGGTATACGTGTAGGTACACGTGTGTGCACAGGGCACATTTTGAAAGACCCGCAGTTTTAACTTTATGTTGCGTAGGTAGGCATACATATAACAACCCTTTGTAGGTCCAGCCATCAAATTTGGTACTTGGCTTTTTGATTTTCATGAGCTTTTTAATCAAGTGAACACATGGATGAAATTGTGTTTGGTTCATGTATTCATCGTCAATAATTGTAGAAACAATAAATCATATGCACTTTTATATGGTTCATTTGAATTCAATGAATAACGAACATTTTTATTTTTCATCCCATCAAATTTTGTATCCTGAATTTAAAAAACCAGAAATTTTCATGCACGATGTTTCACAACTTCGACTCCAAACGTATAAAACGTTTAGAGATTCACCGACGATTATTATTTTACCCGACGAAAAATTACTGGAACCCTTTGAAAAGACTATATTGCTATAGAAATCTAAAGAAAAAGAAAAAAAGTTCAATGAGCAAGACATGTCCAATATCGATGTAAACGATGTATTTATTTTCCAACGTATAAACGGTGTTCACCTGAATAACGCAAAAACGCTCCACTTCTGTCTAGTATGTAAGCACAGGCACACCAAGTGAAATCCCGAGGCACACGTGATACCTCGCACCTACATGTCATATCAAGGTTCAACGGCAGAGAGACAGACAGCCGCGGCAACGTGATGTATATTTTTCCTTATAACATGGCTCGTTTTCCCGTTGCGGAGCAAGCCTCTCTTCTACCGAGGCATCTTCGCGCGGCGATACCTCACAATGAGGCGTCCTCCTGACTTGGTTCCCACGTCTTTGTCTTTCTATACTTTTTCCGGACGACGACGGTGACGCGTTGGCGCTCGACTCGCCCGCCCAATTAAGTTCAAGGCAACTGACGATTTTATCTCGTATATGCATATAATATGTAAAAAGCTACGACGGTATACTACGAACTTGTTGCAAAACAGAGAAATCGAATGTATACGCGAAGAAAGCACCGCCACTGTATTAATCACATCGGCATACATATGCCCTTTCGCAGCCCAAATCGTCAGAATTGCCTCCAAATCGAAAAAAATGCCTGGAATGTAGAAATATGATTAAATACACAGAGTAAAGTTTTTAAAATTTTTATAGTATAGGAAGAATCTACATTGCAATGGTTCATGTTTATAATTTTTCACACTCGCTCCAATTGAGAGAGATTTTTGATAGCTCGTTATACGTGTCGCATAAGACCACGTGTCAAACGAGTCAGGCGTTCGCGGAACTAGTCAGGCGAAACTAGTTTTCGTGAAAATTGTGTCGCGTCGAGTTGGTACAGACTTATAAACCACACGACAGGTATTATCGCTAAAGATCTGAAAATCATTGCCACACGTATACATTACGTGTAAGTCGCGGTACATAAATCGGTAATGAACCTTTTTTTATATATGTGTATGGTACTCGGTATATACATGTTTATACGTATATGCTTAGGTCGGAAAGGAGAAAAAACAAAAGACAATACATTTGGTCCATACGCGCGAGGGTCAAGGCTCACACGTTCGTATATATATATATGTACAGGAAAGCTGTAAAAGCACGCAATCAATCGCGGAGAGAGCTTTGTCGCAGATGTATTGCTGGCCCTTCCTGTCTTGGATTTTAAAACAAACGACGCTCATTGCGTGCCAGGACAAAAAAAAATCGGCCAAAAAAAAAGGAGCGATATAATTAATATTGTAAACTCTGACAGCCGCACACGTGTCCAAATAATATGTTGTAGGCGATCCGGTGCATGTGGTCAATCTCTATCCGACTTGGCTCTGAACCATACATTTGTGTATAGGATACAGATATCAGCCCCACTGGCCGAGCTCCAAAAACTCTGGGGCTGGGGGTGGGGGAGGATTTTCGTAGCGTGTCAGTCGACGACTTTTTGCGTTTATTACAGGCGAGTCATCACATAGGGTCCGAGAGCAAGTAATGCATTATTCATGAGCCTTTTCCTTGGCGCAGCGTATATGGCCGGAGGACCCTTTCATCCCGTCGATGATCGACCTTCCGAAAATTCATCCTTGCCCTCCCGATGAATCGTCCCCCTTTCTTTTTTTATTCCCTCGGTGCTTGTCACCCCGGAAGAAAATAATCGGGATCGGCAAGGAGATCCCATATTTTCCTACAATTTCCCGTGAGATAGTCCAATCATTTCAACTCAACGATACTTTGTTATTAACAAGAACGCGCTTACATCATCATCATCACTCTTGAGTGCGCAATAGTTTTTTTTTTTTTTTTTTTTTTCTCAAATAGCTCATAGTGAATGATAAACTAGTATGATAATCGAGACGAGAAGTAAAAAAATGCGAATTGCGCTTCAAAAGAAAGAAAACACCTGTATTCGATACGGTGTGGTTATTCGCGTTTATCGGAGCAAACGAGTGTTTACAAAAAATTGACGATATGTACAGAGGGAGAGAGAGAGAGATAACGCACGAAGCTCTCGGTTGTATCTGCGCGAGGAGCTTTCAAATAATCAGAGATAAAAGTGAAAAAAAAAAAAAAAAATTGCGTTCGTATGAGCTTCTACGTATGTATACCGAAACTACGTANAAAAAATGAAAAAAAAAAAAAAAAAAAAAAAAGATAAGAGTGGAGTAGAGGGCACCGGATTGATTCGAGGCGCGTCTGACGAGCTGCCGGTCCAAGCGAGTGGGATAGTTGTAAGACGGATGGATGGACGGACGGGGCCGTCGTGTGTATAGAGTATATCATAGTGGCGTCGACCCCAATTGTGTTTTAGATCGCCGTCGAAGCTTTTCTCGGTCGCATCTCGGTATGGTTTTAGTGTGGTAGTTCGTGGTGTCCGGCGTACACGTTCGTTCAATCGATCGAACATGAAAGACGTTGTCAATCAGGTATACACTCGCTCTCGTACTTTTTTTTCTTTCCCGTTTTAATTCCTGTCCTCTTTCCTTTTAATTTTTTGTAAGACCTGCAATAAAGGTAAATCGGTGCTGTTAACTGGTGAAAATCGAGTTGGCGCCGCTTGCGTTACAGTGGCTGAATAATTTACATTTTTTTTTTTTTTTTTTTTTTTTTTTTTTTTTTTTTTTTTTATGATTATGTAAAAAACATGAGAGATAATAAAATGGTCAGACACGTGTATTACTCATCGGCGGGAGTTTGGGTGAATTAAAAAATGATAAACCTACAAGAGAGACCAGCAACGACAGCACGATGTGTACACGGGACGGAGGATTGTTTTAACGAAGCGAACGCTACGTGTCGGTGGCTATTTTTATTTTTCTTCGACGGATAAAAGTGATGCGATTGCTGCCGGTCGTCCGTACATACGTGCTCGGGCTGTTCTTCGATCGAGAGACGTGCGTTCGGTGGGCATATAGATGTATGTGTGTGCCATGCGCCTATTTATTTGCCCGGACCCGGAAGAGAGTTGCTGTACCCATGTGTTTGTATACTTGCAGTGCAGCGCGACAGCGGCTGCGAAAATAATATAGAGCGACCTTTGACTCTCTTGGAATCGTTTTGTTCCTTCTGCCTCTGCCTACTTTAAGTATCGGCGGGCGGAGAAAGGTATAGATTCGAATCTTTTCGTTTGGCCGACGCCTCGAGTACCCACCGTTGCACGCTCGCTCTCTATTTACACTATTATTTTGCCTCGGACTCGCGGTACACGCTAGCGTTGGCAAATCTATTTTTTTTTTTCCTTTCCTTTTTCCCCTTTCTAAACTTTAATTTTTTTTTTTACTCGTAATAATAAAAAATGTCAAAAGTTTAACAATAAAAGTATTTGGGTTTTTTTTTTCTCGTGAAAATTAGCGCATTTAGAGATAATTTATTGCCTCGTATTTCTCAGAACGTACAATTATAGATCGGTAAATCGATTGATCATCCGATCACGTGAATTCTACATATTGTTACATTGAACAAACGATTTTCGGGTCAAGGGAGAACTAGCTCGAATTCGTGTCGACAGTATAGATTTACAAAATGCGAGACCGAAAAAAGATAACAACACGTTGAAAATTTTATTTCCAACCGATTTTTCAACCACAACCGGAGATTCCACTTGGCCATAAGAAGACATCATCATGATCGTTTAGAGGTGAAAAAACCAAAATCTGCCGTATCAAGTGTACATATAATAAAATATTAATATCTTTGTCACGACGAAAACGAGAGATGAAGAAAAAAAAAGATAAGCGAAAGTGAGGCCATGATCGGTGCGCGGTGTAAAATTAAAAGCCCACGCGGCAAATCGATTTCTCGTAAAACACAACAAGCTAAACACGCACCGGGGGAACGATCACGCGGGCGCATAAATTTTTCAGTCGCAGTTGCCCATCAGACATCCCTTTGAAGCTTTTGGCTCGCGTGCACTCGATTAACAAAGTCGTGCAGGTATATAAGATTTGATTTTTGATTTTTAACTAAATTTATTGATGCCAAGGGTGGTTTACACCCGTATGGCATGAGCATAATTACAAGCAATATTTTTATAATTTTATAAAGAACATTCTATAAGTAAATAAATACATTGCAATTTCTTAGATACGCTTCATTCGCGGATTTCATAGCTATATCGCAATAAAAGATAATACAATTCCAAGTAACCACAATAGTCAATTTAGTCGGAATACAATTTAATTCGAGCAGATACATTACAAATAAAATACAAGGTACATGCGTAGCATTTTTGTAATGTAAGTGTGCTTTATTAGTGCTAGAATTTATTAACTACTCCTCTCTCGTTCGTGCCAATAAGTACTTAAAGTAGTCCGTCTTGAACGAGCCGAGCGAGTCCCTCGATCTGATAGATGCCGGAATTGAGTCCCAGAGACGCATTGCGCGCTGGGAGAAGGAGGATGCGTACACATTCAAAGTAGCTCGCGGCATATGAAAGTCAGATCGAGGGAGACGCTCAGATCGCCGCAAGTCCTGATTTGCCGGAGGGAGAAGGTCGTACATGTACTTTGGCTCTTTGGTGCTAAGAATTTTGTATGTGATTACAGCTAAAAAATATTCGCGCCTAATACTCGGTCGCAACCATCCAAGCCTTTCATAATATATCTTCAACGACGCGTCACGCCTAAGATTATAAATAAATCTCACGACTGTATTGCAAAGTCTGTCTATTTTAACAGAAAGGTACCCTGACAAAGTCCCATACACTAGGCACGCATAATCAAAGTGAGGGACTATGAGGCTAGACGCTAGCATTGCCTTGAGAGAGGGTGATAAAAAAATAAGAGAGAGAGAGAGAGAGAGGCACTAGCGCGAGGGTCGAAGGAATTCGCCAAAAACTCTGGGGTTCGCTCGTCTACTCGTATACCTGGTACCTACACGTACATATATGTATATGCCTACACAAGCAGCTGAAAGGCCTTCAGGTACAGGGAATATACGTGCGTGACAGGGAGAGGAAGAAGAAGAAGCAAAGGGGACGACCGTATATAACATGGTATGGAGACAATTTAGGGGACATTAATTTCAAGCGCCACGTACATACCTACAGTTCAGCGAGGATTTATCGCTCGCTCGTTCGCTGCAGAGCTAGGCGATATCTCTCCTATGTCTGATGGCTCTCCGCATACCTATACATGCACCTAGTCTGAGCTCATACTTATTATGATGCGCTTTCAATTGCTATTATGCCTCCGTGAACAGTGTCTATATACACTTTTCATCCCTCCTCGAGTTTTTTCCCTCTATCTTGGATCGGTAATTAATCCAACTAAGCGTTCGCACGCCGATCTTGAGCATGACTTTTGCTTCGCAGCTGGAAAATGACGGCTTCGTTGTCCTCGAAGATTTTCTCAAGCCGGAGGAGATTGACGAGCTGAGGGGTGCGGGCGAGGAATTCACGACGAATCTGCCACCCGAGAAGGACAGGAAGATCTTCAATACCGTCGATCAGCAACAGGTGCAGGGACATTCATTTCTCGTGATATGTTTCTTTTTTTCTTCATACGTGGTACGTGACTGGAAAATTTTCCTTTTTTTTTTTCGCAGAGCAAGGACCGCTACTTCATTGACAGTGCCAATAAGATATGTTACTTCTTCGAGTCGGAAGCTCTGGAGGACAATGGGAGCCTTAAAGTCCATCCACGAGTGTCCCTGAATAAAGTAAACAAGCCGCTTACGTTTATACCGTTGACAAATATTACTGTAACAAAAATGTTTACTCACTCGTACAGGTCGGGCACGCATTACACTGGCTGCACCCGGTTTTCAAAAAGTACACTTTCAGCGAAAAAGTGAAGGAAATCGCATTTCAGTTGGAACTCATCGAGCCAGCCGTTTGTCAGTCCATGTATATTTACAAAAATCCAGGAATTGGTTCGGAAGGTGAGGAACATCCGCGCAGCCACAGCATTGTTAATGAACTTTTTTTTTTTTTTTTTTTTTAATAATTTATTTTGCGACTTACTTTGTACAAGTGAAAAATTACACATTTCTTTTTTCATCACCATCGTTATTTTACAAGCTAATGACTTCTTTGCTTTTTAGCAATTTGTCAGATCACAGGTTTAACGCAACAATCGACAAAAAATGTTTTTCATTTGAATAACGTAATTAATTCTTGTACTTTTACATTGTAATGTTATTTTGCGAAACTTCTCTTTTTTCTAGGGTTCCCCGTAATTTTTGTAAAAAATTTTAGTTCCGAAAAATAACATTACAATGTGCGGGTGTCTTTACATACATAGATTTATTTAAAAAAAAAAAACCTTTAAAAGATCCGCTTGCATATTTTTCACGAAGTGACCATAAACTAATGGGTTTCATGTAAATGATAAAAAAAAAATAATAATAATTACTTATTGAAGTAAAAAATGGTCAACTAAATTTTTCAAGTGGCTAATCCACGTTTTTATCGTAGAGTCTTACTTCTATAAAACATTGAAATAAATTTTTTTTATGTAATAAAATTTTCACCCCATAAACTATGCATGAAAATGAAATAAAGTAATTAAATGATAAGATAAGTATTTTACTGATGCAGTTGTGACGCACCAAGATGCCAGTTACTTGTATACAGACCCGGTAAAGCTGATCGGCTTCTGGATAGCTTTAGAAGACGCGACGAGAGATAACGGCTGCCTGTGGATAGCTTCGAGTTCACACAAAAGCGGAGTACACCGACGCTACGTGCGTAACAGGGATCCATTAGCTGAAGAGTTGCTCGTTTACGACAGACCAGCAGCTTACTACCAGGAAAGTAGCTTTCGACCGATTGAGGTACGCAAGGGCACGTGCATACTGTTGCATGGCCAGGTCGTGCACTTCTCCAAGGATAATAAAAGTGATAGGTCACGACATGCATACACGTTCCACATCGTGGAAACGCACCACGTCAACTATTCGAGGAACAATTGGCTCCAGCCACCAAAAGAAGGTTTCCCTCTTCTCTATACAAACTGATCATACTGGCGATTGTCAGAACTTTGTGATGATGAAACATCAGAGTTTTCAATTTTTATTTTTCATTTAAAACTGCGTTGTAATTAAATATAACAAAAGTATAGACATATTCAAAAATAAGCGCTTTTGATTTATTTTCTCACGTCATCCGTTGATAATTCAGTTTTGTTAAGAAAAATTTCAGCTCACACTGTTATTGCATTGAAAATTAGCCATACGACAGAAATGTATGGCCAATTCTTGCAACTGCTCGTAGCCTTTCTCGAGTTTGGACTTATTTAACTTGATGCAGCAAAATAAATCCAAAGGTGTTAATTTTGACAGTTCATCAAAATCATTCAAAATGGTGGAGAAATTGACTAGAACTTCGTGCAAAGAAAGAATGATTTTATCATCTGGACAAATATTTTCATAATTAGTTGACAGAGACCTGTAAGAATAATAATAATCATAATAAACTGTTTTTTTCATCAAACTATCAATGTTAAATGTATAAATAAATTTTATTTACACTCTTAAAATTTGCAACAGCTTATTCACACTGATTCCAACGTTTTGATGTTCTCGAAGAGCGAGTTTCGGCGTGAGTAATGGATTGAATTTATTGTACGCAAATGCACACTGCAGTCCTAAAATATCAGCAGCAATACCACTGAAATAATAAATCATTTTTTTTTTTAAGTTTCAAAAATAAGATTCAAATATATACATTACATTTTAGAAAAAGATAAAAATTTACCATGTATCTCTTGCAAAGGCATAAACATCCTCTAATACTTTGAATGCAAGTGTTGCCTTTTGTTCCTCCTCACTTTCATCTGGTAATCCAACAGAATCGAGAAATCGCACGCCTTTCACTTCATCCATTGATTCCAAACATTTCTGCATTAAATTCTGAACAAATAAGTTAATTAATTTTTTCCATATCGAGTAATAAAAAATACATGAGACTAATCCATGCTCCAACTTACATTTATTTTTAACAACATATTCTCTTTAAAAGTAGCATATTTTGTGATTTGTAAAGTTTGAATTACTTCCTTGGATTTATATAAAAAAGTTTTAACCTCTTTCAACTTTCTGCCATCTTCAGATAAATTTTTCAAATATATTTGCAGATCCTGAAGTACTTTTTCAGTCTTTCTAGTGTAGAAAGATTCACTTACAGCAGCCATCCAATGTTTCAATGCACATTTTAAAACGCTATGAACTGACCATGGTGGATGTATTATGGCATGCTTTTCCCATCTATCTCCAAACAGATTTTTCATTTCTTTTGCAACTACCTATTAACGCAGTGAATTACTTTTGATTAGCTTTAAATTAAATTTGTATTAAAAAATATCACTTTGATATTTACCTGTGAAAGGACAGTTTTAAGAATCGCTTTTCCCTCTTCTATTATATCATCTGCCTTGAGTAACTCCTGTTGTAAAATTGAACTATCTCCTTGAGGTTCTTCGATTTGACCATGCAAACTGTTTGATAAAAAGTGTGTAGTTTCTGCAGCTTTCAAAAAATACATTTTTTCCAGAGGATCGTTTCGTCCTAGTATTGTAATATCATGAATCATAGCTTTTGTACAAAGATTTTTATCGTATGATAACAGTACCTGTAACAAAAATCATTCAATTTTATAACTCGTCAGTGAGTGCCCATTTGCAATTTCACTCATTCAATACATACTGGTGTTTTTGCTGATTCTTTGATTTGTAAGCAAGTTTGTAATATCTCATCATCAGGACAATCAGTAGCAAATTTTTTTTTGTTCTCTTTAACATCTCTCGGCGTTTGTCCCAAAAAACGAGGATGTTTGGCGGTAAAATAACGATTTAAAAAATCAACAGCTTTTCTAGCTTTATATTTTAAGGCTTCAGATCTTGTGTTATTTTTGTCATCCTTTATAAAATCTAACTCCTACAAATTGATTAAATTGGTTGTTTAATGATATTTACTAATGCAGAAAAAAAAAAAATCTACTAACTTGTAATACTGTCCATGGTACAACTATAAAGGGTCTACCAAATATATTAGAGTTGAAATCTCTAACTTCTTCGATTAATGTCAAGTTTGATAGATAAACATTTGTGTCAATAACTATATAAAAGGCATTCGTTTCTCCAGGAATATTTGGTGCTTGTAAGACATTGCACGAAAGCTCACTTAGTGTTTCCGAGGGCTCTTCACAAAGTCTGACCCTAGCAGAGTAAACCTTTGAACAAAATGGTATTAATCATTATTATGTCAACTGTACAAGAAATTAAATGCAACTGTTATTTATGAAAATTGAAACTATTTGAACGTTGGTTTGACTTACTAAATGTATAAATGGATACAAATAAAAATATCACACTTACTTCAGACATAATCTTTTCATCTCCAACCGCCTCCCACTCCATTTCTTCACAATATACACTTGTGCTACTACTTATTTTTTCCAAAATTCTTTGATTGCTTAAATCATATTCTTCGTTTCTTTGTTGTTCAACATTAGTCAATATTAATCCGCAATTAGCTTCGATCTGATTTTCTAAATGGAACAACCTGGTATGAGCATCCTTAGGTGAAAATGGGGTTGAATAATCCAACTTACTTCTACTTGATGAATTGTCAACATCATCACTGCTACTATTAACACGGCTTGCTCCAGGACTTTTATTGTTTGGGGTGGTTAAGCTCTTTCTTAACTTAGCCAACCTCTCGTTGGCTAAATTCTTTCTCGTTATTTTTATTGAAGTATTTGGGCTCACATCATTATCTGAACCTTTGTCATTGGCACTTTTAGAGTTGTTATTTGAATGATTAGTTTTTGATTCCTCGACTCTAGATACAATGACTTTTGGAATTCTTCCAACTGTCTTATCTGCTTTTACAGTGTTAGAACCACTTTTGGGAGAATCAACTCTGCATGCAGAAGTGGCAGCCTTTGTTATTTTGGTGCCTATACTGGTTGTACTTGAAACAGCACTGCAGTCTGAAGCTGATGTGCTGGAGGAAGCAACAGAGCTGCTGCGTCGAGTTCTGCGTGATGGAGTCAAAGGCTCAGAGTTTTCCGTCGTTTTTTCTGATACGGTAGGTGTATCTTTTTTCTTTTGACCGACTGACTTGGAGCCACTTTTTTTGCTTTCAGCTTCAGCCTTTCGCAGAGCCAATTTTTCTCGATAAAGGCGCATGGCAGGGGTATCATTGTTGGGTGTGGAGGACGTAAGAACAGATACATTTTTAACTTTCAATTTCGGCCGCTTCTCGATGATATTCTTTAAAATATCTCCTGCCACTCCAGGACTGGCATCTGAAAATTCCTCGCTGTCTCTGTCCTGAATTTTACGCTTTTTACTTTTGCGGGCAGACTTTTCATGAAAAAAAGCAAGGAATTATTGTTCATCTCACAGACATGAGTTGACATCCACAAAACAATCGTAAATAGTTTTTTTGTAGTATAAAAAATAAGCTTACCTTGTCCTCCGACTCGATAGGAGGTGCCCATTCGGATGAGCCCCCTTGTTCGTCGGCCTTGAAATAAAAAGGTCTATCGGGATGCTTGCGAGAAATAGCTTCACCCCAGCCTGGTGTCAAGGCTACTTTCTTCGATTTTCCCAATGCGTTAAGAACATTAGACATTTTTTACAGGATGTTTATGGATTTAACCTTAGTAAAAACAAAAACGAGGACGGAATAGAGCATTAGTGCTGACGTAAACAGGCAGAACAAATTGTTGCAATGCTTGATTCGTGAAATGATTCACATTGCACTTGAAGTCCAAAACACCGTACTTACAAGATGACTTTTTTATGGCACCAAGTATTTCACTGTATACACAACAAATGCTTTTATGTGACCTGAGAGCTCAACACAACACTTGTCAACACTTGTTTTTTATTGCTTCCCCAGTTCCCCCGTCTTATTTCCTATATTTTCTCCCATTTACGCCACGCGCGCGCGCCACACGATATAGGATATAGGTATATCATGGGTGTTTTCCACAATTGTCACCAGCAAAAGTAATAGTAGGTTGCGCTCTACGTTACCATCAGGTTGGTAAGTCAACTACCTTGAATTAACTGGCGCTCTGTTCCGTAATCTGGCCAGTTAAAATAGCAGACGACAGTCAACAGCAATGAAATCTTCACTTTTTTCTCGACTTTCACGTCGTCTGCTATTTTTAACTGACCAGATTACGGAACAGAGCGCCAGTTCATTCAAGGTAGTTGACTTACCGACCTGACGGTAACGTAGAGCGCAAATTTAAATTACTTGCTGGTGACGATTGAGCGGCGTAACCACCACGACCTACGTAACTTTACAGCCTCTGATTTTATCATTCTGGTAAAGAGAGCACGGTGTAAGATTTACGTGAAGTTATGCGTAGTAATTATAGTAATTACTACTAAGTAATGCCATATGGTCGATTTTATTAAACCATATGAAAATCTATGTTTTTGGAGGTCGACTTTTAGGTAAAAAAATAGATTGTAAACTTGCCGCAAACAGCACAAACCACGTCAATTTTTTATTATCTATCTTTAATATTAGTTGCGGCTGGTTTATAATTGATTAAATGGCTCTACTATATGTAGTAATAATTATTTGGATCAGCGCTTTCTAGCGTTGCGAATTTCTGAACTAAAAAGTGGCCCTAAACTTTTGAACCAGAGCTTTAGCGCATAGAGCCATTTAGTCAGTTATAAACCAGCCGCAACTCATGATGAAGATATAAAATAAAAAAATAACGATACATGTGTTTTTGGCGGCAAGTTAACAATCTATTTTCTACCAAAAATCGACCTCCTACGTGTTTATACTTTTGAAGATAAATTTTCGAGCATAAGATAAATTGTTAGCTTGCCGCCAAAAACACATGTATCGTTATTTTTTTATTTTATAGCTTCATCATATGTTGCGGCTGGTTTATAATTGACTAAATGGCTCTAATCCTGAATGCTCTGATTTAGAATTTTAGGAGCCACTTTTGGCCAAAAAATAAAGACCGCTAGATGGCGCTAATCCAAGTAATTATTGCTATTTACAGTAAAGTCACTTTGTTAGTTATAAACCAGCCGCTCTACGTTACCGTCAGGTCGGTAAGTCAACTACTTTGAATTAAACTGGCGCTTTATTCCGCGTAATCTGGGGTGTTTTCCGCAATCGTCATGACGCTTCTCCCCATATCTCCAGTACACTGCACATCAGTGGTAGATAAAACACCCCAGCCAGTTGCCTATTCGCTCCGAGCCGATGCAGAGGTTGCGCCGCCTCTAGCCAAAATCAGGCAAAATTTCTTGCATGTAAACAAACGGCTTAGAGCATATAATATATACATGCGTATAGCTGCTTGTGATTGGCTGAATAAGACAGCAGGAGAGGATCGTCGTTCTCTCTCTAGCCTGCCAACTTGGCAGTGCCAAGTGCCAATCACAAGCAGCTGTACGCATGTATATGTTCTAAACCGTTTTGTTTTCATGCAAGAAATTTTACCTGATTTTGGCTAGAGGCGGCGCAACCTCTGTATCGGGCCGATACTATCGGCTCGGAGCGAATAACTGTCCCGCGGGTATTTGAATAACAAAAATACTTTTAAAGAGGTAAGGGCAAGGAAGACAAAGGAAAACAAAACATCATAGTCAAACATATTCATATAAACAATTTATTTTACATAAGATACTCCGACATCGAAGAAAACGACGATGGGTAGTAGTATTGTGTTATTTACGTTAATAAACAACGTCGTCGTAAAAATTTACCGACGCTGTTGTTGCGCCCTGTCACTTTTCAATAATAAATAAGTATGAAATGTAAATAATAACTATTTACAAAATACGCAAGTGTCAAATAATCTTATACGATGGGCGAGGGTCGCTCTCTCCCAATTTATCTAATCATCATCATTTATATGCTCATCGTCCGATGCAGCTAATGTTGACGATGAAAATGAGATGCGAGCTGCGCCCGTACATAACTATAATAAACGCTCTAGTTTGCTCGTATTTTTTAGTTCGATTTGTACTTTCTATTTCAATAGAAATACGCGATGATAAATGTATACGCCGAAGCGCGTTACAAATAGATAATCTTTATCTACTTTTTTCCAGCTTTCTTTTTATACTCGACGTTTAGTTGGTTATTTGAGGTTTTTTTTTTTCAATTTTTTTCCATTGAATTATTTTAAAGATATTGATGTATCTCTTTTAACAATGGACTAAATTTTCATACGAGTGTGTGACGCACAGGTAAAATGCGTTTCAGTCTAGTTAAATGTTAATGCCTTTTAATAAAAATAAAAATATCAATCGCACATAGATTTTCGAAACTCAATTTATTCAATCTGACAATAGAAATAAACGTATTCCCATAAAATGCGTTTGTTAAAGTTAATTTTTATAAGTAGTGATAAAGATTTGTCACAAATCTCACCACTGCACCTACTTAGTTGTCTAATAATTAAGTTTATACACATCAATTTTACATGTCAATCAATTCGAAAGAATTTCGTAATAGTGCGTTGTCCCTCGTATTTTCATACATATATTTACAATATCGATAAATAACTAGGCGCCAAATATTTTACCATCCTAAAAATTTAATTACGTTGTACGTTGAAACAAACAAGCCAGGACGGGCCGAGTCACTACGATTATTTCTCATATTTTACCCTTTTCAATTATTTCTTTGTGTTTTTTTTTTTCTTTTTGTTTTTTTTGGCAAAAATGTCCATGATATAAATGCTCTCAAGTGAAGTAATGATTACGCTGTGAATCAATAACATGAAAAATGATAAAATTACTTGGGGTTAAAAATTCTTGTCTCACCCTCCAATAATTATAAAATTACTTATTTTAGCTGTAAAAAAAGATATTATAATACGATTTAATCGTAGTAAAAAATATTTTTTATCAGAGATTCTTTAAAGAGGCAAAAAAAGTATAAAACATCAGTTTAAAAAAGTCAAGCCTCTGCTTGTAATAATAATTTTTAATCACCGGTGTTTATGACTATTAAACTTTTTTCGAAAAACATAAAATTAGCATGTAGCTCTCTTGTTTTACAAATAATTATTTTTAGTGAATTAATATACTTTGCAAGCATAACTTGTAACAGTAAAAGATTCTCGAAAAAAATTTGTGTCCAACGCATAGAAACATCCTATATGAAATGATAAATAATCTTAAACTTTCACTCTTGCGCTCATTTTCGCGTTCATTTACTGAATAATATTTACTTTTTATGTTCCAACATACTGTCACACTTATACGCTTACTTTTATTTTAAAAGAAACGCTTGCACCGTTCTCAAGCCCAATAATTAACTCTGTAGACATGTTTGTTATTATTATAATGTAGTAATACACAATGAAAAATTGTTGAAAATTAAAACAAAGCACGGGCATCAAACTGAGAAAAAAATATCACAGTATTTTCGCAAGATAGCTTTATGGGTCGTCGTAGTTGTGTTCGCATATATAGACACGACCACTCGCCAATTTCAATTACTTAATAAAACAATACGATGCATTAGTCTATCAAAAAAGCTTTTAATTAGCTCGGGATTAAACCAAGCGAAACTTTTTTGGTACTCAAATACACTTTTAGTGTTCATATTCTATATTCTACGTAGATATTATTAATGGTTATCTATTGTAGTTGCCTATACAGAACTTATTTATTCTGAAGCTTTTATCTGATACTACTGTCTGTCTAAAAATATTTCTGAGAATGAATACTGTTTTTTTGTTGTATTATTAACGTGTTATATGCAATATCATGCTATTAATGAGTTAAAAGATACGAGATTTACATACAAAAATCGACAACATTACTTAGTAAATAAGATGTGTTGTTTAACTTTTCATTTTATGTATACTATGAGTATGCATTACATACAACTTTATGTTACAAAGTAATAATTTTCTAAGAACTACATATCTCTACGGCTATTCATCGAAATCACTTCAACATCCCATTACGATTTTATTAGTGAAATTCAGTGAAGCGTTGATTTACTAAAAACTAAATAACTTTTTATAAATTTTTCAAAAAATGTTTAAAGGTGAGTATCAAAATTATGTAAATCTTCTTCACAAATTTTTCCGGATAGAAACGAAATATTGTTTGAAAATGAGAAATAAAAATTAAAATAATTTTTTCTATTGAGAAAAATATTGTCGACGAGTGACTCGACCTATAAATCTCTGGCCAAACCTTTTCCCTCACTTCAATGTACATAATAACAAAATCATACATAATTAATTTAAATTAATACTATACAAAGATATAGTTGATTGCACTTGATTCTCTCGAAGAATAACGATAACTGAGGAACGATCGAGTCTACAATCTACATGGGGACACTTATCTCAATCATTAAAAATTTTATAGGTACGTCTCTTAATTCTATTTACCGACACATAACTAATCTCTCACGCAAATACTAACATTTTTTCATTATAATTTACAATTGTTTGTCGCATCAGCAAATCTGCACGAATAAAAAGTAAAAACAAAAAAAATGTTATCTATCCGTGAAAACAAATGCAAATTCTTAGACTCTTTATTTATGTTGTTACTTTTTCACTCAACTTTTATACATATTAGAGCCACGTGCACGACATAATTGATCATTTTGTCACGCGAACTTTCACTTTACTAACGTAACGTAACTTTCGTAACGATTTGAACAACCGATTTCTTAAATTCTAACATGATTCATTGATGCGCAAGTGATGCATGTATTTTTCTTTTACGAAAAAAATGCGTAAAAATCGATCGATCACGAGAAACTCATTAATAGAGATTATTTCATCTCTAAAAGTCACGATACCCAATAACGCTCTTCTCAATACTTGCCTACTGATTAGCAAAAACGCTGGCCTACTGCGCGGGTGGCTGAGGGTCAGTAGGCACATTTGGATTAGCGTAGGGCGGCAAAAAAGAATAATTGGGATAAGGTGGAGGCGGCGGATGAGGAAAGGGAGGATACGAGTAGCTGGAAGGATGCGACGCCGGCGGTGGCGCGTAATTTCGATACGGATCGACGGCTGGCGGCGCCGGCCCGTGAAAAGCTGAATACATACGTGCGTAATCAGCATTATACGATGGGCCTCCGTATGCCGGATAACCGGGCGTTGCTGTAAATACAATGTTCACTCAATATTCAGGTTCAAAAGCATAAGCGACGAATTTCGAATTTTTACTCACCTCCTGGTGCATAAGCCGCGGAACTGGCGGGCGCCGGTGGGTAATGTTGAGAGTACGGATCATACGGAGCCGGCGGATACGGGCTCGAATACGCCGATCTCACGCTAGACGGGTGACTGAAAGCAGTGGGAGCGTGTACCTCATCCCTGACGTTAGTCGAGACAGTGCTCCCAGCAGCGGCCCCAGTACCATGTGTGTTGCCTTCGATGGGCTTCGCTAATGCCGATTGAACGACCTCCGACGCAACGCTACTCTTCTGTGGGATCGGAGTCCTAGAGTAAGCCGAGGTCTCGCTTATCGGTTTCGGCACTTGCTCCACAAGTATCGGCTTAGGTTGTGCGACCGGAGCTGAATTGGTCTCGGGCGTAACTCTAGGCAAACCAGCCTGTGGGTGAGACTGCGGCGGTGCAGTCGTTGACGTTACCGATGCTGCGGCTGGCGGGTAGTACGGGCCGTACGGATCAGCTATGGGTCTCGCTCTGGGGTCTCCGTAGTCGTAGTACCTTGAGTATTGTGAATACGGATAGCCCTGAGGTAACCCGGAGTTGGATTCCCCTGGGACTGTTGATTCACGAAGGGGCACGCTATTGACGCTAGTTTCCACGGGTTTCGGCCTTGGCAGCTGAGCCGGAAGCGTCGATACGGGGGCAGGTACGTTTGGTGCGGGACTCGTGCCGAAGCTCTTGCTGCTGTCGATAACGGGATCCGGCGTCACTCGGGGTGTGCTACTGGCGCTGTGATACTGACGGGACTGCGGTCGGCTGATGTTGTGCGTTTGTTGAGGCATTGGTTGCACCGCTGGAGGAATCACTTGATGCTGCTGCTGCTGCTGCAGATGCGGTTGTTGATGCAAATGAGACTGAGGCTGAGATTGTGGCTGATTTTGTGGATGAGGATGAAGGTATGGCTGATGCTGGAGATGTAGCTGTTGCTGCTGTTGGTGTTGCACTGTGTTTTCGATGATAACGTCGTCACTACCGTCCGCTTTCTTTTGGTCCAGAGTTCTACTAAAATCAGTGAATTTCTTTGGTGCCTGAGTTTTTGGATCAGGCGCGTAATAGTCGCGATCTTGCGGTGTTCTCATGCCCTGCGATCTCGCCGGCGAATTGTCCATGGGGTAGCCGAAAGATGTCTTGTTTGCCGATGTTGGTCTCTGCAAGTTTGAGTCCGTGTCCGAATTGGACGGCCGGCTCGATGGACTGTAATCCGAGTTCGAGCCGGTCTCTGCAACCACATCGTCTATGTGAACTTCTTCGACCCTCTGATCTGTTCGCATTCTGTGACCATCCGAGGAGTTTGAGTTTTCGCCCATCGAGCTGACATCGCTCGGATTGTCTAATTTCGATTTGTTTATCTTGGATAAAGACACCTGGTTCGTGTTGATTTGATTCGTGTAGGGCTTCGCTGCCGCAGTGGCCACGTTTTTTGTTCGCTTGGCAACCTCCTTTTCGCCAAATGGACGGTAATTAACACCAGTCCTGATTGGTGTACGATTTTGTTGCACCGGTGGGATTGATGGAGTAGACTTTGGAATTATCGAAATCGCAGAGTTGTTACGAAGCGGGAAGCCAATTTCCGATTTGTTCACTGCACTTCGTTGCGGTACTGGTGTTATACCTGTCACATCAAAACATACAATTTAGTTTTAATGATCGACTTGCAAAAATTTAGTGTTAAAAGAGTTAAGAATCTATATAAGTTTATGAAAATAAAAGTGATGATAATATATATATAACAATAAAAAAAGTAATCTCAAAAATACACGTCTTTTTAGCGTTATTAAAGTTTTTAACATTCATTGGAAGTACTAATAAAAAAATTCATATTTTTGTGTGAAGTATAGTAATCTTGTGAGAAAGAAGGTGTTCTTTACTTTTTTTAGGCTCTTCTTCTTTCTTTTGCTGGTTTATTTTCAAAGCAGTTCTGATAGCGATGATTTTTCCAGACTCCAATTGCATGTAAATGCCCTTGGGACTCTTAAGAACCATGACTCTTTGGCCAGCTTTTAAAACGATACTACCCTTATCCGGGGAATTGGTGGGTATCACAACATCTAGGGGCAAGGTCATCTCTTGCGCGCTCATGCCTTGCCTCTGCCAAACTTCGGCCGGGATCCATCTACTTCCGCTCGGATTTCTACCGATATTGTCTATGCCGCGCTGTTGCATTGGCCTCACAGAGGCAACGGGTTTAGGTGCCGGTCCGCCATTATCGCCGCGAATCTGTCTAATCTGCAGACTTCCAGCTGACACAGACACTACAAATTTATTGAGGCGTTAGTATCAAACAGTAAAATATCAAAATATATAATATTTTTTAAATATATTAAAACATACCTCTAGCTGCTGTATTGCCTGGAACATAGTTGTAACTTGGTCTTGCGCAAGTAGCTGCCATTTTTTCTAATTCATAGCCTCTTCTTGCTAGTCTTTTCTCTGCTTGACTGAGCTTCTTCTCCTTGCGATCAACGAGCAAACTTTCGTGGTGGAAAGGCTCTTTCGTAAATAGAGATGAATGCTTGTCTAATACTGTATGCATTACTTCGTCCGAATATTTATCCTTACACTCTGAAAAGTCCTGCACCTGACTGTCCTCTTCCCAATCCCAAGAAAGCGTCGTCGCTTCTTTCAATGATAAGTGAGCGTCAGGATTGCACTGATCGACCACACGATCGGCCATTCCCTGTTTGCTGATCTGTCTATCGTAAATCTTTCTCTCTAAACAGTTGTCAGTGACCAAACGATAAACGTAGCAATTTTTTTGCTGACCGTACCGATAGACTCTACAAACGGCTTGCGTATCGTGACATGGATTCCAGGAGGCATCAAATACAATAGCTCTGTTTGCTCCGACGAGATTTATTCCCAAAGAACCAGCTCGCGTTGATACCAGGAAGAGATGAACCTTTTTATTCACGTTAAATTCATTGATTAATTTTTCTCGCTCTAGGGCAGTGGTACTTCCATCTAGCCGGTAATAATTGACATTTTTCATCCAGCTTTCTCTCTGACCATCTGACAATTTAAATGGATTCTTAGCCAAAAAGTCCTCGATCAGGTTTAATGTAAAAAGAGACTGGGAAAAAGTAAGAATGCGATCTCCCATGCTTATGGCCTCTTCAAGGATGCAGAAAAACAATGTCATTTTGGCGGAGGCGGTAATCAAACCCGGTATGTAACCTTTCATCAAATCAATAGCCCAATCGTATGGGATACGCGCGTCTAGTTCCTTTGTGTTGGCGATTGCTGCAGCTATTCCACCAGGAGCGTTTTTATCCTTTTCAATTTCATCCTTTAGTATGTACTCGTCATCAGATTTGTCTTCTTTACTTTTATCCTTATCCACTGATCCATCGTTGTTTTTATCATCGTCAAGTTTAGACGACTCGTTGAGATTCTGAGTGTTTTCAGGGATACTTTCAGTCGTAGCACCTGATGGATTATTGGAAGCAGGTACTGGTGCTGGTACATTATCACTTGATTGAAGTTGAGGTTGATTTGGTTTACTCTGCAATGCATTAGCGGTGTTTGTTGCCGCCTGATGCTGAAATTGCTGCCCAGGCACTGATTGCACCGTCGACTTGGAATTCGTAACAGTGTTGGTGGAAAAATTTTGATACTGCTGATTTTGTTGATTCTGTTGTTGATTTTGTTGATTTTCGGAATAATTTTCAGCCGTGGCAGTATGTTCTTGGTAGTTGCCTTGATATTGGTTTTGAGAATTAGGATTACTGTAGTATGGATCGTTGGAGTTTTGATAATTTTGTTGCCAATACGGATCTTGGCTTTGCGATGGTGCTTGTTGTTGTTGTTGATTTGTTGCTGCTTGATTCGAAACAGGCAATTGGGCAGTGGGCGATGCAAAACTAGGAGTGCTGGGAGTCATAGGATAATTACTACCATGATTTTGCGTACTCTGAGAATCAGAGCGAGGGTAGCTGTGCTGTTGTTGTTGTTGATCATTCTGACCGATATTTTTTCCTCCTTGATTAGGAATTTGTGAATTTTTAGGATAATTAAGAGCTTGATTTTGAGTGAGTTGGCTAGTCTGGCTTTGTTGGGTGTTTGTTTGGTATCCATGAGATGCTTGTGAAGAATGCGATGTAACACCTGCTTGGCTTGTGTTGTAATTTATTTGTCCCGTTGGAGCTTGTTGAGTCTGTAAGAAAAAATATTAATAAAGAAACATAATTGTAAACATAAATTATTTATATAGTTGGTAATTTTCATGCTCCAATCCAATGTTTACCTGCTGAGATGGTTGCGAAAATCCAGGTACTGGTTGACCATAAGCATTTTGCTGCGGCTGTTGATGCTGCGATTGCTGTTGCTGAGACTGTTGGGACTGCTGGTGCATATTATTTGGATAAATTGATTGGTTGGGTTGATTCGAATTAGCAGACATTTGCCCATAATTTGGCGAAGTTGTTTGTGACATGTTTTGGTAGCCTTTGATCTGACTTGACTGAGCATAAGGTTGTTGCTGATGATTAGTTTGTTGTTGTTGTTGATGTTGATGTTGCTGTTGCTGTTGCTGTTGCTGTTGCTGTTGCTGTTGCTGTTGCTGTTGTTGCTGTTGCTGCTGCTGCTGCTGCTGCTGCTGCTGCTGCTGCTGCTGCTGCTGTGGCTGATTCGGGTTATAAGCTACAGAATTAGGCGCAGTTGCTTGATTTACAGGATAAGAATGAGACTGGTTCTGCATAGGAGGAACATTTTGATTTGATTGCGTAGCTAAGCTGGAGTAAGACTGCTGAGATGAGTTTTGAATTGAAGGATTGGGCATGTGTTGATGTTGATTTTGGGGATACCCTGAAACATTGGATAGAGATGCGCTCGAAGATTGCTGCTGTTGATTACTCATGTATCCAGTAGCTGTATTTGAATTTTGATTCAGTTGCTGATTGCTTGTGTAGTTCACACTATTGTTTTGCATTTGTTGAGAGTTCACGTTGCTGTAATTTTGATTCTGGTTTGAAGGTGGATAAGGGTTGTATTCAGACATAGCCATTTGACCTGATGGTTGGGCGTGTGATTGGAAATTAGGTTGCTGCTGTTGATGCGACCCTTGCGAATAATTTGATCCTTGACTGAAATTTTGCGAATAGTTCCTATCCTGCTCTTGAAAAGAATAGTTGGAACGAGAAAAGCCCTCAGCTGTTGCCGTATTTCCTATCTGCTGACTCTGATCTGGCCGGAAATTTGTAGACGTGTTGGTAGGTGTACTAGGACCTGTAGGCGAAGGTCCAGGAAACCTCTGGGGCTGACCACTGATCGCGGGAGCAGAAGTATCATTTGACGACACGTTATAATTTTGCTGTCCTTGATACTGCTGCTGTTGCTGTTGCGGTTGTTGCAGCGTTTGATTATCTGAGGGGTAGCTGGGATTTTGATTATACTGAGAATAATTTTGACTTTCCGTTGCCGGGAACTTTTGTGGTGCAGACTGATTTTGATTACCATAATAATTGTACTCATTGGCATGATAATTGCCCGTCTGTTGCTGCTGTGGGTAATTTTGATAACCAGTGTGTTGCGGTGGTGGTTGTTGCTGCTGCTGCTGCTGTTGCAAATAAGTGTTTTGCACAGGTGGATTCGAAAAAGCTTGATTACTAGTCATGGCTGAAGGCTGGGCAGGTGCTCCAAAGTTTGTATAATTTTGCGATTTCATAGCATCACTTTCCAAATTTTCACTTGATGCAGCTGATGCATAAGATTCTGCAATGGCAGTTGTTTTATTTTTCGCAATCGCCTTTTTGCCCTTTTTACCCTCACCCTTGAGAGCTCTAGGTTTATTTCCACGTTTTGCGCCTGCATTTGGTGTTTTATCACCCATCGTCTCTTCAAGATCCAAGTCATCCTCTTCGTTTGCCTGTCGTTTTTTCAAAAAGTGATACAAAACATCTGGATGATTCCAGATCTTACAGCACACGGCAAAGGCTTTGAGGGGGTTCGGCACCGCTCGAGTCTTAACCACTTGGTTCATAAAAGTGTCATAAAGCTTGCGTTGAAACGGCGTCATTCGAACCAAAAGAATGTACTCCTCTTTGCGCGGAAGAGAAACTTGAAGCACGGAATGTGATCGACGTTGCACAAATCCTTGAAGAAGATCATGAAGCACGTGAGCGCGGTATCGCATCAATCTTATATCCTGGGGGGTCGAATCTATACATTGACCATTTTGAATAGGACGCTCAAACATGTTACAAAACTCGCTCTTTGTTCCTGGAATTAATATTGATTTTTTCTATGTAATTATTTTACATTAAATAATTTGTTGTTATGTGTACAGCACTTAGGTGACAGTAAAAAAAAATAATAATAATACTATAATAATAAATAAATAAAAAAACTTTAAGCTGTTACATTACAAATTTTATAACAAAAAAAATACCTAAATAATTTGGCCTCACAAAGTCCACCATGCACCAATATTCCAGCAAATTGTTCTGCAGCGGATAACCAGTGAGAACGACACGACGCTTTGTCCGCATCTGCTTTAATGCTAAGCTAATGCTGGCGTGAGAGTTTTTGATTCGATGTCCTTCGTCGCAAATAACCAAGTCGGGTCCTGGATTTACAAGAGCTGTATGCATTTCGTCAAGCAGCGGCTTATTCTTGTCTTCTTCTTCAACATCGTTTGATGGATCTTTAAAGAGTTGCGGCTGGCCACGTTTTCGTTTAGCTTTGTTTGGCTTTTTCAAAGATAATTGCCTGTACAACTCGTAACCAATGAGCAACACTCCACCGATTTTCTGCCATTCCCGAATCACGCGAGCCCGAGCTGCCATAGTTTTATGCGAGTCATTTAAAATGTGCAACTGAAAATGTCTCGGCCTTATTTCTATATCAGTGGGGGCATCGACGCTGAAAGGAGTTTTGACAATCTCCTCTTTATTGTCTTCCGATTTTTCCGTTTTTGACTCTTCCGTTTCTTTTTTCGGCTCCTCCGTGCCTGTTTTTTGATTCGTATCGGTTTTATTGCTCTCTACTTTTGGTTCCTGTGATGTTATATTTTCAACTTTTTTCACATCAGTTGCTTCCGGTGTGGGTTGATTTCCATAATTTTGATACGGCATGTTGGTACTTATATTGTATCCAGGGTAGACTGAAGTTGGGGCTTGAGAATTGACATTGTGAACGCCTGGATGAATATTGGGTTCTGCGCTTGGATAATTAGAAGAGGACTGCATGGTGGATGTGTGCTGCATACTGGGAGGAGGAACGTGCTGCATATGAGCTGGATATTGTACATTTGGAGGAGGATAATTTGGATTATACTGGGGTATCCCTCGATTATTCATTGCGTAAGGATTCGCATGAGGATTCATCTGTTGAGGGTGGCCAGAAGGTTCAGTCTTGACAGCATTGTATCCAGGATTATTTCCCGGATACATCGATCCATAGCGAGGATCGTACATTGCACTACTCTGACCATAATGGGGAACCATATTTTGGTTGTAGCCATAGTGAGTAGCATATGGATTATTATCTGGCATGTAGCCAGACTGATGGTGTTGACTGTTTGAATCTTGCTCTGAGCTAAACCGTGACAAAGAAGACAAATCACTCTGATTACTTTCTTCCTTTATATTTGTCTTTTCCTCTACCTGCAATTGAGTTTAATCATAGTCAGTAATGATATACACAATGTAGATTGAATGGTGATTTTTTTTTTTTTTTTTTTAAGAATTTTATCTTACTTTTGGTTTGTTGGGATCTTCATAAGGTAACCACATGTTGAATTCAGCCAACCAATTTTGCAATGTATTAATGGGCATGATACACAACACTGTTTTAGCATCGGTGCAACGAAAAAAAATGTCGCAAAAACTGGCCACTTGTAAAGTTTTCCCCAAACCCATGCTGTGAGCTAGAATGCAGCCAAAACCTGAACTCGTTTTGTACCTTTCAATGCTCTCCACGATATTATCGTACAAAAAGCGAATGCCACCAATCTGATGAGGCTTGATTATTCGCGCTACTTGTGGCGCTAAAAAGACGTCAGGTTCATTTTTCGGATGTCCTACATTCACTATTTGAACACAAAATAAAATGCTTGTACTTGCTTTTATGTAATTTTCCATGTAAATAATATCGCATTCTTAGGTCAAGTGAAAAAAAATTACCTATTACTCTGCCCTGATCATCGGGAATGTTATAACGATCGGTTGTGTGCATACCAGAATTAGAGGGATCATCTTCATTATCTGTTTCTTCCGTTTCGCTTGGGTCGCTCAAAACAATACAATCATCATCAGAACTCTCACTCGAGCTAGATATCGTTACTACGTCCTTGCCTTTGGCTTTCGGTGCCCCGGCAAGCTTGCGTGCCTGTTGCATTTGTTTTTCGTGAAACATTTCCTCATCTTCAATCTCAGCCTCAACATCCGAAAGATCCGAATCCGTGTAGTACTCGAGATGCTCGATCGGCTCCTTCTTTGGAACGACTGGCGAGATGCTGACTGACGGGGTCATCATGCGGATTCGCTGCTGCAGTGCATTGGCTTGACTAGGACGACCCGGCGGTCGTGAGAGTGACGTTGGTTGGCCAGTCCTACCTCCGCGCTGAAAGCGGGAACCCTCGCCCATCGGACGACGTTGCCCGACTTGTGTCTGTAGACTAACTGATGACTGACTTCCAGCTGCCACGCTTGAGTTGACTTTCAACATTACGGAACTTGGCAAGCGAGCCTGCGACTGCAGAGAAACAATGTCAATGTTGTAACAGGTAAAAAAAAAAAAAATATTTGTAACTACTCATTTGTAAATTTTGTACCTCTCTGATGATCCTTTGCTGTTCTTGAAGACGCTGCAAACGCTCCATTTCTTGTCTTTGAGCTGAAAGAGTCGCCTCGTCTAGTTGCGTTTCGTCCATTACTTCTCTTATATTTCGCCTCATGTTGGATAGTTTTTTATCCATTTTGGAATCTAATTCGGAAGAATTTTCATGACCTTCGTCTTTTTTCTGCTTTTTCTTTGTTGAATCCAAATCGTCATTGACATCTGTTCGTCGCTTTTTAACATCGTGGCCGTCTTCCTCGCCAGATCGAGAGAGCGACTTGTCATCTTCATCTTCGTCATCGTTCATTTTACCTAGTAAATCTGCTTCTGTTACTTCTTGACCTTCTATGGGTGCACCTGATAAATAAAAATACAAATTCCACGATTAATCCAACAAATAATTTCTAATTAAAAAAAAAAAAAAAAAAAAAAAAGCTCACCTTCCAAAGGTAATGTATCCAGTATGTTGACGGATTCAATTCCTATATCGTCCTCCTCATCTTCTTCCTCTTCATTGTCGTCAGAGGGAAGAGATTGGATATGTTGCCTCTCAGTCTCCATTCTTACGTCTATATGTGAATCGATTGTTTCATCGAGATCCATATCGTCGGCTGATCCTTCTGTTCTAATTTCTTCTACCTCATCCGATTGTTGAGGTGCAACGTTGTTTGCTCTCGCATTTTCCGTCCCTCCGTTGTTAGAATCTTCAGAAATCTCGTCATTGCCACTTTGACGATCACCCATTTCTTTAGAATTATCAACGCTACGATCAGGCTGAACGACTCCTTCAGTATTTCCAAAGGAGCCCTCTTTAGAGACCTGTTCTACACTACCATCTTTAACGCTCGTTAAAAAATTATCAAAATTGTCAGACATATTGCTTTGAATGTTCATCAAGATTGTCCATCATGCACAATATCACTTCTTCTAAAATTGACGAGGTATCCTTTGACATTATCGCCAAATTCCATCCTGAAACATTTGAAAGTACGTGCAACTTGAAATAAGTGTTTCATGTTGACAAATCATCATTGTTCAAAGTAAAGAAACAAAGCTGGGGTAAGTGCGTGCATTATTAACATGTAGGTATGGTACCTTGACTGAACCAGCAATAATTTGACGCTCATAGCAAACGATTTCCATTGCCTCTGAAACACATATCCCTAGGCACAATCAGTTTATCTCAATCATCATGAGAAATGCTTAGATTATTCAACCACAAGTTTGCACAAGTTGAAAACAAGAGTAGATTTATGTAGCCTACTTGTAGGTACTATAAAATTTTAATGAAACTGAATGTTCTACTTGTCAGCATTGTAAGCATACATGCATTCACTGAACACTTAAAAAAAACACTGCACAAACGAGAGTGCTCCAGGAATCGAGAAAACAGAAAGAGATACTTTACGCGGATCGAGGATATAATTTCTCGTGTAGTATGACCATGGAGCAGAAAACGCGACGTCCTCACGGGAAACACTGCAATACAAAACACACAACACCACTATCTCGCAACGATCGACGATTCGGCGGCGTCGTCCTGTTGCAGCAACCAATTAAGTAAGTAAGTATTACGAAATTATACAAACAACACTTTGGCCGAAGAAGAAGGATTAGCGAGAGGACAACGAAGGGACAGTCGCGACGAGGAACCGGAGCAACGTCATCGCCGTGGACGAGGTGGGCCTCTCTCGTTACCATCGGCGGAACTGGGAGTCCATGGCGTCCCTGTCCATTCGAGACGATGACGACGACAGTGGCGATGGGGCAGAAACGATCGCTGATACTGCTCGCGCGTGTACGTATACTGCACAAGCATCCGCACGCCTACGTGCATGAACAGACACAGATGGGATAAAAAAAAAAGAAATAGAGAAGCGGCTAATCGCGGGTTCGACGCTCCGAACTCCAAAGTTATTAAGCTCCGTTCTCTCTTTCTCTCCCCTGTGAATTGCTCTCTGTTGTTGCGGGCGGCTGCTGATTTACTAAACCCCCGTACCTGCACCAGGCTATCTGCACGCACCCAGTCCTTGTTCTACCTTCTACCATTTACGTGGTCAACCCTCGAAATCTGCCCTACTCCCGGAAGGAACTACCCCCTTAATTATATTTTATCATTTTCCGACCCCAAACTCTTGATATATACGTGTAAACTTGCGCCCCTGACTGTAATGGTGTATGTATACCTATTTTTTTGTGTCCTTGTCTATGTCAGCAGCAGCCCCCGGCCCCCCCGAGCCCTGAGAGAGAGAGAGCTGTGGGGCCTGTGGTGTATTTTCCGTTCTCCGCCTCTCTCTTCCTTTACCGATATTTATACCTGTATGGTATGTATCATTTTCTGCTCCTCGCCTCTCGCTGGCTCGAGCTCTTTTCTCACGGTTCTTCACGGTACAGAGATGTGTCCTGCTGTACATACTATGCATCTATATATACCTACATTTAATGGAGAGAGGAGTATGGAGTTCAGTAGGCATCTCTTTTTCTTATACTCATCATAAGTCTCGTAACTCATGTATAATAACATAACTTGTATTGTTACAAGTACAATAGGTACGCATAACATGTACATTGCATTGAAGGTGTTGATACGGGCACGTCTGCGATGGAGGAGGGTAACGGCATAACACCCTTTGTTAGGATAGGACTTTTTTTTATTATTAATTTACCTGAGGCAACACTGTTTTTGATATTATGTTACAATTGATTTTTCCGGACCATTTGTTATTGTTTGTCGAAGATAATCATAAGATTCTTTGATTTAAAATCATACACGTGAACATTTATTGAAAAAATTGTCAAAACATTTTTTGGACATTACAATACCTTACAGTTTAAATATAACACTAAACTTAATTTATAACATACGGTTTAAGCAGTGTGTTTCTATTATACATGTATATACATAGATACATATACATATACATGTTTGTATATTTAATTAATTTAATTTACATACGTGAGAAGAATTTATCTGTAAATTTTTATTTATTGTCAGGAAAAAAGATAGTTTAAAATTATTGCAAGTTAAAAATTGAATTTGTTTTTTACATTAGTTGACTTGACTTGAAATTTTCTGAAAGTGCCATACACGTTAATGTTTAAATATCTATGAGATATTGGATTATTTCAAAAAAAGTTTTATTTCATCAAAATGCTAATCAATTGCTGATTGAGGAATATATTTATGTGAAGAAATTCCAACTGAAAAATATTCATCACCGAACTTTATACACTGAAAAATGTAAGTGCACACTTAAAAATCGAACAAGATTTTAAAAAAAAATATTTATTCAACAAGCTGGCACCGTCCAAGTGAATTCTGATGTAGGCTCTGCATACTTATGTCTAACTAGAAAAGTGGCTACTGCCTCTGCCACTTTTTCAGGTGCATCTTCTTGCACCGCGTGACCACAGGCTGTTAGAACTTGTAACTGAAATTTCCCTTGCATTTGACCAACAGTCAGCTCCCTGTCCAACCTGTCAACACCAGCGAGAAGGAGCATCTTGGGAGCTGATAATTCTAAAAATGCAGATGACAGTCCATGAAACCATCCATTCCAGTATTGCTCTGTTTTAGCTAGATTTATCCTCCATGTGTACTTGTCAGACTTGATTGTTGTATTTTCTTGTGAAATAGATGAAGTACTTAATTCTCCCTCCAAAATAGTACCCATTGGACCACCTAGTGGAGCAGAGTTGACATTTGTATTGGTATCAGTTGTTGGTTCAGATTCTAGATCATCTGTCCCTAAAGTCCCAGTGGCAACATTTTTTATTTGTCCTGGTACAGAAACCTTTGCAGAATGTAAATTTCTTATTTGTCCACTGCGTACGCACCACTCTATTGCCTTGGACATGGATGAAAACGATGATGGACGGGAACGCAAAAAACCTTGCATGGATCTAAGTGCGTCAATCGCTGTGCCTTCGACTACATCGATTACAACAACACCAACGACATTAGAAACGAGTGGTGCTGTTCTTACTGCAACTGCACCTCCTAGACTGTGACCAACCAAAACCACTGGTTGATTCTCTGATATCGCTTCTAATACATGAGCTGTATCTGCTGCCAATATTTCAATTGACAATTCATCATCATTAGTTGTAGTGGTACTTCCATGTCCTCGCAGATCAACTGCCATTACTCGACATGTGACCAAGCTCATTACTGATTTTGTGAACTGAGACCACGTTAGAGCACTGTAGCCTCCGCCATGTAACAATACCAATAAAGGACCCTCAGTTCCTTGAATATACACATGAAACGTATCTTCATTGATGACGATAGTTTTTCTTTCACTAAAGTACTGGGTCCAAGAAACAGGTTCGTAATCTCTTTTGTGACCTTGGCCTTTATGTTGCAACAATTTTGATGACAAACTAGCTGGAGTAGGCATATTTTTAGTCTTGGACTTGACGATTTCCTTTTGCAGGTACGACATCTTGGGTGATCAGACAGATTTTTGCCAGAATAAAAATTTTATATTTTAAACAATTTTTAAATGTTCACACACAATTTAGATGACAAGTAAATATTTACTTGTAGAGTCAAAATTATTTCTAGAACTGTCACGTCAATTATCAACTTGAAATTTTCTTGAAAATTCTTCGGAATGTGCCAACTAGAAGTAAGATTTCTCAAAAACACATGACTTTCAAGATACAAATTGACGAAGGATTTTGAAATAAATTTGTTTCAATGCAAAAATTGAGGTGATTCAGTTGGCAACCTCGCAGGCATCAATCCAATCATTGTAAACGTCTAAAGGCTCCGAGAGTAGGTTTATGGTTGTCTGAAAGTCTTCTAAACAAACTCTACATGATATCCGACCTGTTTTTTTCGATTTATCCCTGAAACAATTACAAGATAGACATAATTTAACCACACTGTAGTCACAATCGCTGTACGTAAAATTTACAATGAAGCAATTGTTGAGCCAGTAAACTTATCGTAGAAGACATGCACACTACGTAAAGATTAAGTAATTGTTGTATATTGAAAACTGTAATTTATATACCAAAATTATAAATTAACAAAATCTTCGGGTTTCAAGATAAAAGCGTGATTGCGAAGATTCTCTGTAAGTAAGATGAAAACCTGCTTTCAGCAGCTAGCTTAACCTAGTCCAAGGTCCAAGGTGATGGATATTTTATTCCTACAGAATATACTTATCCAAGTACTTACATGGAAGGGGGTGGCACCTATGGCCTGTGTGCTACCTGTGTATGGTACTTGAATAAAATTCGAGAAACAGTATGGTGTCGAGAGGAAAGAGAGGTTGGTGTGCGTGCTGAGAAAGAGAGATAGAGAAGACATTCGCCGATTCGCGGTGTGGTGGTGTATGTATAGGTGTAATGTATATAATAAATGGAATGTTTACGTACATTTTAACTTCACAGGATTTTTCGTGATTGCAGAAAGGACAGTTGAACTGGGTGTCGAGGGGCATAATAGCCTTGCGCTTTGGTGGCGGCTTTCTTTTACTCTTCCTCCTTCCCATTGTTTTTTATTTATACAAATTTATTGCAATCGAAAATCGTGGCTCTCGGCTTTTATTCAAGTATATGTTTACAGCACTATTTCGAGAAGTTTATCAGCGGGTATAAATTAAGTAGTGGAATGAAAAAACACGCTGCATGCACACGCATGCATTTGACCGATTTGACGATAAGATTACGGACCTGCAAGAGCAAATTAATAACAGTCACAACGTTATGCGACGTACCTACTACGTTCATTCATCGGAACTTGCTGCTGATTGGTGGAAGTGTTTTACCAAAGATTACCAACACTGCCACCCAAATTATTTCAATTTCAAATTGAGTAGTAGCACTTTTTTGCCCGTTAATTCGCAAAATGTTGTATTTTTTAATGCCATTTTAAATAATTATAAATATACATTTCGCACATTTTTTACACACTCAATTTATTGTTTTTTTATTTATTTTACTATTATTTATATAAACATTAGGATGTATATGTGTATACATGAAACAATTAAGAAACAAAAAAGAATTTAAAACAGAAGGACAACAACTGTCAATTGCATTGTAAAAAGATTTGGTAATTTTATTACATTGGTTCATTGGATGTTTGAAAATGTGTGACATCTGACGTACTTATATATATATATATTCTAGCCAATGCTAAATGTCGCATCATTTTCAACGCTCAAAATTACTAAAAAAATTTACAGTGTGTGCCACAAATGTAAATAAATAGCATCAGAATAAATATAAAGTATAGATTGTCAATCAGTCAATCAAGTGGGGGGGAGAGTACTTAATTGTATACACACACATGAGTGCTTTTTTTGCTTTCGCTTTCGGAGTTTCGGAGTTCGGAGACCTGGAGTCATGAAGTACTAAGTACACATATATCGTATCAGATCAGGCGGTGCTGCCACAGCTAGTATAGCGTCCAAGCCATGCGGCGAAGGTGGACCTGGAACGCACCGCGAGTTTACAATCTTCATGTGACTTTTGGCTCATTGACTTTCGCGTAAAAATATAAAATTACCCATACCCTATACACATTTCGTTGCGTGCGTGCGTGTGTGCTGATGCTGTCGCTGGTTATTTAAAAATGGCGGATGCCTCGTCTTCCGACACCACCTCCGACGACTGTTCGAACGAATGCTTATCTGACGTTTTATCGGAGAAGAACACAGAGTACGTCGTCGGGAACCCAAGATTCCCGGGCCAGCCCAGCAATCGGCATTTCCTACAAAAGCTCTTCACTCGAGAGGTACAAGATTTTATTTGTAAGCCTCCTGCTCCGCTAACTCGCTCAACCCCCTCGACCTTCGGCAAACGTGTGTGTCCTTTCCCCAGCTTCAACATTTCCCTTTTTTTTTATTGTTACGACTTGTACCCACTCTCGAGATTATCAGCTTCTGGGACTCGAGATTTTACTCATCCAGGGCGAGTTGAATATTTTTTAATCCCCCATTACAAGAATTATTTTAATATCACGAAAAAGGGCGTTCCATTCTTCGATTGTCGTTTAAAAATATTTTCGAATCAATAACTACTGTCCTCTACCGGCTCTACCCTCTTGCCCCCCCCCCCTCTTTTTTTTGCACACACAAGTACTATTTAACGTTATTTTTTTTATACAAAATGTCACGATTGGTGGTCGTGGATCACTAAAAATAAAAATTGCAGCTCGAATCCAAATCACATTTAGAATTGAACAATTTTGCAACTTTTATTTTTTCACAAAAAGTTAGGGGCACCCAATTATTTCAATAAAAATTTTTGTTCAGATAAGGGGATCAGTAAGACAGCACAACTATGCCCCAGAAGAGAGTCTGTTTTCTACATTCCCCTCGTGGCGTCATTTATCCCTGGTACACATTATTCCGAAATCGGCTCTTCAAGCAGGGTAAGCTTAGTTTTAAAGTACATGCGAACATTACAATCTACGTTGTTAAATTTTAATGTATTTATAATTATAATTACATGTTTTTACAGACACATTGTCATGGGATTAACACAGTGTGGGAGATTTTTATTAACATACACTTACAATATTGACGTTGGAGTTCCTGGAAGTCTTTTTAAATATTTTTTACACTGGTGGGCTTTTACTCCAAATAGAGTGTCTAGAAAGGTGGCTGAGGTTACTCTATTTGGTAATTACAACATTCACAAAGAGCTTAGTATTGTTATTGCACAGTGGCCAACAGAGAGAAATAAATTGGTAATACATGGTCTCTGGTAAGTCATACTTGTGCACGTAAATACGAGTTATTCTCACGGGTTTTTCAGTATAATGTTTTCATGTTGAATATTGTATTTTTCAGTTCTAGTTTTCAAATGCAATCTCAACAAATGGACAGAGCATTTATAACTATTACTACAGTTCCATCCCTTAGCAATTGCAAAGACTGCCAAAGTATAGCTTCTAAGTACGAAGAAGAAGGTTAGTAAAGAAAATAGATAAACATCAGTTCTCTTAATAAATGTTTGTACTTTTTTTAGATTTAGCAGCTATATGGGATACCTGTGTACGTTGCAATTGCCTGCAACATGGTCTCACAGTACATACTACGTACGAAGTGATCTCCCCTTATCCACAATTTCGTGCTGATGTATGCTTAAACTATGCTAATCACATAGTGGTTAACACGGGAAATTTTTTACACGTACTCAGGGTAGACTTGGAAAATCTTAAAATAAAAAACCAGGGAATTACAGAAAAATCTAATGCAGCTATTGTTGACATTGAACAACTGCATGAAGTGGAAGAGGCAAAGGCTGAAATGTACAATAGTTTAGGTGAGAAAGATGCAACTCTTGAAAGTATTTCCGTTGTTTCTCCAAAGTGTGACTCGGCGACAACAGATTATGATTTTGTTGAAGAAACCCAGTGTAAAATAACTTATTCTATAGAACATGAACACTTAATAAATAATTCTGGCAGCAATCAAAGCGAGTATATCTGTGATATTAGTAAGTCTAGTGTTAGCTTAAGTGATAAAGCGTGTACATGCCTAGATATACAGTGTCAGTGTGTTATTTCGGGCTACGTCAGTTCACAGTCTGAGCAGCAAACAATATCGGTTAGGGATAAAATTTTACAAGACTTCTGCGAAGATGTGTCACAGGAATTAAGTATAGGAAGTGATATCATAACATTAGTGAAACATCCACCGTGTTCTCCAAGATCAACACCTCAAAGATTGCCAGCGGATTTAAAGCTTGGAACATCTTGTTTGCTAAATCCACCGTCTGATATTTTGAAAACGCGTAATTCAGAGTCTAGTCCAATTATCGATTCGCAATCTAGTGCTTCTCCGGTTAATACTTGCTTAAACATCTCTCCAATGTACTCACCTCGTAATACAGGGCTTTGCATTGGAAATGTAACGCCGTTGTCTCCTAGTCTGATGTCACCGCCAATCACCAAGTCGTTCAGGTAATATACTTGTTATTTCTCATCATTTTACAAAAAATACTTGTAATTGTTGGAAATATTTTGATTTGGTTTTTTTTTTTTTTTTTTTTTTTTTTCTTAATATGTACACGCGTAGACACTCTATCGCTCGAAAACGAACCAATATAATGTCTCCAACGCCAAATTTGAATTCACCGCGAACCCGAGCGAGTCACAAAATTAATTTGGAGGCAGAAAAAGCTTACGAATTCACGGACGATGCTCAAGAGACTTGCGAAAAATTGAGTTCGTTCCGGAAACGCCGGTTGGCTGATAAAAAATACGAGTTTTGCGATGAAACCGAAGATGCAGAAAACATAGTTCCTTTTAAGCACATTCGCGATCAGTCCAAGCATCGTGGATGCCCGATACGTCAAAATTCGCCAGTTGCCTCGCCATTGCCTAACGTTCGACGACAACGAGTGGACTCGGAGCAAAGCGAGTCCGAGGACCCCGGAGCGCAAGAAGTGCAAGCTTTCAACGACGAGTATATAGCCATGAGTAAGTCTCTATTTTACACACTTTTTTGTAAAATTTTGAATCCCGTATTAATCATCATTTTATCAATCCTTTGTACTTAATCGCGTTTTCCACTGTAGCGGAGAAAAATGTACTTAGACCTCTGAATCAAAATCAACTGCCTAATCATTGCCGCGAAAGAGCTAACAAACCATGTGTAAATAATGTCTCGCCTCTGGTACCTAAAGCTACATTGAAATATCCTATAATAAAGTGTACTTCGCATTTTAAGCGAAGTTACATAGACTTAGATGACGAAAGAACTTCAGTTATCACCGATGTCGAAGGTATGATCACAGAGTAAACATTTTTTATTTTTAAATAAATTGTTTTTCGGTGTAGATGTTGATTTTTAACTCATTGAAATTCTTCGTCAGATGAGGAAACTGGAGGATACGTTAGCTATCAGTACATACTGCCTATGCAAGTTCATGGAGCAGATTATGTTCAAATGGGGATGATTAGCAATGCTAAAGCCGAAAAACTTGTAAGTTCTGCATCAACGAATCTAAACACAAGTTTATATGAAACTCAATTTAATTATTAATAAAATATTATATTTTAGAATGTCCCATGTGTCTCCATACATCAAATGAGTTTCGACATTGAAACGTTTTCCCACCACATTGCTGATTGGCAGTGTAAATTGTTTGAAAAAAAATATTGGCATTGCAGCGACTATGATATTGAAATAATCGACGTGTGCTCTCTAAGTGGCGATATAATTCTCTTACTTATCATGAAAGTACAAACAAGTGAACAAAGTGGCCAAGTACAAAGGTTTGTCATTATTATGTCTTATAAGTCAAAAATATTCCTCACTAATTAACTTTGCGTTTTTGCAATTATTATTTTCAGTTTGGATGATAGAATACAGTATATTGCGGGCTGCAAATTTGCGTGGAATATAGATTCTAATTTGTACAGGATAACTGATATTTTAAAAATGAAAGAGGTGAAATCTGATTCCTCTAGATCTGATAAATCTCACGGTTCATCGACTGTACCATGGAATCCAACGAAACTAATCGTACCACAAATGAGGGAAAATATCCAACAGCCTTACGCTCGTCATGTTCGTTACTTATCTAACGAATTAACTTTACAAGGTTTGTAATTTATATTTTTATTTGCCATTTATATACATTTTACAATAAAATTTTTACAAACATCAAGGTAAATATCTTTTTCAGATGAATCGATTACAAAATTAAAGGATTTTGATAATCTGGTCCAATTTTATGTAATGCCATTGCCTACTTCTTAAATAAAGTAAAATTTATGCGATAGGCTTAATTAATTTTTTCTTAAAAGACTTCTTTTAAGTTAATATTTTTGTAAATTCTTAAATGCGTATTTATCTTTGTACATTTTATTTATTATTATGTGTGACTGTTACATATAAAACTGTNTTTGCTCAACTTTGTCGACCTAACTTTGCTGCGAGCCCTTTTTCTCTGCGTTTATTTCCTACTTCTTCCTCCCTAGTTTTATCAAGGGAGTTCATAGATTCTTGCAATTTAAAATTTTTAACCAAAGATTCCGGACAAACGAAAAATCATGTAATTATAAAAAAAAAAAAAAAAAAAAAAAAAACAAAAAAAAACAGGAAGTAGGGAAAAAGCAAAGTCGAGCTTTTTAAATCGTTCGCGAACCCGATATTCGAAAAAGAGCGCGAAAACATGGCTGTAGTGGAGAGTTTGAAATCACACACACATACACACACACCCCGTCGACTCGGTCTCTCTCTCATCCGTGTATAGCGATGCCGTAGCCAAGGAGACGAGCACCGAAGCAGCAGCAGCAGACGGGCAAAGCACACGCATATAATATTTATCTTTTAATAACAAAAATATTCAACAAAAATTTATACAAATATTTTGGAATTCACTTTAGCCACAGACAATGCCTCTTCCCAAGCATCTGCACACTGTTGATAGTGGGCAATTTGTTGGTCGGCCATTGATATAAGTATTTTTTTCAAATCTTTCCGTTTCTCGACATTCCATCGCTCCAAATCGCTCCGCAAATTTTCATTCGCACATTCCAGCCTATCTTGTAAGACTTCAACGACTTTAGAAATTCGAGGAATAGTTTGCGATAATCGATCTAATTTTTCATCATTTGTTTCCGTTTTCCAAAATGAATTTTCTCGACGACTCGAACCTCTACTTGCAGAACCAACGATCTATTTGAAATGTATTCATTTGAAGTTAAAAAATGCATGGATTGTTAATGTAACACTAAAGATAATTTTAATTACTGTTCTTTCTTTCAAATGTTCTGTTTCTGCTTTTCTTTTTGTCAATTCTTCAGTTGCTAACTCATATTCGATTTGCATTGCATCCCTCCGAATCAATGCATCTTTCACAGCATCAACGTAAGCAGTGTATTCTCTTTCTTCATTGACAATAGAACCTAATAACTTTTGATGTGCTTTTGCATTGGATTCAACCGCACTGGCAACAGCCTGTAAAATATGTTTCAATTCTGGTTCTGAAGTTGACCACTGGGTAAATACAGGATGCAGTTGATGTAACTCTGCAGTGTAATCTGAGAACGTGCGAAAAAAACAAATTAAGAGATTTAAATGAATAACTCTACGAACGTATCATCCACATTTACCTTGTCTTTCTCTGTGTATTCTCTGACTTATTTTGTCAATGGTATTTAATTTTTCACTTAAAATCGCACAATAATCTTTTGCTTGCTCAAATTCTTTGTACGGCTGTCTCAAGACTCCAGTACTTAAACTTTGCAGCGAATCGGTTATTTTATTCTGAGCTTGGCTTTTACAGTGAACCATAAATTCCTTTAATTATAAAAAAAAGATTAATAAATAATAATAATTAATAAAAACCCAGATGAATTTTGACAAACTTACAGCATGAGTGGCAGTGAGAAAAATGTTCAAGTTTTTGTCACAACTCAGAATAGGATGATTAATAATCCTATTTAAAAATACATGTAACAACTTCATTCGGACCAGTATAAATTCTTTGGAATAACGGTCGAGCGCCAAAAGGAAATGTTTGCCTGGCATAGGCTGCAAAAGTATAATTCTTAATTAGCACGTTGAATCGAAGATACATTATAGAATTGTTTTTTCTCAAAGCAGGTGGTATCTTACTGGAATTATGTGAGCTGGATAAGTTTCCACCAACTTCTCTCGTAACCATTTAAAATCATTATAACGCTTCCTTACGATGAATTCTCCTTCTTTGAATTCGGGTCTCGTCGACTGGAGGTAAATGTAAATACAGTGTATCAAGTCTATTAGCTAAAGAGAGTAGTTAATATAACCAAGGTAATAATAAGTGTATCGAAATGGTTTTTACTTTGGTCGTGATTCGGAACGTAACGTAAGTCTCGAGGGTCTCGACATGTTTCTGAGGATTGTCGACTTTGACTTGAAGATCTCGCAGGTCAACGTTGGAATCTGACGTCTCCTGATCCGGAAAGGTCGAGAAGCTCTCGATGGACGGTGAGGCGACCTGCAGGAAATTTAGTTATATACGTGTATACGCCCAACAAAATGTCTCAAAACAAACAAGTGTAATCCTTACGACGGAGCCTTCGAAGGACGTGCTGTAGCTGGAGGCGGCATCATCTGGCTTGGCACTCTTCTCCGTGAGCGAGCACGAGCTGATTTCCAGGATAGCCGAGTCGTCGACGAGCTTCTGATGGTCGACTTCGTCTGGCTCGCTATCGGTCGGTGTCATCATGTTTACCTTTTAACTATGACAGATCACATGCGGCAGGTGATCCACCGAAGCAAACTGTTGCTATTATTAGCTCTATTGACATTTTGACATACCTCTGACACGATACGTTAAGGGCGAGTTTACATAATCCACTTGGAACACCCTCCTTTTTTTTTGTCCTGGACAAAATCGGTGGATTTGAAAAACGCGCTTTTCGTATCTTTCTATAAAATTGTTCGAAAGAAATTTACAATAAAATTAATTTACTTACAAGTATAGTGCATCTCTTAAATTTGTTTCCTTTTGGGGTGAAATAAAAAGCAAAGAGCAAAAGTACCGAGTATCGGTGGCAAAAGGTAAAAGATTCTAAAACAGCTGCTCTCTATAAATATATACGGATCGGTAAACAAATGAAGCGCAAAATTTTTGCACGAAGCCGCATTCTGTCACTGTTTTCGCGAGATGTCCGAGAAAAAAAAACGAGGTTATATATTGTTGTTGAAAAAGTAAAGCCGAATAATAAACATTTTTCTCCTGGGAAACCGTATCTCCGGGGTAACCCGAGCATCCATTATTGCGACATAATATTAATAAATCGGAGAGCGCACAGTGCCAAATGGGCAGCTGGAAGGCGAACGATGCCTCGTTTGATGATCTGTTCGACGACGACGACGACGATGTCCTCATCATACCTCCGGAAGACTCGAGCCTTCAATCGTCGGTTGATCCGATCACACATTCCCTTCATTCGGAGGAGTCCTACTTGATACTTGAAAACGGCGACTTTTTCGATTATGGTGAGTTTAACGTACCCGCAATGACGAATTTTTCGTTTCAGTACACCCATTTTTTTTCTTTCTTTTCTTTCCTTCATCTGGTTTTAACATTACACATAACAAATTAATTTTTCAACGTTTTTAATTTTCATTGAAAAATATTATCTTCGTCCTAGTACGTATCAGAATTGTTTTTACTTTGAATAAAAACGAATTAAGGTATTGTGCCATACACATTGCGCTGATTCCGCAAAAATATTTGGCGATTTATCGAAATCGGTTGTTAAATCGGTATGAGTATCGTATGATCGCCCCACATCTTTGTACCAAATAACAATTATAATAATAATGTATACAAGTAGAGTCTAGCCATAAAGAGTCTCTTTGGGCTTTCCCATTAAAACCATATACCTACTATATCATGCGCACCCGACACATTTTTTTAAATTCCCTGACACGCGTATACAGAGGCAGGTCCACTTTCTTCGCAGAGAAAAAAATCAATAAGTACGTAAAAAAAAAAAAAAAAAAAAAACCTTGACTCGAATATTTTACTGATACTTAAGTAAGCGAGGGTTTACTTATGGTGAAAAGCAAAAAATGTCCTATGCGAGAGTAAAAATTGTTTGTCCAGTGTGATGTGTAAATGTAGATCTCAACGATAGTATCGATCCTTACTAGCCCGGGAGTACAGCGATTGTTGTACTAATTGTTAAAATAATAATCAACATTTGTCATTTGGTCACACATGTAATATATACACGCGTAAAAAAAAAAACTACGATAACAAATGTGTCGACAAAAATTATATGCGCAAAGTTCGAAGTATCGAAAAAAAAAAAAAAAAAAAAAAACAAAAAAAAACAGGAAGTAGGGAAAAAGCAAAGTCGAGCTTTTTAAATCGTTCGCGAACCCGATATTCGAAAAAGAGCGCGAAAACATGGCTGTAGTGGAGAGTTTGAAATCACACACACATACACACACACCCCGTCGACTCGGTCTCTCTCTCATCCGTGTATAGCGATGCCGTAGCCAAGGAGACGAGCACCGAAGCAGCAGCAGCAGACGGGCAAAGCACACGCATATAATATATATCTGCCCATACGCACGGGCATTCAGTAGTAAAGAAAGGATATAAGACGGACGGGAGGAGAGTTGACGTCGGGGAAGAGAAAAAAAAAACCTGTTCTTGCGGGGCAGGTATCGAGGGGGGGGGAGGGGGTGGGTGTAAAAGGAAAAGCCTTGGGCTACGGGGAGACGTGCGAGTGTACATCGTCGCCGAGGAGGTGCGATCGGCCCGAGCTTCAGGGCGCTCCGCGTTGACCCGGCGCGCCAACCCCCTCACCCCGGCTGGCCGATGGCTACGACGTTTCCCGGGTGACGGGAGGAGAGGACGCGCGGCGCCAACTCATCGTCCCGGACATTCATGAAGCCAGGTAGGGAAGAGCACCCCGAGCCCTTTGCCTCCTCCTTGTCACGCTCCTCTCTCTCTCTCTCTCTCTCGCCCCCGAGAGCTGTTCGTACCTACCTTCCGACCCCCCTGGACTTTCCTGTGGTTTTTCACCGAGCTTTTTTTTCCGCGGTGCATGATTTAGCGTATATTATAATATATGTGCGAGCACAAACTCATTTCGTAAGAGCATGCAGTGGGTCGTGTGTATACACGACGATACACGTATACACATATTATACGGTATAACGTGTGCGATGGCAGCTGCTTTTTGCTTTACCTCTCTATATACCATATGCACATGTATCTTTCTCTCTTTTTTTTTATGTGTATAGTACTTTGTGTACCGTGTGGCGGAACATCGCTTTCGTCTTTTGCCGAGTTTTGAAAAACAATAAACAATAACCATTTTCATCTTGTTTGCTTCACGGGGTTGTACTTGGGAATGCTTTGGAAAAAAAAAAAAAAAAAAAAAAAAAAAAGTTTGACGAGCAAAGTTGGCGAAAGATCGATCAATTGTGCCGTTCAAGCTCTTGGGGTAGGTTGTGTACCATGGGGGAAAAAAAAAAATTTGCGGTATCCGGTAGTAGGACGATCCAAAGATAATTTTAGAGTGTTATTTTTATCGATGTTTGTATACTCTTGAAAAATCAGATTTATCGTAGGGACCGATCGGTGAGTTCAATTTAATTATTTTAAACTCGTGTCCGATAGTAAAAACACACAAGAACATAAGTATAAGTACTGACGAGTTGATAAAAAAAAAAAAAAAAAAAAAAAACCTCGCATGGGAGATTATTCAACGTACATTTTACATATACGTGCATGTCGCATGTACACGTACTCGGACAATGGGTACATATTGTAATGATACGAGGAACCGAGTGTGTATACATATATACGTCCATCTGCAACGGGCGATAGATAATTGCACGTAATAAAAGATATACGTACATATATATATATATGGGGATAAAGGCTCTTGTACATATATTTATACATATACACGTGTATACACGCACGAAGCCGTATCGAGATTTCCAATTAAAGTGGGCTCTCTCTATCAATCTCGTCAATGCAATCAGCCACGCGTACGTAAGCGCACTGCCCCTAATGCAAAAACTCCCTCCCTTTCCCATCGCATATATCTCACTTTTATTTTCGCTTTATGAATTACCTATACGTATACACATGTATGTATGTATGTATGTATTATACAGGCACCACACTAGTATATTATACCTACTCCTCCCTCCGGCACCAGCTATTATTGTTATATACGCGCACACAACATATTATATATTACATGTGTGTGTGTGTATTGTACTTACGTGTAATTGTACGCAGACGGGCTATTCGCGAGTAATAAAAAAAAGAAAAAAAAGAGAGACACCCTCCTTCTCTCCTTGATCGTGTGTGTATGTATAATACGTATAAATCAAGACCACCAAAAAAAGAGCCGGTCGGTCGTTCCTCTGATCAGAGGAGACCAACACTCGTTGCCCCAAACTCCGTTCAATTGAACGTTTTTATTCATCTTTCGATCGTGTAAGTATAGGTATATTATATACCTATACCCGTTAAATGTAAAAGCTCCCTCCTCGACACACTCCGTTACACGTGACGAAAGTTTTCGGTTCGTTGGGTGCACATTGTTGTACATTATTGTTTTCACGTGTTAAAACGTGATACTATGTCGGTTGTATTTAAAAAAAAAGGAAAAAAAAAGAAAAAGAAATGTACACATCACCTATATAAATGTACATGTGTGTATTCCCATCGCATTTCCATGCATATACACAGGTACAACATCTAAACACGTGGCTCGAAAGGTATCAAACGAATTCGGGTGTATGCTTGGGGCAGGGGATGATCGCTACATAGGTATACATATTAATATACACCACCAGCTGTATATATGTAGTAATACTTTGGCGATCGCAGGTAGGTAGTGTGTTGCACGTAACGGGGGAGGGAGGGATCTGTACGGGGTATTATATACTACAGTTGAAAGAGAGAAAGGGCATGGCAATAACGGGAGGTACAATATACACCTACGTGTATACGTATATATGGGTACATCAGCAGCTTGCTTATACGCGAAGAGGGTTGCGACGGAACAGCAACGTTACGCGCAGCCAAGGGAGCGTGACTTTACGATTGCGGGGCCAGGTGCTCTGGTATATACCCTCTATATACTGTCTGTCTGTCCGGCCCGGTGCTGTACATGCATATATATATATATATATATATATATATATATCTGCGTACGGGGGTGAAGCATATGCGCGCTTTTACATATATGTATACAGGTATACCCTACTCCACTTCCTCTCTATTCCTCCCTCCCGCAACAAAACCAACACCCTCTCAGTTCTTAAAGACGCGGTGCGGTGGTATAGCGATGCAGGTATACACACATATTTATACAGTAGATGTGTAAATGCATGGTGGCCAACGGTCCTCGGGTGATAAATATACAATACATATATCCAATATATACGTATACGTGTATGCTACCGACTTACCGAGTAGATGGTACATATGCACGTTGAGACTGTCTTATACGATGCCGGTCGATCGTCTTGCGAGCATCGGCCGATCTCTCGATCGTTTCACACGCGCACGCGTTAACCCTCGTGAGACGATAGGTATATACGTATATGTGTACACGTATAAATGTATAATATTATAGTTATTGCGATCTCGATCCCGATCCACGCGTACCTGTACATGTTGGCATATAATTATATAATCATTGTGTTGGTTGGATTGACCGAAAAATCAGTGGTAAAGTCCGTTTGAGGTCAGACGCGCTGCGCTTTTTTGGTCCCCGTGCGAGGACACAACAGCAACAAAGTAAGATTTTAATATATTACACATAATATATATATCATTGCTTCGAAACATTTAACAATAATAACACGTGCCAATAATTATATAAGTACCCTCAAGTATATATCGACGGCTCTTACGAAAAATAACGGAACTCAGATTTTCCCATTTAAAATAACATTGGAATTTCTGAGTTCCGTTGTTTTTCGTAAGAGCCGTCGATATGTGTATGTATGTAATGTATGTTATGTATGTATGTATATAATCGAGCCGATGATGATGATGAGGAACGAACGCGCCCGCGCGTTTCTCTCACCTGTATACTGTCACCTGGGTAACCCTCCTCCCCTTTTTTTTTTTTTTCCTTTTCGTTTGGGCAAAGGGTGACCACTACATATCCATTCGGCAATTTTGCACTCGGGCCCCGGAGCTAGAAGAGCAACGCGGATAATAAATAAATCCATCCAACAGAGAACGATCGTCACGAAAACCTGTTATTCCTTTGATCTTGGAACATGAAGAAAGATCCCCGGGTATATATTACACCTATATACATTGTAGCGGGCTCCCATATACATATATAGCTTTCGGATTGATTATTGTGAAACTCACGGGGGATGCAGCGTGGCTCCCCCATATTATACGTGTATATACATATACGTATTACAGTAAATTAAAAAGGTATTAGATTTAGTGCACATATTTACATAGGGAGGAGGAAATTATTATTACCATTACTACTGCCCATATACGTGTACATAATATATATCGACGGCTGATCTCTTTCTCCGTGGAGGGGTTGTACCAGGTAGTAGGATAACGTATACGTATCGCAGGTGGTTGGCAATGAATCCGATCGTTTTATTGGTGTTTGTGCTGGTACATGTTGGAGCTATAGGGTACACCACCCAATATACGTACAAAGGAGAGTACCTTAATGCCATCTAATTGCCCCCGCCAAATTGAAGCCCCATAACCCGGTCCTTGAGAGCCGGCAGCGTGTGCGCGTGTAATAACGTTGTGCGTATCTCCCTCTTTGTGTATATACTTACCTGATGCGCTGCGCTCGGCTGTAATCGCGGCCAGTCGGTCAGGCTACGATGCTGCGAATTAAATGTATACAAGTAACTTGCGACTACCTGCAAACGAATGATTAATTACAACGAGTATTACTTAGGAAACACGTAGATTCTTTTTTTTTTTTTTTTTTTTTTTTATTAAATGACGACTGTAACGAAACCGACAGCTATACGCATATACATACGATGGGGAGGGGGGGAGTATAATATGTATCACGCGTGTGTGATGTATGACGTATTCGAGAGACAAATGGATGCTTTTAGATTTTTAATACTCGACGCTTACATAAGCAAACATAAGTATATTCACGCGCTTTTACCCGAATCGTATACGTAGGTGTATATATTACATTTCCAACATGACGTGAACATTTGTATAAAGATGGAGCGCTTGTTTTTTTTTTTTTTTTTTTTTTTTTTTTTTTTTTTTTTTTCTACATTGTTATATGTAGACCTTTTGAATCTACATGGTACTGCCTGCCGGCTGCGAGTATTTACAATTGTTTGCGTATGCTTCCAACTGCAATGAGAAAAAGCCAAGAGCTTATTTTAAAAAGGTTACGCTATACCTCCCAACACACCACTCCTTCGTTATAATAATATACCGTATAATGTATAGATTACTTTATTTGGTGTACTCTTTTTCGGCTCGTCACGACATATTTGAAATCTTTCGTGCTTGTTAATTGTTTGACATAAATATATTTACATCATTATCATAAAAGCTCGTACATCATTGCTCATTATCCTTTTAAAACCCGTTTTTTTTTTTTTTCCGTTAATTTAAATCATTTTTCCGCAAAATCGAGCTTGCAGTGATCGCACTAATCAACCGTAGTCTTGAGAGTGCACATTTGATTTATGAATGATTGCAGGGGTCGTGATCTCGAGTGTAAAAGACACCGGTTGTCTGTGAATTTCAGAGCCATCCCCGCAGAAACAGAGAAGCCGAAGTGGCGGTGATACAGATTGCGAGGAGAAAGGCGAGGGAGTGATCGCCATGACTACCACGGGGGCCCAATATGCTCTGTCAGCATCCACTGGAACTGCCAATGGCGGGGGTAACTCAGCAGTGGGAGTCGACAGCACCAAGTCAAGCGTCGTCGTTGTTACCACCTCGAATTCAAATGGCAACGGCAACGCACCACAGTCACAAGCTGCGAGGGGCCAACAGCTAATAACTGTAGTCACCGGTGACCCATCCAGTCCAAATAACTTGCAACCCATACAGGTATATGTTACATGCACACGCGCTTGATCTTCCATTGTTTTGAGACGCGCGACAAGCGAATTTGAAATTTTTTTATCAAATTTTGCGTTCAGTTGTTGGTTCAAGACTCGCTGGACGCAGCCGCTGATTCGTCGAATGGATCATCGGGCCCACAGGCCCACGTGACTGCCCAAGTTGTGGTCAATACGACGCACACTGGTCAACATACCCTCGTGGATTCGGATATTGCATCGACCTCGGCTGGACACACAATCGTCAGTGGCTCGCCTCACTACATCACCGTGACGGGTAATTTTTTTTTTCTTTTTCTTTCTTTCTTTCGCATCTACCGAAAAATAAAAAATAAAAGTCACTTACGACACGGATATGGGTCAACTGATTTGGTGTTGCATTTTCCCATAAAAAAATTCATATTCATGTGGGCTTACTGTAATTTCCACGTTTTTCACTTCACATTGGCTTTGCTAGGCACCAGCGAATCACCATCATACGCATCCCTCACAACAGCCGTAGGTGAGGGACATTTAAAATGCATACGAAATTGTATTTTGTTTTCAATATTTTTAACCACACCTATACGCATTGACGATAAATGTTTCGAGCTTTTGGAATCAATCAATCAGTTGGACGTTTTTCAAATTGTTTCCATCCAAAGTGTCTAGTGAAGATAATTGTGCATGGGCAACAGTAACTCTCTCGATGTCGTATTCCTCGCATATTTCATTAAAATAATTTATCGTTTGTCTGATATCTGTACTTCTATACTAAAAAAAAAAAAAAAAAAAAAAAAAAAAAAAAAAAAATGAAGCGCAAAAACAAATGATTGATGTTTAGTGCCAGGCGACGCAGACGCCGTGGGGTCCGACTCAGTTACTCATCCCACGTATGTTCAATATGTCGAGGGCGATGGATCCACGTACATACCGGCGAATGGACAGATGTAATTGTTTGAAATCAACTTACTCTCGTGGCAAGTAAAAAACAAAAAGACGGGACATAAATAACACTTTTTCGTTTTTCAGGACGTATCCTGTGTACGCGGTTGGCGAGGCCGGGACAATGTACACTTCCGCCTCGAACCAATACTACACTTCGACTTCCACACCTGTAACTTACGCCCAGGTAAGATACTCCTAATTTTTTATTCCTGCCATTTTTTTCACTATTAACTTTTAAATTTCATACCAACACATCCTCCAATTGAAAAAACAATGTTAACGCGTAATTCAGGTAACCGGCTCGAGTACAACGGCGGGACAGCTATTATCCCAAGGCAATGGGACTTACTTGATCCAACAGAGCGTCGTGGATGGCGATCCCACGACGCACACCCTCATAACTGCCTCAGCAGCTCGTGCAAGTCCGCAAACCGAAAGTGCCGTAAGTTTCCAACATTTTTTTGTTTGTTTTATTCTCCCCTCATCGATGAGCTTGGATAAATCGACTAAAGTAAAATAATAATGATAAACATTAACGTAACTAATGAACCATTAACCACTCATATACTAACAAAACAATCATTTACGTTGCTTCAAATATACACATTATTGCTTCTATGTACATCAATAATCCTATGGAGAAAAAAAAAAATTTTACCTTAACTAAAGAAACGAAAAAACTAACGACTAAACGTTGTACATGCGAGTTGTTTCCTGTGTAATTGTAACAATGCGATGGCGAAAAATCGTCGCGTATATGTTGTACATGTCATATACGGGTTTTTTTTCATAGGAAGCTGTTGTTAGTGGGGGTGGGGCGTACTTGATTAGCGGCAACTCGGCGAGTGGCCCGGTCAACGTGGAAGACGCTGCTACCGCCGCGGCTAACATGACGCATGCCACTAGAGTCTCCCAGGCCACCGTAAGCCATAGCGACTCCCCATTTGTTAGCTACTTTCATTATATTACATACGCACTACCTACTAATCGCCAAAAGCACATGTGACGCTTTGTGCATGACACCTTTTTTTACCTTTTTCTTTTTTTTTTTTTTTTGCACCTTTGTCGTGTCTCCTCCATGTGCACTCCTGATGCTTATCTCCTTTCACTTTCACTTTTTAACTAAATGTTTCTTGAGCTCTCTTCCTTTGCACTCAGATTCGTAATCACCCAGGTACTGTTTATTGTTTATTTCCTTTTTTTTTTTTTCAAACAGCAACTTGGTCGTTTTTGTTTTGTTTTTGTTTTTAGTGTTTGAATTTAAAAATGCACATATTATTGTTTCTTATGTAAAAAAGAAAAAAAAAAATAATAATAATAATGCACAAGTGTGAATATGTCGCGATTACATGTACACGTAGCGTTGCAACAGATGTACTGTAAAACTCTTTTGGGCATAGGTGCAATGGTTGCTGGAGAATTACGAAACAGCCGACGGAGTGTCGTTACCCAGATCAACGCTCTACAATCACTACCTCCGGCATTGCTCGGACAACAAGTTAGACCCCGTGAACGCAGCTAGCTTCGGAAAACTCATTAGATCTGTATTTTTGGGTCTGCGCACGCGACGACTCGGAACTCGGTAAATCTTTTATTACCAAGGAATATTGGAATCTATTTCTTCATTTTTTTTTTTTTTTTCTTTTTTTTTACCTTTACTTGTTTGATGTTCCAGGGGCAACTCGAAGTATCATTACTACGGTATACGAGTGAAGCCGAACTCGCCTTTGGTGATGTTGAACGAGGACGGCACGTCGAGGCAGCAAACATCGTCAAACTCACAGTCCAACAAGCGCGTGAAATTCGTGAATCAAAAGCAAACGGAAACGTCGTACGAGTCGACAAACGCACAGTCGCAAAACAACGCCAACGTGACGTCCAATGCCTCGCCGCCGCAGTACCATCAGTACTTGGGCGAGGCGAGTTGCGCGATACCCGAGTTTCCCGAAATCGAGGTCAGCCACAGCTCGTCCCTGCCCGTCGATTGCACTTTGGAGGACATCGACACCTTCCGAAGTATATACCGAGAGCACTGCGAGGCTTTCCTCGACGCGGTGCTTAATTTCGAGTTCGCCACCATCGAGAGCCTGTGGCGCGAGTTCTGGCGCAGCCAGGACAACAACAACGGCGACGAGTGCGAGGAAGAAAAATACTTGTCCAAGTAACTTTTTTTTTTTTTTCCGGTTACGGAGAAATCGATACTTTCCCGGGAAAATTACAATTTTTCGTTTGTTGCAGAACAAAGCTTTACCAAATTTGCAAATGCGCCGAAGTTCAAGACTTCATCAAACGAGTCGACTTTACGTTTTACCAAAATCTCGTCGAGGTGTTGATGCCCGATGTTCTGAGGCCTATACCAAGTGAGTTGATTAGTTTGGAAACGTTATAAACAAAAAACGAACAATACATACATCGAACAACCTAATACTTTTTAGGTCCTTTAACGCAATCTATAAGAAACTTTGCTAAAGGCTTGGAGTCCTGGTTAACTTCAGCTATGAATGACTGTCCCGAAGAAATGACTCAAATCAAAGTTGGTTTGATTTTATTTATTTTTTATTTTATTTTTTACGTGAATTTTCATTAAAAAATAAAATTTTTTTTACAGTTGACAGCCGTATCCGCGTTTGCTCAGACTTTAAGAAGATACACATCACTTAATCATTTGGCACAGGCAGCTAGAGCCGTGCTTCAAAATAATAATCAAATCAATCAAATGTTGGCAGATTTGAATCGTGTAGATTTTCATAACGTTCAGGAACAGGTATTTCAACAAGTTTTTTTGTTGTTGTTTTTTATGTATCCAGATATTCTGATTGCTCGTGTATTCGGTTGCATATAGGCTTCCTGGGTTTGTCAGTGCGATTACAGTGTTGTCCAGCAATTGGAAGCGGATTTCAAAGTTACGTTGCAGCAGCAAAATTCGTTAGAACAGTGGGCCGTATGGTTGAAAGGCGTCGTAACGCAAGTTTTACAGCCTTACGAGGGCAAACCTACGTTTGCCAAAGCCGCACGACAGTTCCTGCTTAAGTGGTCTTTTTACAGTTCAATGGTTATAAGGGATTTAACTTTAAGAAGTGCCGCAAGTTTTGGATCTTTTCATCTTATACGCTTACTTTATGATGAGTACATGTTTTACTTGATCGAACATCAAGTAGCCATTTCCACAGGTACCACACCAATCGCTGTTATGGGAGATGTGAGTATTCAAATAATACATATTATTTGCGTGCGTGTAACCAAAAGTTATTTGAATTTTGTATTTTATTCGACAGAAGAGTCAAAACTGTTCCATGATTAACGTATTTGGATCTAATGGAGGTAACTATTTAGTTGATTTTGGTAATTGTAACTTCAAATTGTACTCCATCGTTGAGAAAAATATGATATTCCCTTGATTTCAGATGCATCAAATATCTGTCCATCGAAACGTGTAAAGCTGAGCTAACTGTGTATTTGGGCCCAATGAAATCATCCAAAAACTAGTAGGCGTAAAGAAAATGTTTGCTAAGCAAAGTGTATATTTAATAAGAAGATGAACTGGCCTACCAAAACAAACTAGTCTCTTAAATTAGTTTTATATTTAAAGAAAAAGAAAAAAAAGAAGGAAACAAAAAATAACCGTATTGTAATGAAGATGTTGAAATTTCTACATATTGCTCATACATTTATTACTTAGGAATGCTGCTTAATTTATGTGATATAAAGAGTAAGAGTAAATTTATAAGGCCTTACATGCGTTCCAAACGCACAACGTCTTTGTAAGTATAGTTTTGTGCACTATACCATTTTAAATATAAATCCAATGACCAAGGCTATTCATGAATCATGTTATTTTTAAACAATTATCTTACAAAACAGTCGTATTTCTTTAACTTGTATTTAATTACAAATACTCATTACGAATAATTTTTTGGTAAGTCGTTCTTTTGCTCTCCAAATGATTGAAAATTTTTTGATTCATAAATAACAAAAAAAAAATTTAGTTGACTATTTTGTTAAACAATTAAAAAATATTTTTTAAATCATTACATCCGCCCTACTGGTGACTTATCAAAAAATATTCCTATGTAATTAGATTTAAAAAAATATTACGGTAACAGTTAGGACATAAAAATAAAATCAAAAAAAGATTTTGGACATCGATATTTTTATCACGTACAAAGATAATTATACAGTCATACACCAAGTTTCAAAAGACATTTTTAAAACAATTTTATTGAAGTACACAAGTATAGTACATTACGCACTTGGGGCATTTAAAGTAAAAAATGCTTGTGCAACCTGGAACACACTTTCATTTGTCGCCTTAGGTGAGTAATGTTCTATATTGCATTTATGTAAATATAAAAGAATACAATTGTTTGGTATTACTTGAATACCGAATAAACAATATTCAACTATATCCTTTTACGTTTATACGTTTTCGAAAAAAGTTTCGATACTTAAAAATGCGTGACTCGCAATGCAGATAAGCAATATTTTTTCCGCTCAGTGGTTTATTAGCAACGACAGAGTTTAAAAAAAAAAAAAAAAAAAAAAAAAACATAATAGGTATCGAAAATCGGAACAAATATTAATTACTTTTAATGCATGCTGAATTAGTTGTGTTACAAAAAAAAAACTGTTTTCCTTTAAAAAAATCCACATGTACTAATTAAAACAAACAAGACATTACGAAATAAAGTGAACTAGAAAATGTACAATACTTCACATTAACGTAGATTTTTTTTTTAATTAGTAAATATGATTTGTTTTTTACTTAATATTTATATGAGAGTACTAATGCACTGGGAAATATGGTTTAGGATATATGTAGAAAAGTACGTTTCGGAAACATTTCAAAACCCTTCATTATCGAAATTTAATCGAAGGATGTTTCTTGGACATAAATAAATATTGTGTACATGGCTCAGTAACTTTTATTTATGATATAACGCAAAAATATGTAAAATTATTGTACATCGTTAAAACAATTTTGTGAGGCTAAAATTAATCATTTTAAAAAGTTGTAAGTTATAAAGTAAGTAGCTAGATCATTGAAAAAATTAAAAAAAAAAAAAAACTAAAATCTCTCAAAAGATATTGACAAGATGTGTATTATTATCTTCTTAATTATAAAAACTCATTAAAACTGTATATTCTTATTTGTTTTTGATTTCTATAATTTAGTAAATTACAGTTTTTAAACAAAAATTGAGGCATATCGAATATAAATAAATAAAAATGGGATGCATGCTTTTTTAAAATCATTATTGATAAAAATCGGCATATTATTTTTAAAAAACATAGATATAAAACCACCAATGAATTTACCAAAGTTTTAAAAAAATTTTCACGAAAAATTTAGTGAAACTTGATTCGAAAACATCGAAAAACTTTTTAAAAAATGTGATTGACTGTAGACTAAAAGCAAAAAAACAGGGATTGAATATTTCAACTATATGCTGATTGCGATTTGTAATTATATTTGGATCCATACTATTATGAGCTTATTATGTAAAAAATGTAAGGGTATTACGATATTTTATAAGTAGGTACTCCAACGTTACACAAATGTGTTTGAGACTATATGTATAATATATACTTAATATCTTTATACCCTGAGTAAATCTTTTTTTCGCATGAATTTCATTTAATCAAACATGATTTGCACAAATCTATTTTACTGATTTTCTAAAAGAAAACCTGCACATATTTCACATTTACTTCATTTAAATGTGATTATTCTTCTTATTGTTCCAATGTCGCAAAACTGTGCGCTCGAGGGAAAAATAGTTAGTTCGTACCTGGTGGTGCACGTCTACCAGCGTAAGCACTTTGCGTGTGCTTTTATGGTTGGATTAGCACCAAGTTCAGGCTCTGTTTTTTCTAACAAGTGTGCAGCGAACGTCCAAACAAAACAAAACAAAACAAAAAAACTCCTAAGGGAGGAAAAAAATGTTGAAGGTTTCCTGTATGTGAAAAAACGAAACGATACGAAGTACAGCAGATGGCTCAAAGTCAAAAGAAAAAAACGAACGGAAACGCTAAAATTGAATGTAAATAGAAAGTAAGTACAATTTCCATCAAAAGGATGAACTGAAGCAATAAAAAGTTGGAACGGGAGTTGGTACGTATACGAATGCGTATCGTAGATGGGAAATTGAAAAAAACGATCATTCGAAATTCATATCAGCTCAAATAATTTAAATAATGCTTTCAACTTATATGTATTTTGAAAATTTACATGTCACGTTGTTAGAAATGGAGTCCGAAAAATGAAGAAAAAACAACAGCTAGAAACTGGAACCCTATATGAAGAACTACTCACCAGGTAATACCGCGAGTACCGCGACATCCGCACTCGAGATTCTGGCGATCGCGTAATCGTATATATTGATGTCTACATACGCGCATTTGCAGTTGACCGCTGAATTCGTTGTGGTCGCGGTGTGATAAGTAACTTGGCTCAGTTAATTCTTAACGATCAACAGTCACCGATCGCACGCTTACATAAAGTTTAATTGCAAATCTAAAAAAACAAGCACTCGTTTTTTGGAATACGTTGGTTCCAAGTTTCGAATGCTCGAGTAAGTCTGTTTTCCAAACAGCGCAAAATTAGCAACGTGCTCTTGCATGAACACAATACTACAAAATGTGTCCCATAAGCAATTAATCTTATAAGTTGACAAAAGTGGATAGAGGTATGCAAAGGAACTGTTTATGCGGGGGTCATACCTACTTGAGCGATTTCGCAATACCATGTATTTTTTTATTTTTTAAAATTGTTTCAACATTGCGAGAATTAATCACGTGTGTAAAGGCAATTTCGTAGAGTGGCGCGAGTGGGAAAAAAAAGCTTATGTTGTTATACTGAAGTATCAACATTGATTAATATTTTAGCCATTACTTTCTATACAAAATACTTTACAACATTGCTTAAAAATAGTAAAACATAGATATATATTTTAGACTGCTTGCGTAAATCACAATCATTAATAAATGCACGTAAGAATGTACGATTCCATGATTGAAGTTTTAAAAATATATATCCTCGCATTTCAATTTAAAAATTAATTGGTAAAGATCCTATATAAAATTTCAATAGATAAACAACATATCTACAACATGATGTAGCAGTAGTCGTCAACTGCTTTTTTTTTTCGTAAATTTTTTCAAGGAATGACAATGATTGTCTTAATCTAAGCATCATACGTTGAGGCTGAGACATTGCCACCATGGCCAGTCCAGTTAGTATGCACGAACTTACCCTCCTCACCGAGGAGTTCGTAAGTATGAGCCCCAAAATAGTCTCGTTGTGCCTGAAGCAAATTGGCAGGTAGACGCATTGCACGGTAACCATCGTAAAAGGCAAGCGCTGTCGATAGCGCTGGAGTCGGTATGCCAAGGTTTACAGCTGTCGACACAGCCACGCGGATACTCTGCTGGCAATTCTTCATTGCCTTTGCAAAGAAGTCGTCGAGCAGTAGATTTGTTAGTTTGGGGTTTTTGTCAAAAGCCTGCTTGATATTGCCCAGGAATGCACTGAATTTCAGAATTTCATTCAAATCACCAAAAAGCTATATTTTGAATATTTAAACGCTAAAATGTATTTAAAGCATGATAATAATTAAACGCTCTTACCTTCTGATAATGCAACCACCTCTCCACATTAATGCAATGCCACCATAATTGAGATTCCATTTGTAAATTTTGGCAGCCTCTCTGAGAAGCATAAAACCCTGGGTATAGGAAATAATTTTAGAAGCATAGAGGGCCTTCTTGAGATGCTCTAAGAATTCCTTCTTATCTCCTTGGTATTTGATGTTGGGACCAGCCAACACAGAACTTGCTTCGATTCGTTCAGTCTTCAAAGCTGACAAACACCTTGCAAATACTGATTCGCCAATTAGAGTGACCGGCACTCCGTAGTCTAAGGCAGCAATTGCTGTCCATTTTCCAGTTCCTTTTTGACCAGCAGTATCTCTTATTCTATCGATTAAATGACCCTTGTCGTCTTTGTATCGAAGTATATTGCTTGTGATTTCAATTAAGAACGAATCAAGTTCCCCCTTATTCCATTCAGTAAAAACATTACTCATTTCTTCATTACTTAGTCCTAAGCCATCCCTCATAACATGATATGCTTCACAGATCAGCTGCATATCTCCGTATTCAATCCCATTGTGAACCATTTTGACAAAGTGTCCAGCTCCTGTTTCTCCCACCCAATCACAGCAAGGTTCTCCATTAGCCTTAGCACAGATAGCCTAAATCATTTCAACCAAATAGTTTAGTTTTAGAACATACCTTTCATTAACAAACAAGATCGATATTACATCATGAATACCTGGAAAATCGGCTTAATGTGTGGCCAAGCTTTGGGGTTACCTCCAGGCATTAGGGATGGTCCATACCTAGCTCCCTCCTCACCACCACTGACTCCACTACCCACAAACAAAATACCCTTGGTATCCAAGTCTTTGGCTCTCCTTTCAGTATCTTTGTACTCTGAATTACCGCCATCAATGATAATGTCTCCAGGAGACAGCAGAGGAACCAACTTTTCAATAAAGGCATCAACAGCAGAGCCAGCTGAAATATCAAAGTTTGCCATTGTCTCCTGTTTTACATTCTCTTTCTCTCTCGTTTAATACCAAGTGAAATTCACCTTTCACTAGCAGCATAATTCTTCTGGGCTTCTTCAACTTGCTGACCATTTCTTCGAGACTGAACGCGCCAACGATTTTTGTACCCTTTGCCTCATTGGCGAGAAACGACTTGACCTTGTCCGTGGTGCGATTGTAGGCGCAAACAACGAAGCCGTGATCGTTCATGTTCAAAATGAGATTTTGACCCATCACAGCCAGGCCAATAAGAGCTATGTCCGCAACCCTGTAAAAACCATGGGAAAACAATCGAATTTGCAATTATATAATATTCCAAACAAGTCATCGCAATAATAAGATGCTACCGGTCAAAAGAAATACATAGGTATAGGTTGACAATGTAACGAGAGCTGCAGCAATGACTCGACAGTTACTTAAGTATTACAGTGTTGTAAAAACACCCGTGGATGATTTTCGAGGCATTGACGAAACGTGAGCAAGACGTGAGCCTCGAATTCACGAGTAATAATTTAAAACTAAGTTATTAAATACTCACGGTTCCGTCATGTTGGCTTGTAGAAGTTGAATTTCAAACTGCAGATACAAGACAGTGGAGCGTGTATAATTATAACAACAAGCAACAAGTGTCTTTGATGAGAATATACTTATGTATACTTGAAAGTACTGCGGTAGGTAGGACGTATTTTCCGGAGTATTGGCACGCGACTGGTCTCGAAATCTCTGTCGAAATGCTCAAATTAAATTACCGCTGGATTCTCCGAATTAACCGAGAGTTGGAGAGCCAACAGATCACTGATCAGCTGAGGTGGCCTTTGACCAATAGCGCACCACTAGGGGTATTTTTCTAGCTGTCACGCTTCTCTTCTCTTATTATTTGCGAGTCATGCTTCCATACACTACAAGCTGAATAAGACTAGATTGATAATTGTGGAAGCACAATTAATACCTAAACTGTATGGATTCTAAAGAAATGGCTTACATAGTTGTCTGATATCACAAGAATTTTTCACAAGTAATTTTTAACCGATTTTTCGTTGCTTTGCTTCGATACAATAATTTTTTATTTCATTAGACTAAAATCTCGAAATCATTCTGCTCGCATTGTTAATTGGAGGTATTGATGAATTTGAAATTCAATAATTCTATTTTTACATACACATTCAAGATTCTTTTGCAAAAGTTTTTCAGTGTATCATGACCAAAAAGGAGCATCCAAATGTATTTCCGCTTCTTCAAACGCAAGTGCGTCAGTAAAATTTTTTAACAAGTGACTACAAAATAAAACAGGATACTTTTCCAAGTGAACAAAAAAAAATGTAAATTTTCCCGCTGCACGTTATTTAAAGATTATATTTTATCTCATGCTCATGGGGAAGTAACTCATAAAATTGGTCAATATTTTCCTAGTTACTTATATATTTAATTACATTTCAGTTACAGGCAGAAGTCAACAGAGAGTCAAGAGAATTTCAGTAAAACGCAACTCTTCTTACACTCCTGAAACGATTAAGTTCTGCTTTGTCTGTTGGAAGAAAATGTATACTCCTATTCAAGGCTATTGTGAATTGACAATTCAATTAAATTTATTTATTGGCGTTGTATTAAAATACATTAATACATATGCCATTATCAATTGTCATCGTGTATGTGTATTACTGTATAGTGTATCAGCGCCACCTAGCGTTGCGGACTCACGCAAACTATTTTCTAGGGTTAACCGTCTTGGATAAGACCCTAGATTCTAGTGATTTACGCTAAAAATAAATCACTAGATACCATGGGCCGCTGCGTATAACTATATATACATCAATTTTTAGTGTATTAGCGCCATCTAGCGTTGCAGATATCGAAGCACGCAATTAGTATTAGACCCTGCAGGTCTACGCCATGTATATCTATATATACCTAGTGGTTTACTTCTGCCGGAAAACACTAGAATCTAGGGTTTTATCCAAGACGGTTCCCCTAGAAAATAGTTTGCGTAAGTCCGCGAAATCCAAAACGCTAGATGGCGCTGATACACTAATACACGATGCAATTAATGCAATCTTGCAATCATGCAAATTTGCAAATGCAATATGCAAATGATGCAATTGACAAATATGACAATACCCTATGAGAATCTCTGGATCATATCTCTACTTCGTGATCTCTATATACATGTTTATTAAGTTAGTACCCACTCGACCGGATGCCAGTCCTTTCGTCCTTTGATCTTAAATCATGACAAAAAAACTAGTAAGTGCATCTCTATTTTTCACTTTAAAAATAAAAATAAAACTTTTTTTACGTTTTTTGTAGTTGGTTTTATTGTAAATATTTTTTTTATAATTTTTTTTACCAATTATTTTTTACTTTTGATTAGCGCTTTTCGTTGGTTCTGTGTTCTGCATGTCCCAGGACATATAGGTGTCCAAAAAAATACATTTTTTATCAATCACCGACAGAATTGTAAACAATTGAAGGTATAAGAATCTCTGAAATGCATGTATTACTACATAATAAGACTTTTTTTTATTTGTTGTCTTTGAAATATCTGTCTGTGAATCATCCGTAAACATTGTCAATTTATCAACTTCAAAGTAAGCAGTAAATAGAGTTTTAAAAAAATGACAGGAAGATAAAGGGAGATAAGCACTTTTTCTCAGAACAGCGGCTCGACATCGACAAGTGCCGCGTTCAGAGAGCTATTATATGGTCATTAGTAGTCTGTACGTTCGACTAGACTACTAAAATCTAATCTCGTTGAGTAAACAAATCGTAAAATTATGTAACATCTATGCTAGAAGCTAACAATCATTAGGCACAGTGTGCAGGTACCTTATCTATTTTCATCCAGTATGTCATTACCGATTTATTTAGTTTTTATTTTTGAATTTCTCGCGCCCAAGTGCTGGTTATTGTTATCTCTCTCTCTCTATCGACAACTCCCCCTTCCTTTTATTTGTGTGGGTGTGGAATTTGCCATGACGTCATTATTCAAAACTGCTGCAGGCAGGCTGTTGGCTATTAAGTATAGCTTTTCTGCCTAAAGAGCCCTACTTACATTCTACATTCATGAATTTACGAGTAAGGGTTACATTAATCAACCATTAGTCCTGCATTCACTCAGTACAATTGGTGACATTGTAATATAGGGACTGAGTAGGGACAGTGAAGAAAAGAAAAAAGAAACAAAAAAGAAAAACGCAACAATAATAAAATGTGGAACGCTTCGAGGTTGGCCTCCACCGTAATTCCGCAGTAACGGAGACAAGACAATTGAGAGAGCAGTGCTCCGCAACTCCGAGGAGAGCAGCAGACGGCGCAGCGCAAAGTAAACCGATCGAGCGGAAGCGAAAGTTGGAGCATTTGTACCTATAGGTATATATACAAGTTATTAGTACTGATGGATGTGGATTTGGAGCAAAAGTGAAGCGGGCAAACGTTCATGTAACAACAATACGATAACAAGTAACGCAAGAGGTAAGAACAATACCAATGTTAGAACTTTCACATAAAAATTAAAAGAGTAGGTAAAAGTAAGAATTGATGACCTGATTTTTTTGCTGATATTTGCGTGAAGTGTGATGGTTATTATACAGTGATATTATCTACCTGAATGATTCAATTGTAGGTCAGGAACGCGCGTCTCCATCCGCTATCAGTAACAGCTGAGACCTTCAAACTGGATGAAAAATCAGTAAAAAACTAAGATGCTCCTTGGTGTGACATAGTTGTACGATATTCCGCATGGAGATGATCATGATGGGCAAGATCTCGACCTTTGAACACTTTGACGTATGTAGTTAGCGAAACTGGCCTTGTATCGTACGCGACACCTACGCTCCATTCGCACCTGCTGTTGTCTCACATTTACAGCCAATATGGGGCTATTGTTTTCCAAGTTGTGGAGCCTCTTTGGCAACGAGGGTAGGTCTTTTACTAGAGTGTATCTGCCTGCTCCCTTTAATCCCTTTTTGTACTTATTGCGTAAACAAAATTTAGCTTGCATTAATTTTCACTTCTTTTTTTTCTTGTAGAGCACAAAATTGTCATGGTAGGGTTAGATAATGCAGGAAAGACAACTATTCTTTATCAATTTTTGATGAACGAGGTGGTGCACACTTCACCAACGATTGGATCTAACGTAGAAGAAGTTGTTTGGAAGAATATACACTTTATCATGTGGGATCTTGGTGGACAGCAGAGCTTACGAGCAGCGTGGTCCACCTATTATACTAACACAGAGTTTATTATTGTTGTGATTGACAGTATGGATAGAGAAAGGCTAAGCGTTATTAGGGAAGAGTTATATTCAATGTTGGAACGTGATGAACTTAGTAAGGCTGCTGTTTTGGTCTATGCAAACAAACAAGATTTAAAGGGGAGTATGACTGCTACTGAAATATCAAGGCAACTAGATCTTACATCAATAAAAAAGCATCCTTGGCACATACAGAGCTGTTGTGCACTCACGGGAGAAGGGTAATCATCATTTTCTATTACTTATTCTTTAACTCACGTTCTTTTTATAAATGTTAATTTAAATTCACAGCCTATACCAAGGTTTAGAATGGATTGTTGGTCGATTGAAGAAAACATGACGTATGATGTAACAAAAAATACTCATTGGACGCTATTTTTGAACTGCAAAACAAATAACTGTTTGGCTCATGGAGACCCACGCTTCAGCAAACAATAGAACTCTATCGCCAACATCGATTCTAAATAGTTTATATAGTGGGACTTTCCAAGAACCGTTCGTTTTGTTTGTTCAGAAAAAAGTTTCTATGCATTTAGAACAATTGAACGCTGGCTCGTGATCAGTCTTCTGCGATTCTACCAAGGAAGCATATTCATGTATATAGTTTTTATACTTGCACGTTGCAAGCAACAATTAGCTACGAAAATTCTGACTGTAACTTGTCGATGTTTACGGTAAACCGAGGATCTCTAACGTCCTCATTTGTGCATTAAACCAATTTACTGACTGGAAACACGCAATGAATCTTGTAAGACTTCTTGATGAAGTTAACAACGAACTAGAATGAAAAAAAGAATACAAAATCAAATGCAAAAAATAGACTACTGTGATTCCCAGGAATTTTTTTCTAATTTTTCGGTTCTTAGTTACATTAAAATTTTTTCGATTATTAAATAAAACAATTTACAATTAAAAAGTTTGCAAATCATTTTTAACTACTAATTCATGAAATTCCAGCTTGCATGCCAATAGTTTGGAACGACTGTACTGTCATATATTTTTTTAAAGTGTAGCCATGTCTGCTTGTTTTATCTGTATAAAAATACTCCAAGCGAATAATTTCAAACATGTTTTTCATTAATGTAAAAAAATATACGGGTGAAATGGCTAATTAACAAGTTAAAAACTCTAGCATATATTCGGTAATGTGTATGAAATTAAAAACTAATGGGCAATTATTTTCTCATATTGAGAAATACTGTATGTATAGACAAGATTTTTTTGGTATTTTAATTTTTATTACGGCCCTTGAATTAATCTTGAATTATGCGTAAATTAGAAATTTTATATTGTAATTAATAACGTGGGATGAAATAATTCTGAAATAAAAAATAAAATGTCATGTTAATTTAATTGTCTTTTGTATTTTAATGATTTTAATTTAATTGCATGTGTAATAAGAAAAAGACGTATATTTTTTGATTGAAACAGTTTCCTATTTTATTCGACTTTTTCTTTATTATAAATAAAGCATAGCACACTCTCATTCATACTTATTATCAATCGGTCTACCACCGTTAATTTAAAATTTTTTTTTAAAACGAAAAGTGGGTTCGATGTAGATACAATTGTAATACATTTAAAAAGGTAGTCAAAGAATAAAATTTTTTGGAAAAAAATTTAACATTACAAATTTATGTTATTAATAATTAAATATATTTATTCATCGGCAAACGTATAGATTGGCAGTCGCGTATTGCTAAGTTCGTAACACAGTTGAATTTGATAGGATAAGCACTACAACCTAACGTTGCCCTTTATTGCTTCTGCATTTATGATACCTTGTCGCTTTTCATAAAATGAAAATTTAATTTAATTGTAATTTAATTGTTTAACTGTCGGTGGTCTCTTTAAACCTATACAACTAATAATATAATTTTAATCGTGTGACGCGATTACATAGGGGTCGCTCGACTAATACTAGTCACACTAGGCATGTAACTTTTTCTTCAGTTACTTTTTTTTTCTTTATCGTGCTCATCGTCGATACAATTTAACACAACGATGGTTTGAAACAGTGACTTTGTAATATTTAATTTTTTTTTTCTTCTACATTTCAGCTCTCTATTTCATTATCATCAATTTTACTAACACACTTTCATGCTCTTTTTTCATCTCTAAATTACGTACAATACATGTTATAACGTTATAGTCAATTTTTTAGAGAGAAAAAAAGAAGTTCAACATTGCCGACTTATAACAAAATACTTGGTTCAATATTTTTTATTTTATTTAATCGTTAATCGTTGATTTTTAGCACGCTAATGCTTCTGCTTTGTGTCACGTTTAACTATTTTGTCAAAGTAGTGAGTAATAAATTATCTTCAAAACTTTGACTACATTTTTTTTTAACATAACGTCGAAAACAGTGGCATTCCGTCATTAATGCCGCACAACTTACGAATGAGCGAGTATTGGCGCACGGCGCACTTGTTTTTAATCAGCGATCCTTATTTTATTCTTTAATCTTTCAACATATATCTTCCAGCTCATTGCATCAAATATTACTAGATTCGTTTGCGTCGAGCGCCGGCAGTAGTGGCAGAGTGCATTGGACGCAAGTGAAAACACTTTCCGAAACACCGCTCTCTGCGTAAGCACGTGTTAACGTCAGATGAATGCCTCTTTGAGTGTATCTATATTTACGTTAATGATTGACGATGACAGTCGTGGGTTGTGGGAATGGGTGACGGTTCGAACTAAAACGGGTCGTCGGGTTATTGTTTTCATTTCTTGGCTGACGATAAAATCTTGCTTTTCCCGCTCTGTACCATAAAGAACGAAAGAATATAACGCGCAGCTGCTCGCTACATTAGGTGTACGCATGTGGGTGTGGGTGTGTGTTTGGTGCTGGATCGGCTTAAGCCTTAACAGCTTTCATGAGGAGATCGGTACTCAAGGACTTGGGCCTCTCGATGGGGAGACCGAGAGCACGTGCCCAGACGAGATTGGCAAGGACACCGAGTGCGCGAGAGACACCGAACAAGACGGTGTAATAGTTCATCTCCTTCATGCCGTAGTACTGTAGAAGAACACCGGAGTGAGCATCTACGTTGGGCCATGGGTTCTTGACTTTGCCGGTTTCCAGGAGAATTGGCGGCACCACCTTGTAGACTTGCGACACGAGCTGTGGAGAAAGAAAAAAGTATCGCTGGTTCAAGTAATCGTATACAAAGACAAGGTAAATATTACAATGAATAAAGAAATAAACGAGTGGAACTGACCTTGAAGAGGCTGTCGTCGGGTAAATGCTTGAGAGCAAACTCCCGTTGGCAGGTGTACCTCGGGTCGGTCTTTCTGAGGACAGCGTGTCCGTAGCCCGGCACGACCTGGCCGCTCTTGAGCGTGTTCCAGATGAAATCCTTGAGCTTCTCGTCGCTGGGATTGTCGCCAACCTGCTGGCGAAGCTTCTGCAACCAGACAAGGACCTCCTGGTTGGCGAGACCGTGCAAGGGTCCAGCAAGGCCGTTCATGCCCGCGGCGAAGGACAGGTAAGGATCGGACAGGGCCGAGCCGACGAGGTGGGTCGTGTGGGCGGAGACGTTGCCACCCTCGTGGTCAGAGTGAATGGTGAGGTACAGGCGCATCAGCTCGATGAACTCGGGATTATCGTAGCCGAGCATCGTCGAGAAGTTGTGCGACCAGTCCTTGCCCGCGTCCACGGAGCCGATACCCTTGCCACCCTTGTAGATGTTTCTGTATATTTGTATAGTAATTACGTACACACATGTATTATTATTATTATTCAGTTGGTTAGTTATGCAGTCGTACACGATGTGCCACGTCCAGCACAACGTAACGTAAATATTATACATAACTTGTGACAAAAGAAACAAACCTGTAAATGGTGGCAGCGACAACGGGCAGCTTGGCGATGAGGTTCATCGAGTCCTCGTAAACAGTCTCCCAGTACTTGGACTTGTGTACACCGTTCGTGTAAGCCTTGACGAATTCGCTCTCGCTGTTCAGGATGGTGATGGCCGCGGAGAACTGGGACATCGGATGCAGGGACTTGGGAAAATCGTTGAGGGCCTTGGTCACGTGGGAGGGCAGGGAGCTGCGAGCGGCCCATTCCTGCGAGATAGCCTTGACCTGGGCCTCGTTTGGCACTTCGCCGGTTATCAGGAGCCAGAAGAGACCCTCGGGCAGGGGCTCGGCACCACCCTTAGCCTTTGGCAGGAGCTTTTGGCACTCGGGGATCGACTTGCCCCGGAAACGGATACCCTCCTCGGGATCCAGCACCGACGGCTCCCACACTAGGCCCTTGATGCCTCGCATGCCACCGTACATCTGCGAATCAACAAGTCATTTTAGATTACGATTTAAACCGTTTTGTTGAACAATAACCGTGTACATGTGAATATCGGCATGCTATAACATACGTATATAATAAAACCGGGTATGCATTTGTTCATTGATGTAATAACGTAAAAGCCATTTCCGATGTAAAAGCTACATGACGGACGACGACGACGATGATGATGATGATGATAATAATGTTAAATTCATAAATAAACAAAAATAATAACAACAAGGAAAAAAAGTGGATTACAAGCGTGTGACGAGCGAGTGGCATTAATTGATTGGCCGACAGACGCACGACGGTGACACGGGGGTATCAGGCGCGGCCTTTTGAAGGTCATTGGTTGTGTTCGCGCGCGGCGAAAGAGAAAGAGAGAACGTAGATTATGAGATCGCGGAGATTCGCGAGTCGGACGAGAGATTGTACTATACGGACGTACAGCCAACGAACATAATATAATATTATATGGTGTACGGATGAATGACTAGATCATCACGCGATGAGAAAAAGCATGTACGTATTATATACACCTGTGTCGCGCGTGAGGTAGTAGAGAAAAACTACGGAGTCACGCAAACCGTAATTGTATATACTTATTACGCTAGAACCTTACTATCATTATTATTATGATTGTTATTTCGCAAGCTGACGTATTAAACGCGTCGTGTATATTTAAACGAAAAAAAAAAAAAAGTTTTTATATATTAACATCATGTATACTGACCATGTCAACGGTGACTTCGCCAACTTTGGTGGATCCATGCTGTTTGCGGAAGGCCTTGATGCGCTCCTGCTCCTTTGGGATTTTGTCGACTAGGATTTTTTTGAGATCTGTCGAGCTGTCGGACAACGCGCGTATTCCAACGCTACTGCTCAGTTTCTGTAACGCAAACCAAATTTTTTGTTTCATATTTCGAACCGTCATGTTTGACAATCGTTAAACTATACGACAATTTACAATCGATCGATACAATTTAGGTATACCTATAGGAACTGGCAAAGTAAACAACCCTATATGTATGACATTCAAAAAAAAAAAAAAAACAAAGCTGTGCGCAGCACATTTGTATCAACGTCATTGTAAACCGTGAAGGATGTAAATCTTTTTGATCAAACGAAACCTGCACCTATATCAAATACAATTGAATTTTGACGCGATTTCACGGCGCATGGCATCCCAATCTGTGTTTTGTCAATTTGCTTATCTGATGGGTGAGGTGGGGGAGAGACAGACAAGAGGCAGATGAGGAGCCTCTCGTAAAATACATACTCGTAATAAAACAATTGTCAAACGGTGTTTTGTTTGGTGGTAAAATACGGATGAAAAAAAAAAAAAAAAAAAAAGGGAAAGAAGCTTTTGCTCAAAAGCAAAAATTGTTACGCTATCTGTAATTACAGGGGCTCGGGAAGCAAAAAGGCGCCCATCATCTGTATTTCAAACTTACGGGAAACAACAACAACAACAACAACAACAACAACATTTAAATTAAGTGCCAAGGCTTTCGTGACGATAAGGTGAGCTCGTACCTATATATATACTATATACCGATAAAAAGCGTAGATGTAAGAATCATCGTTCTTTTCTTACGCGAACTCTTTGATATTTTCGTGCTCTGTATAAAAAAACGAAGAAAAAAAAAGAGAGAAAGCCGGGTAAAGAGCGTGTATTATTTAGAATTGAGGTATCCAGCAGCAAATATCGCTATTGTGACAGTCGCGTGGTGCCACCTCTCAAAAACGTATCCCCCTTATCAACACCGCCAACTCCCTCTCTCTCTCTCTCTCCCTCCGCAGCACTGTAATGTATAAATACATAATATTATCATTAAGTATACGGAGAGAGATGAGTCTTGAGTGTTAGGTGTATTGTGGGACTTTAGTGTCATTTATCTTTCGTCTGTTTGCACTTAATAATAACGGAGCAGCCGACGACGACCAGCGTATATATACATGTATTACGCTGTTGCGTAACATTGCACCGAGAGGCAATTATTTTGTGTCACTCTCGTGCGACGCAGCCACGAATTTCGTACTAATTGTTTGTACGCGACGAGAGTGCCGAAATGCAGACATAATTATACACATTTGCAAGGGTTTAAAAAAAAGATCCGCTTATCGCAAAAGACGAATTTTTTTTGTTTATTGCCGCGTTTCCGCAAACGCACCGACTACACGGTTTATCGCATCGGCCCCTCTTCCTTATCTTTCAGACGTTGGTCACAGTGATGGTGTACACAGATATTACTAATATACTCGATAACGCGAACAATTACCGAGTACCGCGGAATCTTACAAAATATTTATATTGGCGACAAAAATGTATAATATAATACCTGGGTATATTTATTACATACCTATATTATATAAAACCATCAAAGTACACGTTCCGATTCCACGTACAAACAAATATATATATATATATGTATATAGACATTCGGGTCGCGCTTCAAGATTATTTCATAGTACGTGTAATGTAAGTATACGTACGCGTGTACCCACACAAATACACATAGATAATTATACACTCCGTGATCTTGTACATGCGTATACTGCACGTTCTCAATAATTCATACGATTTATTAATTCTGTTATCTATTTAATTATGAAAATCGTTGGCATAAATTAACATCGGCATTAATCATTGCTCGAAAGTCATTTCAAAGATGCATCAAGTAGCGTATCAACTTTTTCCTCGATTCATAACAAAAGAAAAAATAAAAAATACACGCGGATTTCCGAGATCGTACGACACGACGTGATGTCAATATATATATATATGTGTGTGTGTAGCATCGCATGCATGCGATGAACTCGATTGCATCACGAAAAGTGTTGTATGGATACCGAGTTAATGGTATTCGTGCGATGTTATGATTAACGTATAGGTTCGACTCATCGGGGAAAAAAAAGACACACGTACTGGATATCGTGACGGTGATTTCGCGGGAAATTTTTCGTCACGAGTCCATCTTTCTAAAAGTATCGTACTTCAACCAATACGCACGTGGTATAAAAAAATTCTCCGATAAGCCGATAAAACGGCCAACGCTTTAAAAGTGCGTGTACGTGTGTAATACACGCGCGAGGGGGAAAACCCACGTTGAGTAAGCGATACAGCCTAATTAGCGGTGAAGAAGAAATTGTGACGCGGATGCCTGACGGAATTGTCGTGGTGAAAAAGAGAAATAAAAAAAAAAAAAAAAAAAAAAAAACCACAATAAGAAGACATATAATATACGGAAAGAGAAGCTGTGATGAGAGTATACGATTCAACGCACGAGCTAGGCGCCGGCACTCTATACACGTGTGTGTATAGGCGGCTTTTTCCCATCGCACGCACAATCGTAGCATGCCCCCCTTATTTTGCTCCTGTAGTATATAATATAAATATACGTATTATTTTTGACATCATGTGCAATCGATGCAAGCGCACAAGTTAGTATACTCGACGCGATGACGCTTACATTTGATATAATTGTGACTCGACCAAGTGGAGATGCAGCGTTGACTAAGTACTTAAAGAGAAACGCCTCCTATTGCCCCCGCAATTGGAAATTTCCATTAAAGGCTGAGGCTCGAAATTTGTTGAGATTTATGGGCATCGGACCGGAAGCTCTCGGTAAATAATCCTCCCCCGACACTTTCACGACCTGGACAATGGTCATCCGAGTTGTACCTATATACGTGTTGTCGGGCGAAATTGAAAGCTTCTGTTGGCACACGATGGGGTTTGGTTCCGTCTGGTATGGTACGGTTGTGCGAGTCCGGCTTTTACTGGCTCTTGAAAAGATGCAATTTTTTTTTTTTGTGCACATCCGCGTCAAAGAGTTGCTTCAAGGTGCTTTGTGAATAAAATTAATTTATTCATATTGTTTAATCGACTCGGGTTGAAAGTCGAAAAATATTACCAACGAAGAGGAAAAAAAAAAAAAAACTCGACGTACAACGAAAATTCATCCTGTTGTCGGGGGGGTGTTGCGTAATAACCAAAAGGTAGCGCACAAAAGTCAAGGTAGCCGATGAAAATGCGCGCACACGTTAGGTACTAGCCGAGGGGAACTATCAATTGTGAGGGAAAAAAAAAAAAAAAAAAAAAAAAGACAACGAAGCAACATAATAAGGTGGTGCAAAAGTCGAAGCGCCCTAGCTATTGAATTAATCTCGTTACGTATTAACTCACACTTTTAATGGATGGATCAATATATACATATACATCGACATTGATCTTGCACGCGCGGTCAATTTCGCTTGTCGAGGAAGCATCACGTATAAAGAGAGAGGGAGGTCCGCTCGCGAGAGCGACAAGAGCAAAACGGAGGCAGACGCGCAACACATGACCAACACAAAGAGGAGAAGAGAGAGAAAGAGAGATATGGTATCACGCACGCGAATCCTGATTTAATCAGTACCTACACGACGTGCACATTCGCTTTGGTGGGCTTGTGGTAGGACTACTGTGATTAATTTGTCAACGTCACTATGTTTATTATGTATGTGTGTTTTTTTTTTTTNTTTTAAGTCTCTGTCCATGTCAGCCTTTGAAATATTCCAGACTTTGTAAAATAACTCATATTGTTTTACAAAAAACAGGACAGTAGGTAATTATCGTATAACGCAAAGCATGGAATTTTTTTATTTTTATCGGCTTCCGTCTATGCATCAGTTTTTTTTTTTTTTTGTTTTTTTTTTTAAAACACGAAAAAATTATTCGATCGTACATTTTTCACAGCACAGAGGCTCCGTTTGAGCCGACCGTACAAAATTTGATTTATTTATCGTACTACGACAATTATTGCGGATACTACCTTATTATGCTCTCGACATCTAAATTTAGAAAAATGTGGCCGCGAAGTGCAAGGGTAGGATAATCATCGGGAGCGAGATGGTACAGCGTCGAGTACATATTTATATACATTCAAAGAGATTTCGAATAAAAGCGATCACGCGAGCCAAGACCTGTGAGCACGTATCTACATAATCGTTTACATGTATAGACACAGGCAAGAGAGTGTATGTGTATATGTATAAGTGTATGTACAAGAACATACACGCGGATCGTTTAGCGATCAGTTAATCGCACTCCGCATACTTGACCGCACGCGTCAGATTCAATTTAGTATTTCTTTTTTTTTTTTTTTTTTTTTTTTTTTTTTTTTTTCACACGCAGAAAAACGCGTATACATCGTTCAACGTAATCGGATTATCGAAACGAGTAAGCTGTCGACACTTGGAGGTGTGACTTAAAAAACACGAGTACGCGATGAACCGTATGCGGAATGCAAATTCGATACATCTATCCATAACGTATACGTCTATACACCACCTGTGCTGTAGTAATCGGCTCTTTTACGAGGCGCGGATCGCGGGTGTGTCGGCGTTGGGTCGCGAAACTTATAAATAATAAAGAAAATCTCTCGGCTATAAATGTGCAGTAGGTGGCTACATCTTATATATGCGTGTGTATTTATGTATTGTAATTATGTATAAGAATACTGTTCCATGCGACGAGAGGCGGGAACAGTAAACGCGCTATGTGCGCCGTGATCTGGTCCCGTTAGATAATCCAAGGTTACTCTTCGACGACGGCAGCTGCAGCGATGCCTCTCGTTTTCACGTCGCTTTCGTCCGGTTTTTGTTTTTTCAACACCAACATACACCTTTGAATTACAAAAGCATTCGTGCACCTTTACTTTCCCTTTCTGTCCGTTTTTACAATTTTTCGTCTCACGTGGCAACGCAAATCAACTTGGTTCGCGATGACCAAACTAATACGCTATTTTATTGTTTCATCAAACAACAAGTAAGTATATACAGACGTGTACGCGCGCGGTCAGTCTAAAAATGTTTTGGAAGCTATTATTGTTCAAAGATATATGTTACGTATTATTTACGTGCGTCGCTTCGTTTCTTTTTATCCTTTTTTTTTTTCATGTTATTTTTATATAATATATACCTACATCAATTGGGTATATACACACTTACACAGTAAGTCTCGACAATCGAAATGTTGTTTTCTTACTTTTTTTTTTAATAGAAACACGCACGTGTTTAAGTATTTCATACATTTCTACATCGCTAATGCAACGCACACAATATATTGAGGTGAAATCGAATATTTCGACGATTATTTTTTTATGTATATTGAGCTTTAACGTTTACGATGCATAGCTTGGAAGGAGGTCATTATTATCGTATTGTTACCAAAGCCTTGAAAATTATACCTTTACTAACGTATTCTTTAATGTATACGCGACAAATTTAATTTAGGTGACGGTAAAAAAAAGTGACCGAAGCTCGTCTCAGTGAGGGAGAGGGGGGGGGAGGGTTTGAAGAAATTGGATCAACGCGCGCAGGGTGGAATGGCCGTCGATGTGGATCACTAGCTCATCCCCCTATGCGGCGTATACATAGATATACAATTATGTATTGGAACCATAATATGCACCTGTACCGCCGAAGATCTCTCTCGCGGTCGGCCGACCTCGAAATGCCCGCTAAATTTAGTGCAGTGCGTGGTACCTTGCAAAATCGCGCGTCAATCTCGTCTACTTCAAATTATGCGTTTGAACGCACGTAAGCACATCGTCTATATATATACAGGTGTGAAGGACCACTGACGATTTTTTTTCTTCTTCTTATTGTAAAAAAAAAAAAGAAATTTAACCTATATTGTGAATAGCACAAAGTTTATTTATACCAATCTAAATGAATATACCTTAACTCTGTTTAGGGAAAAGGAAATTAAAAAGTTGTTTTGTCAGTCATTGAAAGTTCATTGGTCCCAAATTTCATTTTCCCAGGTTTTTCGTTTTTTAATGTAAACCAAGAGTTTACCATTAACAAGTATACGTGTAATCATCGTGCAATGTAAAACAATAAATCTATATTTAATGTGGTTAAAATTTTTTTTCTTTCTTTTTCGTCGTCTAAGTGTACGTGCAACTGTATACCGTAAAAATACTTCAAACGGCCGTGACTTTGATTACGTCACGCTCGACTTCTGTAGAAAGCAATGCTTTACGGATGACACGTTCGCTGATTCGTTTTGACCAAGGCGATGGATGTTTCGAGCTACCGAGGTCACGTCAAATTGCATATTGTGTCTCTCTACGTTCACACGCCAGTATGCATATCACAGTTTTTGGCAACCATTTAACATACACCGGCTAAGTTTGGCTATTTGCAGCCATGAAAACCAAAGGTGCTTGTGGATATTTTAATTTTCATATCGATAATCAGTGGTACTCCCGACACATGACGTACGGTACGTTCAAGAAACTATGATTTTAACGATACACGTTTCTAAAACCACATTTCAGCAATACTTCCTTCAAGACGTATCATAGAAAGTATTACTGTGTTTCTTGGTGTTTAAAGAATTTGGAAAAGCTTAGTTACCATTATCATGATTCAGTGATAAATTTTAGATTACGGAAGAGTACGTGCCATTGAAATATACTGATTTTTTCCTACACATCAAACGCTGTGAAAAATATTCGAAAAGCTATGTAGCCTGCGTGTTGCCAGAAAAATATAAGCTGCAGCAACGAAAAAGTAAGAAGAATCCAGCGCTATACACGTGACAAGTGATAAGTATACACCAGCGGAAAATGCTATACTTTTCGAAAACATCAGAATCACCTATCGTGAATTAACATCGGCAGTTGGCTATTAAGTCTTCTCTATTTCGCCCGCGGTTACGCAACCGAACGAGCCTCGCAAATCCAACTGACGTCAGTATCGACCGTCTCGACGCTTTTTCTCCTGCCCTCAAGTTGCGAAAAAATTTTCACTCTCTCGTACAGGTTTGAGATTTTACAAATGAATAAGTACATTCCCTAAACTATTTCAATAGGCTCTAATGACAGGCAAAAACGAAGATAAGTGTGGGCGAGAATACTTATTCGGAGGTAAAGTAGGTAAAAGTGTCAGTAGTGCAAAAAGCGCGCGCAGATATAGGATACACCCCTCCAATAACACCCCATTCGAACGATTGGTTTTATCATCATGGAGCTCGACTTCTCGTCGGCAAGGTAGAGAATCGTGGTACGCGGTGGTAGTTCCGATCAGTCTCTTTCCCCCCTTTATGGATAAAACCCGCGGTTTTTTCCCCCCTTGGATTGACTCATCGTGAAATTGCGACTCTACGGAAGCTCGGCAGCTCCCACGTTACGCGCCGACTAGAAGCATTTACACTTGCGTATTATGTAACGCGGCTGTCGTGTGCGCGTGTATTGCGCGGGACACCGCGATAACGATCGACTAGCCGCTATGACAGATTAGATATAAAAAAAAAAAAAAAAAAAAAAAAAACTAATCTAATTGATTACGCGAGGTTTGAAAGTTGTGCAAAACTGACGGTAACTCCCTCTTAGCATTCACCATGACCTACAGAAGTGGATAGTAAATCAGTTTCTGTGAAAAAAAAAATATATATATATATAGGTACAACAAGTAGGTAGCACGGAGCTAGGAAATACGATCGAGCTTTCCTCGCAAGGGGAAACGACACACCACGCGGATGTGCCTTTTGCATTGCACAAGTTTCCCTTTTTTTATTTATATTTCTATACCTCTCACTCGCTAAGACACGGCTGTTGCTGCTGTTGTTGTCGATCGTGCTCCAACTCCCTTTTGTTCACCTACTTTTCGTGTGAGGAGCTTAGGGGCGAAATAAATAGGCCGAGGCCCGATGCGAAGAGAGAGAGAGAAAGAGCGAGAGAGAGAGCGAGAGAGAAATGAGGCCGAGTGCTGCGGCGACGTTCTTTCGTAGGCGGTCGATAACGGAGCCCAGCTTTTCCAGAAATCCCTGAACATTGGCTACGAAGTGAAAACCTGCACCCAACCACACGATATCAAGTACATGGGTAGGTACATTCAAATCAAGACAACTCAACTGATGGATTTATCTCCGTTTCGCCCACCCCCGCTAATGCTTGGTTCAAAGAGGAGGGGGGAGGAGGGGCGTAAGCAACCCCTTTTGCTCCGAGAACCGGAGTAGAGTATTCAATGAGAGGGAAAAGTAAGTATTGACACGAATTCGATGTGTAACGGGGATCGTAGGTAATAGGTGAGTTTGAGTTGGTAAGAAAGCGTGTAACGGAGAGGAAAAAAACAGACGACTGCTATGTAGCCACAAGGCCGACGACGCCACGAAGCCGAAAACGGAGCGCGTGCTCTCGCAGACCCTGTATTGCGAGGTGGGTGTACAAAATAACTTGATAATCGTAATAGCAGTGCCAACCGGAAGAGGAACAGCACGAATATACGCAAATTGGAAGAAACGTGAGGATGAGAACAAAAAAAAAACAAAAAAAACAAAAAAATAAAAAAAATTCAAGTACTAATACACAATGTAAGCATTTGAGAACACCCACCTGGAGATCGAAGCAGCGTCGGCTGCTAATGCGGAACAGTGCCATGCTTGTTATTGGGGGGTCACTTAGCGGTGCGGCTGTCCCGTAACGACTACACGACGACGTAGACGAGTCTTTTCTCCTCGCGGTTGGCTTGGCTCCCTACGACTGCACGCAGCTGGCAATGCTCGTACCTGGCGGGCTGGCGCGCGCGCCACTCGTGGATATATATGCTATATGCTATATACGTATTGTAAAAGGTATTGTACGTACACATATAGAAACACGGTATACGTATGTGTGCGTGTGTTGTAAGAGCAAGAATTTATAAAGCTTCGCTTCTATAATGAGAGAGAGAGAGAGAGAGAGAGCAAATGAGCCACATATAAGTGATATAAGCATCAAACAAGTAAGAGAGAGTAGCCAGCGCAACAACAAATTTCAGATACTTTTACTCACAGTCACACTCGCGCACTGATCTGCGTTCTGAGAGTTACGTGCGAAATATTTTGCATATTTAGGAAGGTATACATTACATTATCAGCTAAAAGCAATTGTTCTACTTGAACCGCCAAAAATTTAAACAACGTCCGAAGATCTCCTCCTATTGGGGCTCTGTTCCGGCAATGCTCGGTCCGTTCGGTGAGATGATATCAATAATGAGTACGAGAGAGAAGGTGGTATTGTCTCGTCATCCTCGCGCTCATTAAAAAATGCCACTTAGGTTTGTTTCCAATGGATTTTCGTTCAATTCGGTTCGGTCCGATTCCGTCACTCCTCGAATGTCATGAAAAAATGCGTTGCGTACTCGACTAGTTTCAGTTTTAGAACCGACTACAGTTGGTCGGTTCTACAATGATGGGTTCTTCAACAAAGACTGAATTTTTATTGCTTATGAACGAACCACGGACCGAACCAAACTTGAATGGCGCCAAACTTAAATGAAAAAAAAAAAAAGATATTTCCAAATCAAACCCATTTTTTTTTTTTTAAAAGGGGAAAAATCGAGTCTTATTACGTAACCATTTGTATATTATTTAATAGTTGCTACTGGTATCTATGTTGTATACTTTATCTGTCATAAAACTGCGTATCCATGCAGCTGTACAAAACTAAAAGTATATCAATAAAACAATAATGATGTCTGATATCAATACTAATTACTTAATTCATTTGTTATGGGGGAAAAAAAAAACAATCAGTGACTAAATAACTAGCCGATATAGATTTGTTTGGCTAAACGAGCAAAAATTCTCCGAATCACATTCGAGAATCAATAAACGTAAAATCACTTTAACTTCGTGATAAAATCCAGCTTGCAAGCTTCACTTGCAATGTATACACCACTTATACGTTAACTGCATGTCTATATTAGGGTTGCTAAGGAACTAACTTCGGCCAAACACACGTATACGAGCGTCGCGGACACGCCACCCCCTTCAATCACCAATGCGGCCAGTCATCGGTAAAATAACAACAGTCAGTAGTAATGAAAGCGCTCGATCTTTCCGTAAAAGCTCACGATACCGGAGCTATAAAAAATACAAAGAAGTAGCACATCCGCAGTGGTGGACGGGGAAGAGACGGCAAATCGATCGCGAGTCTCTCAGTGCAATCCAGCAAGTGATAGACCACGAAAGAAGAGAGAGAGAAATAAAAACAGACGATTGTACAAATCTGTTGAAAAGATTAAAATACGGGAAACAAAAGGATGCCGCTTCAGGAAACCGAGTACTGTATCGAGCAGATAAGCGTCCCGCCGAAGCTACCGATGATCCTCAAGCAGTTTTGTAAGTCGGCGATTCGCACGCAGCCTTACGACCTGCTCAAGTGGTCCAGCGCGTACTTTCGAGCTTTGGCCAATGGCGAGGAACCGCCGGCTAAGCTCAGATTCGAGTATCCCCCGCCTGGCACTCCCTTTGGCCTTACCCTCGGTTTCCTCAAAGTCCTCCTTCGCCAGCTCGGAGGTACGTGTACATACATAATTTCATTTTTGTTGATATACCATTAAACGTTGCCGATCGCAGCTGCTGTTGTTGTTGTTGTATACCATGTACCGATTTGCGCACAGCTGACTACAACAAAGTGCTTCCTTTGGAGTGCATCCTGGAAAAGTGGGATTACCTGTGCCTCGATTGTAAAGACGCCGACCTGATCATTCGGATCGGTAAGTTTCGCACCAAGTGCCAGATCAAAAAGTTCCTCTCTATCGCCGTGGGCCTTATCACCAGGAACCTCACCAAGACGATGATCATGGTGTGCGAGCTCTTTACCTTCGAGCCGGACGGGGGCTCGGCCATGATTCCGCTCAACTTGTTTTTGGAAATCTACGGGTACTACCGATTTTTTTTTTTGTTTTTTTTTTTTGTTTTTACCATTTTTATACCGTACACAGTTATTTGGCTGGGCTGAGGTGCGACGGCGCGGAAAAAAGCAGCACCGAAAACCTGTGCCTCTGCTCGGATGNGGAGCCGCTTTTTTTTTTTTTTTTTTTTTTTTTTTGTTTTTTTTTTTTGTTTTTACCATTTTTATACCGTACACAGTTATTTGGCTGGGCTGAGGTGCGACGGCGCGGAAAAAAGCAGCACCGAAAACCTGTGCCTCTGCTCGGATGGCACGCGCTCGTCCGACGTAGGGCCCTGCGACTGCTGCTCCGAGCCCGGGCTGGGTACTTCCGAGGAGGTGGCTGCCGGACCGGTTTCCGAGGCTAGTCAAGAAACCGTGGCCGACATCGAACTCGACCTCGACGACTCCGTTGTCAAGGAAGACGTTCCGTCCACGACGAGTTAGTCATACTTGTTCATTTATTCTCAGTAGAATTTACACATATAACACAACAAACGATCTATTTGACACACGTGAATGAACTGTTTGTTTTTTTTAACGTGAATCAACATTGAAAATTGGTGTTTTTTTTTTTTCCTTTTTTTTCTTCTTTTTAATAAGCTCTCCAAAGTTTTGGCGAGGAAACAGAAGATAGTTATCGTCACGAGGGCGAAGCCAGTTATGTATCAAACGAGCATACGGAATCCTCGAGAACGTTGGAGTTTGTGGATGAAAAGGACGTTGAAGTTGAACATCGCGTGGATGAGGGTCAAGCGATAGAAGCACAATCCGTAGATTTTGGCTCGGTGGCGGATGAGACGAAAAAGCCGATCGAGGAGACTCGTTCCGAAAGTACTGGACTGACCGACAAGAGCGAACCGCACTCGCACTATCCCAACGTGCCGGGTATAATTTTCTGTTTAATTTAATTATATGCGACATTAAATAAACAAGTGCGAAGGTTTACGTAAAAGGGTATACCTTGTTTTAGGAATAGGACGTCGTTTGTTGGCCGATGAAATAGGTACCGTGGCTATTTGGATGAACGATTGGGCGAGGAGGCAGCACGGATTAGTCGGACCGAGAAACATAAGGCACGTGAATTGCCCACCGCTCGAAGGCTGCTGCTGTCCAAGGGCAGTCTGCTGAACATGTTCCTAAGGTTTTCAATCAAACTCACGTCATTTTCTAAGAAAAATTTAATCAACAATTTTACACTCAACAATTTTTACCAACATTAATATTTATCATTTACATTTGTTCCGAGACTGTTATTTATCACGTTGTTCATAAAATACGTATTTATTGAAAGATCGTAATTACTTTAAGTATATAAATACAATGATGCAATAAAATGATTATGTTCTCTCGATTTCTTTTGTACACAATTTTACAAACATTTAGTCATGAAACTTCATTATGTATATATATATATGTGTGAATGTATGTACACTGTCTTTGACTAGAAAATGATGAATACGTTGGCTCAATTAAATTAAACCATCAGTGTGGGTAGCGTCCGAATAGGACAGAGCCTTCGTATTTTGTGGCGAAATGCGTGATAAAAGGTAAAAGAAAGTAACAATATTATTAAAAGTAACATGGCGTTTCTGGCTCTGATGCGGCCTGCTCGCCATTCGAGTAATTCGTGTCGATGCGTAAAACGATTTCGATACTGATATGGCAATTCGAAACTACTTTTGATCGGGTAGAGGGAGCGGTAAAAATCATTTAGAAGAGCTCGAACTACTTCATTTTCGGAACGTCGCAATGGATCCATATCGTCGTTCAGGCAAATAAATTTTCTGCAAGCACAATTTCAAATTTGTTTTTAAAAATTTTAAATTGCCTAAAAAATGTCTAAAAAAATTTAACTTTAAATACTATTCTTACTTAGGATTGCTGCGTATTCGGTCAAATACTTTCACTGTAGTTGATACGTTGCTGGTGAGCATTTCAAAAGTTTCATCTTTACCGGCATTGATAACTTTATGAAGGTATTTATTTCGTTGGCCGAATTTAGAGCGAATTCTATTGATGATTGCATCGCATTTGAGAATTAGTTCTCGACGAACGATCGGCTTTAACATTAGTAATTTTCCAATTTTCAATAGTCGGTGTAAATAATTGAAATTGCACAAAATAAAGGAGAAAAAACATACCAAAGTAGAATCCAAATACCTTTCTCCAGAAGGTGGAGGTTGTTGCGTTGAAACGCTTCTCAAATCAATATGTCGGGAGCAGTTAATTATAGCATTTTCAAAATCGACCACTAAACTATAATCAAGAGGTAACGGATACATTCTCGTTAATAACGTTCGTATTTCTCGATCTGACCAAGTCCTTTGAAAAATAGTTACGTTACTAATAAATAGCATTCAAACTATCAGCAGAATTATTCTTATGTGTACCTACCGAGACTTGTCGGTGTCAAACGTATCAAATATTTCTTCCGCATGTACCGAATGTTTTTCACTGATTAAAAAATAAAAATATGAAAAAGCAAATTGCATATCTTCGGGATCTCTTACCCGGTGGCTTGACGTCTTATCAAATTCTAATGCAAACTTTTCTTGCATTTCTGCAATAACTGTTCGGTTTAATAAATGCGGCATATGAGCCGGTACTTTGCGTCGCTCAAAGCCGTAAGCTTTATTGTAAATTTTGTTAACATAAAGCAACGATTCGGCGTATGTATCAAGTCCTTTCGATTTTTTCTTTTGACGATCTGCATACTCTAACTTATTATTCCTAGATGTCTCATTTACGTGTACTAAATTGATGATATCGTCATTTACAAAAAGTTTGAGAGCATTCTTTTTATCTACTCTATATACATGATTTGATAAATTACTTGAAGAATAATGATTTATAGAAAGATTGCTTGAATTTACTTCCCATGAATTAGAGTGGGAAAGTAAAGTGCGCACATGAATTGAATTTGTGCTATCATTCGCGTCAAAATAATTTTCCATCTTTTTTTTTTCTAAAAGTCCTACAGCTTCATTCTCTTTAGCCTTTGGTTCTCGTAAAAATCCGTAAGGGTAATCACTTTCTATTTCATCAATTTCTATATCTGCATCATCCATAGCAGAAATATCACAGTCACCACCTAAATATCAAATAAATATTCATAATGAATATAACTAAACAATGCTAAGCAACGTACTCTATGTGACAATGTTATGTACCATCAAATTCACACAATGTCGTATTACAAGTTGGATCACAAGCTCCATCTCGGACCCATGTCCAGGGACAAACATCTGAACAATCAGGAACCCACCAAGCTAAAAAAACTTTTTGCCCACTGGCATGAGATATAAAATCTTCGGGCCAAACAGTAGCACCCAGCATGACATCGTCATTCAAGTATAAAAAATTTTCAGACAATCCAGGAATTCTAAGAAAAAAAAAAAAAAAAAAAAAAATTGTTAAAATATTTTTCAGCAAAATACATCTAAAAAAAATTAAACCAGTTGAAATACAATGTTTACTTCGTACCTGTGAATGTGGCTTTCAATGGCTGGACTAGAAAAGGTAGGCAAATGACTCAAGTTTGTAAAAATGTCTTCGTGCGATATGAGCGAAACTTTTGGATTGTCCATATCGAGCCAACTTGGAATTTGTCCATTAGTAACTACATACACTTTTCTCACCCATGGTGCATACATTTCTAATGATCTAAGTGAATACCTTAGTTCGTCTTTATCGCTAAATCTAGAAGCTGCACTATTAGCACTTGTTACTGGAACGTATAATTGTAAATCATCAAGGAACAGCGGATCAGATCCATTGACCCAGGTATAGACTACATCGATGGGAACGTGTTGACACAATTGTCTTTGAAATGATATGCCAAGAATATTGTCATTAAAAGAATGAAATACTGCCTTGTACTTTTCTTTGCTCCATGCTATCCATACCTGCAGTAAATTTAAATATATTTTATGAGATAAAAATGATTCCAAAAAGAAGAAAAAAAAATTTACGATCATTTGATTGAGAAAATGCATGTAAACTATACTGCATAACATATTATAACATGACAAACCTCGCCAAAGTGAACGACACCGACAAAGATGCAGGTAAGCGTCACGAAGATGACGAGGAGGGAGTAGCGATGGGACAGAAAATCGTAGCATCTCCGTTGCATGAGTTTCCAAGCACTCATCGCGTACTGCATATCAACTTATCACAATTACCTTTGACATCCTTCACCTTCACCATCGTTTTTTGTTGTCGATCGTCATTAGCGCCTTTGGACGCTTGCTGTAAAAGCACCAAAGTTATGGAACATCGAGGTCATTTTGAGGAAGTCGAAACCAGCTGCGGCTTTTTCGCTAAATCTGCATTTTTTGCTTGTTGCATTTGCAAATGACATACTTATTTTTTATTTCTTTTTAACCACGAAAGTTATTAGTATAATTAAAGTAAATATTGTGAATTTGTGCGCGCACCCCCTCCGGTGCGACATTCAATGTATTTCCAAAACAACGCCACTGCATCAACTGCATGGGCTTATGTATTCCACAAATGCTGCCAGCAGTTAAGTTACGTGTACAGTCGATTTTTGGGTAAAATATAAATTGCAAACTTGCCGCAAATAGCACAAAAAATGTTAACTTTTAATTGTCTATGTATCAGATTAGTTGCGGCTGGTTTATAATTGATTACATGGCAGTACTGTGAGTAGTAATGATTATTTGGATCAGCGCCATCTAGCGTGGCGAATTTCTGAACTATGAACTTGAACGAAAAAGTGGCCCTAAAATTCTGAAACAGAGCATTAGGGCCTAGAGCCATTTAATCAGTTATAAACCAACCGCAACTAATCTGATAGATATTGAGAAAATTTAACGATGTTTGTGCTATTTGCGGCAAGCTTATAATATATCTTTTACCTAAAAATGTATCTCCAAAAGTTTAAATAAATATGAGGTCGATTTTTGCGCTCACAAATTCACAATATTTATACTTTATTTATACTAATAACTTTCGTGGTTAAAAAGAAAACAAAAAATAAATATGTCATTCGTAAATGCAACAAGCAAAAAATGCAGATTTAGCGAAAATTTTGAAACATGCTTAAATTTTTATAAACATAAATTCTATTGATTTAATAAACCTATTTACATAATGTTATCATTTTGTACACTTACAACTAATTTGTCAACATTCAAACAGTGTGACGTCGTAGAACAGGTAACGTATAGTAACAAATAAACTGAAGTAAAATATGACTGTTTAAACTTTTAGCTTCAAACTCTATGTACACGTATTAAAATATTTGAACTTTTCGAATTTTCTGTGTATAATAATAAAAAATTATGACCTTGAGCTGGGTCATACAGTATTTATACATTACACATGTTGTTATAACCTTTATTACCTAGCTAAAAAATGCGCATTATGACAGCAGTTACGTATTTTATTCAACGTCTGAATGTCGCTACGGTTAAATTTTTTTTTTTTTTTTTTTTTTTTCCCTGTCAACACTTTTAAAGTAAACCTAAACTTATAAAGTAAGTCTACTGCAAAGGGTCCCATGGGTCCGGTTTGGTTTGGAAACTCTTCAATTTTAAAGTGACTTTAATTATAAAGCCTAAGTGCAACATATACATATTAGGTATAGGGGCTGCTTCAGCCTCCTGGAATTTGTCTGGACGGCTGGACCTCGCGGCTCGCGCTCGGGCATCTCCACACAGTCCGCGCGCGCTCCGCTCGAGTCCCGTCGTCCCGTGAACCGTGAACGTGCAGAGCGCGACAACGCGACAAGGGAAGAGAAGGGAAACAGGGAAAGTGAATAAGAGAGAGAGAGAGAGGAAATATTTTATATATTCTCGAGCTATAGATGTAAGACACGTGTATATAGGTATACACGCGTGGGTATTTGTGGTCTTGTGGAACACAGGAGAGTCTGGGGGAACCTGTGCGAAGGCGTTTTCCTCGACCGCGAGTGCGCGCGAGCACGGAAAAGCAGGCGAGCCACGCACAGTGGTCGTACATTTTTATTACAAGTGTATAAGGTACACACCTATCTATCATTGTCATCGTAATCAACAATCAACACCAGCAGAACCGATAGTTGTAACAATTTATTATATCAGTGCGCTGCACCTGCACGGCGTGACGGCAAAGTCAACGACGACGGCAGCTCCCGAAGTTTCTCGCAGCCGAAGGGTTTAATGGATCCTAAGATCGGTTGGTATCAGCCGGAGCAGTTCGGACCCGCGAAAGATTTGTGGTTACATATTTGGGAGACCGGTAAGGAGCTGGACAACCTCAGCATTAAGCAACAACAGCAGCAGCAGCAGCAGACATCACACGAGAACAACAGCACGAACACGGTAATGCTTGAGAGAGAGAGTGAGTGAAGGAGACCCCCAGGCTTCCTGGTGATCAAAGCGGAATTTGGGGTGGGAGAGTATCTAGTGTAGCACGATGATGACGGAGAGCGTGTGGCCAAGAGCAACGATTTAAGCTTATATGTGCTCTTGTTGTATACTTGGGTTGTTTCTCTTCATTCGGTCGAACCGTCTGCTCTGCTCTGCTTGATACACACTGTCTATACATATATATACACACGCTTGTAAAGTTATAAGTTACAAGTTCAATTAGGTACCTATATTTAAGGATTTTACTTAATTTTGTTACACATACACATATATACATCACACCTATTTGTGCATACCTGTGTTTGTCAATTGTGGTCGTGCGATTTTCAGCAGCATCAGAGCGCCAATACGATGAACTCGAAAGGCTCGCAGGATCTTACCCCACAATTCATACCCCTGGAGTCGCCGATACAGCGACAACTGGGCGACGAACAAAACAACATACGTGTCAATCAACAACACAACAACAGTTACTACAACCCATCCAGGAGGAAAAACGATAATCGCGCTAGAACCTACGCCATGAACTACAACTACGAGGCTCTTGTTGGGGTCTTTGGCGGCTGCCCCTGGCGGATTCCTGGCAAACACTACTCCAAGGGCGTCATAGGGTAAATCTCTTGATCACTCTTCTGCTCTCGGCTTTCTGAACTGTTTATTTTCCGCCCCCCCTTGACTAATCCCCTTGTCGTGGCAATCAACATTTATGTACTCCAGCTCTGATTGAACATAATGTGAGGTTAAGAATGTCACATGGCTAATGTAGATGTCCTTTACAATTTTTTTTTTTTTTTTTTTTTTTTGTGTTTTTTTTTTAAATACTGGCCAAACATTTTTTTTTGTCTTATTCACATTTATCTGCAACCCTGTTATCAAGGTTCCATATAAGATAGCTGCAAATGACATTTTTTCAATAAGAACTGTTTTGATTATAGACTGCACGAGGAGATTGAAGACTTCTTTATGTACATGTGCCCTTCGACTGAAGAACACAGTCTCCGTTTGAGAGTGGTCAATAGAATAGAAACTGTAATAAATGACTTGTGGCCAGACTCAAAGATGGAGATATTTGGAAGTTTCCGCACTGGATTATATCTACCCACAAGGTAGTGGCCAACTCTTTAATAAAGTGCACTTACAAGTTTCTACCGGATTCTAAACAACATTTTCATTTAAAAAAAAAAAAAATTGTTTTTGATCTTTTTAGTGACATTGATCTAGTTGTGATAGGCAAATGGACAAATCTTCCACTGCACACGCTCGAAAGAGCATTGATTGATCAAAATATTGTTGAGCCATCTTACATCAAAGTATTAGATAAAGCATCAGTTCCAATTGTAAAACTTACGGATAAAGAGACTGAAATTAAGGTGGATATTAGCTTTAACATGAGTAACGGTGTCAAGTCTGCTGAATTGATTAAGACTTTTAAGGCACAGTACCCTGCTCTTGAAAAATTGGTTATGGTACTCAAACAGTTCTTACTACAAAGAGATCTCAATGAAGTGTTCACGGGTGGTATTTCTTCATATAGCTTAATTCTTATGACTATTAGCTTTTTACAGGTATGTAACACGAAAAGCAAAGTTTAACTAGCTCAGAAAACATGTATTTATGCATACTTACCAAATTTGCTTTTATTTCAGTTGCATCCAAGAGTAAATATTGATAGTCCAGATGTAAACTTGGGGGTGTTACTAATAGAATTTTTAGAATTGTATGGCAGAAAGTTCAATTATGTCAAGACTGGCATTCGTGTGAAAAATGGTGGTACTTACATATCAAAAGAAGAAGTAAGTACGAAACTCAACTATTGCAATTTTTCACATTTAATTATATTACAGTTATGGTTTTACTTAATGTATTAAACTGCTTTAGGTTCAAAAAGATATGATTGATGGACACAGACCATCACTACTTTGTATAGAAGATCCACTTACTCCAGGTAATGATATTGGACGAAGCAGTTATGGAGCGTTGTATGTGAAGGATGCCTTTGATTGGGCATACTATGTACTGTCTCAAGCTGTGAACCCTCTCAATATTTTAATTAATGATGCCAACAAAGTTAGGTAAGATAAAACCTAAATTTCGTCCAGTGAAATTTTGGATAAAAATTTATGCGAACCTTCTTCTGCATAAAAACATCTGTTTGTACATGTTTTAGTATACTGGGAAGAATAATTCGAGTAACAGATGAAGTAATAGAGTATCGAAAATGGATCAAAGAAACGTTCCCCGTACCTCTAGAAATAGATTCACTTTCCAGCTCTACTGGTTCTGATGCATCCACACTTTCAGCTCCTGCAAGTGAATCAGTACGTTTATTTTCACTTCGTCCAAACAAACAGTGTAAGGGTTTTATTGATTTTGAAAATTTAAAATTTTATAGGAATCGGAGTGTAGTAGAGGAAATTCGCCAAACACTGGTGAAAAAGGTGATGAAAGAAACAGAGAAAGGCATTTATACAATAATCAGCAAACTCATGGCCATATTCCGTATAAAAAGTCATACAAACCGACACACAGTAAATATCAAAAATTTAGTAAATATATTATTATCTCGATTATATGAAAAAAATAATTAATCCATCAACGAAATTGATATATTTTTAGTAAATCATCAAAATGTACGAGGGGATTTTCCACGTGGCATAAATAATCACGCTAATCATATTAAAACGAAAATGAACCATCACAATAGTAATAACAGTAATCAAAGCCCTGGTTCAAGACTGCACTCAATGAAACGCAAAAAGCAATGCATTGCAACTAACCGCGGACCGGGTGATTGTGTACGGTGATGAAGTATAATCTATAATTTTGCTTAATTTCTCCTTCAAAGAATCAATTCTAATTGATTCCGGTAATAGCGTTTGCAGGCCAATGTTATAACAAGTCGATAAGCGTTTTTCATAAAATTTTTTATCGACGTTAAATTTTTGTACGAAGCATTTGAAGTTTTAGTGCATGAATACTTTTTCACGCCAATTTACATGCAATGAGAACGACTTTATGTTGACCTATGTAATTGACGTTTGCAGTATGTGTACTGTATTTTATAGGATTCTGACGTTTAGGCAATATAAAGGAAGAGTAAAGAGTATTGACTCAACCTGCTACCGCAGGTATAAAGCTAAAACAATTTCTTTTGCATTCTATTATTTATAACTTCCTTATTAATATGCTTAAATTTTATTTGAAAGAACATAAATACTGCACATACTTTGAAGAAAACTAGCAATTGTGTTCAGCTGTATCGCGTGGCGTAACTTTCGTAAACGGTCTGTCTGGCACTGGAGTACTAAAACAATTATAACTACTCTAAATAAGACTGCGCGATGTATGCCAGTAGCAAATAAAAAAAATATTGTACGATAAAGACTTAGTTTTCTAAATGGAACTATATTCTTATAAAATAAAATGGAAAAGCTTGATAAAGATTTTTAAAAAGTCATTAAAAAATTTAAAAGTATGGTGATAACTCAGGACTTGCCTAATGTACATATGTAATATATAAAAAAAATTTTAAAAAATAAACAAAAAAACAAAAACGAAATAATAAAAAGCATTAAGAGTCTTAGTCTTATTTTTTTATTTAAGTGTAACTTATGAATGAAAGGGTACTTTGACTTGGATAACTTCTTTTTTTCTTGATTCCTCTTTTTTATATCGATGTTGAATTTTGTTGACCGCACTTGAAATAACGTGTACAAAGTTATGGAAGACTTAAGCTAGAGCAGTCTTTGTAAATTTATTTATATGCAATACTGTACCATAAACTGTTCATTATACGTTTCTTAATAAAACACGATCCGCAAAACAATTTCCGTTTCTTGTAAACTTTTTAAAAAATCAATTGAAAGCATTCGAAGTTTTTAATTGATTTCTTATCTGTATTCAAATTTGTCGTTCTTTAAAATATTATTTTGTATGTTCCATATCTTATATTTCCAAAAAAACAATATGTAAAAATACAATTTGTTGTGTTTATGGATTTTTACTAGCATAATTATCTGTAAAAAGTGTAAAAAATAAAACTTTTAACATCAACTGTAAATCATTTTAATATATTTATTTGTATAGTATATACATCAGCCAGAGTTATGTACCATCAAGTGTACCTGCTACAAAGTATTTTTAAAATAATGTTAATTTAATATATGTCTATACACTTTTCAAGTGTTACTTTCTCATGATTATTGATATAAACTATAATATATCATCAATAACAATATTTAATTATAGTATTTTATATTCATGTTAACAGCTATGTGCACGATTATTTAATGATTTTTATCGTTTCTCTCCTCTAAAATAGTATTATTCCTTATCGGTGATGCATGTTGATCAAATTGCGCGCAAAAAATAATTTTTGAATAATTTCAGATATAATCACATACTCAATATCATTTACATTCAAAACAAAAATAAAAATTCAGTCGATACAGCATAAAAATACATTTCACTTTATCAGAAAATATAAAATCTGTTAGTATTTTAAAAATTATAAAAATATGGAACCCATGATATAAATTTTTTTCTTTTGCTCATGCAATGGCAATTTGCATACTCAGCTTGTCTTGCTTACAGCGAAAAACTTTTGTGCCAAAGCAGAGTTTCTTGCTTGCAAAAATAAAAAATCGAGCCCGAAAAGGTGGAAAAAGGCGTCCAGAGTCTAAAGAGGAAAAGTAAAATCCTAGGGAAGAGAGTTAAAAGACTCGTATATAGTAAAAAGAACAATGAGAAATAATTTAGTTGTATTTATTTTTGCAGAAGCGGACAAGTGTATCAGAAAAGAGTTAGGCTCCGAAATGTTTGAGCAAACGTGGGATGGAGTACTGGAAGAGGAAAAATTCCTCGGCCGAGTTTCTCAGTTAATTTTAACGTGTCTTACGAAATTTGAAAAAATTATATTAAAAAAATACATTCCAATTGATAATTTAAGAAATTAATATAATAGAGAATTTTAATTTTTAAATTTGATGTTTATACTTAGGGTAACATTGACTTAAGTATGCCTATAGTGTCAGGGGAGTAATAATGAGGGTCAGCGACACGCTAGATCGTTACACTCCCTATGGATACTCTTAAATGACTTTCCATCGAGATTTACGTGCTGTATTCAACATTTTGAGGAAGGGGGCCATGAATGTTGGTGTGTTTGCTCCAAAATAACTATTTATATACCATGTTTACCAGCAAGACGTCGATTTCGTGGACTAAAACTAAAAACTGAAAAGACATATTTATTTATAGAGACCCCGACATTGCTGGGACTCCGTGCTCTGGCATAGTAAAATGCATGATGTAACAATTAAGAATACCAATTATTAATAAAACGCAAATCGATTTGTCATAAAATAAATTTATATTAAATTCAAATTAAATACAAATAAAGTAATCCTTAGTAAAAGCCATCACGAATTTTTTACAAATTTTTAGACAAAAACCATGAGCTTACATTAAAATAGTTGAGGTAAAAGTGAGCCGACATCGGGGAGCGGTTGATAAAATTTTAAATACATAAAATAAAGATCGTTCTTAAACTCAATAATTGATCAGTTTCTGAACATTTTTTCATACAGTGCTATGTGGCAAATATCCAAGGCAAGAAGAATTGCCACACAAACACGGCGTCTCGCTCAAATTGTGGACGGATGTGTCGCCTGCATAATTGAAAGTAATTTCTTCCTCAGGTTCGATGTCTCTTAATGCAAACAAGCAAAGTTTTGGTATCGTTATGTCAACTCTAACAGGTACAAGCGCTGCATTGGGTTGACAACTATGATTCGCGTAACGTCCTATGCTTCCAAACTTTGCAGGATCCAAGCATGTGGTTATTTTTTTATCCCCTACGTATTCCGAAACAACGAGAACGTAGTTCATGCTTCCATTGATTTTGTTAGCTTCTAATCTCCTCTGAGCTTCGTCAATTCCAATAACTTCGCCAGCATACTCGCAAATAAATTGGTTTCTTTTAATGCGTTTCATAGTGAAAAGACCAAGACCAACGGCACTATTAATTGCATTTTTTACCACCAGACTGTCAACCGGACCATACTGTACTAATCGGTTGCCACAATTCCGATGACACGTACAGTTAAAATTACACTCAATTATCGAATTAGAATTTTCCGTGGATAATCGGGCGTCGACGTAATTTGGAGTTCCTCGAATACAAGAGCAATGATTATTTTTACATTCTTGATCACAATCACAGCCGACCGAAAATTGCATTTCAAAGTCATCCGGCTGACTACCTGGACCTGGTATATTACTAACTATGTATATAATACCTGATTGCGGATGATGCTCGTACTCGTCGGGTCGAGTCGTCGCATCATCGCCATCATCACCCATGCTTACTATGTTTAATCGTCAATGCGCAGACCGCAGTATGTTAAAAATGACTTTAGTGCAAAAGCAGCAGAAAAACAGAAACAACAGAAAAGAAACGTAATTTGATTTAAATGTCTTAAACTTTCGATGTGCCTCAAATTTTCGTGTTATTACAGTCTTATGAGCTGACACTGACCTTGATAAGCCCTTCTACCGATGACTTTATTGATTGTATGACGTTTACGGAAACGGGTGCAATTTTATAACCTGCGTAAAAAATTACTCCCACAATCGAAGCTTTGAACGTTAATTTCAAAACCTTGGTTGTCATAGAAGTTGGTGGTATGCTGTAAAAAGATTAAAAATTTTTAAACGTAAATAAAGATTGAATTTTAGACAACTTATAAATTAAAAAAAAAAAAAAAAATTAAATATAATTAATTACCTCATGATTGGAACTATCTGAGATCGATCTACTTTCCCCCAATTTTCTACAATTCCTAAGGTGTGGCCAATACCAACGACGCCAACTACTTTCACAGGTACTAACTGATTAGGTTGTACAAGTCTAGGCCGACAGGCCAATTGGAGAGAATGGGTTAAAAATAAGTCTCTTTCATGAACAAAAACTTCACCCAATTCCGGATACTCTCCAACGAGTTCAGCCATGATTTGTTCCAAAGAATCTCTGCATTTGTATTTTTCTATATCTTCTTGACTGATTGGTTGTTTTTCTCTCAACAGATGCCATATGAGTTTTATGGTTTGCCACCAGCTTAATGAATTAAAAGCCCTGGCAAATGTTATTTTTATAGGTCTATCTCCCATTTGAACAAGGCAGTTTGGAATTTTTTTGGCCTTTAAACAAATATTTTGCTTATATAGGATTCAAAATTGTGCATATAATTTATTAACTCAGGTGGAAAGTATGCTCTGTTTGAAATATCCCACCAATGTCAAAAACTACAGTTTTTAAAACTTACCTCATTAAAAGCTGTTCTGAATTCTCCACCTGGTGCCATACCAAGTACCTTTGTGAGATGTGCAGACAAATTTAAAAGTAAAAGATAAAACAATCCCTTATATGCACCATGTTGCTTAATGACATTTAAAATTTTATTCATTTTTAAATTTTTAGACTCTTCCAGAATGGTTTTTTCATCCAATTGTAAGACATGGATTCTATCTTTGCAAAGCTCAACCATCACTATGTGTGGTTGTACAGCTTGTATCACCTAACATTTACACGTATCAGTATAGTGAATTCTTTACAGAAAAATACAAAGAAAAAAAAAGAATAATAATAATTCAATGTACCTTGGCAACATCATTTTGACTCTCAATACTGAAATGTGCAGTTCCCACTAGATAACATTTACTTCCTTCAGGAGTTGTCAATAACGTTACAGTATTTGGCAAATTATCATCAAAATTTGTAGTTGAGACCTTTTTATCCAAAACTTTGTTTGGTGCACCTCTACTTTCATCATTAACCTCTAATCCGACGTTTTCTACAACATATAAATAAAATAAAATTTGTTAGTTTAAGTGATTATGTAAGCATAATAACGATAACACAAAAATAATAATCCCTATTCTTCTTTTTTAAATTTAAAATTGGTTTTTTAAAACTACTTTAAACAGCATGTATACCATGCCTCCTTTTTATTTTTCTTTTATTTTTGTAAAAACTAGGCATATTGTATGAAAAAATATTCTAATACAAACAAACTAACTCTACTGTTTATTAAATTAGAATAAGACTCCATATATATAAGTATACAGTAAGAAGCCCTACACTAGCACTTGTCTCAGTACTTTGTTGAAGTGTGACCATTACAGTTACTAAGTATAGGTTTAAAGTTGAAAAGTAAATTGTGAAAACTTACGGTGACCATTAACATTGTCGATAAGCATCAAATTACTTTCTGAAGTACCAGTTTTACTGTCAGAACTTTCTGGTGTCAGAGGAGCATTGATACTCTCAGGTTCAATTAAGACAGCATGTTGAGTTGGGAGTACTTGTGTAGGATTTACATTAAATCTCCCTGACTCTGCATTTATAAAATCGTTTACTGCACTTTTATCATTAAAATTTATTGTGTGTTTACTGTCCTTGTAGGTGCTTAATAATTTTTCGTTTTCTTCCATGCTTATTTGTGCTGATGTAGCTTCACTCGATGCCATTTCAAAACTCTTCAAATTTTTCACTTTAAATCTATTTACAACAAGTACACATTAATTATTAATAAATGTCAATGCAAATTTTGCATTATGTAATTTTTTTTTTTAATAATATTTTCTGCGATTATAGTTTTTCGTGTCATCTGTCAGATGACAATTCCATATTGAGAGTATAGTTTGTGTGTAAGTTACATAACCTCGAAAATCAATCAAAAAAGTATTTTAATGCAAGAAATTAATTTTTAATATGAACTTGTTTGGAACTAAAAAAAATATTTTTTTAATAAATTAACAAAGTGACATTACTGAAAAATAAAATACTGTGTAGGTATGATTTTTATGACTAGCATATGATGAGTATAAAGATCAATATAAACCTTGTACCGTAAAAAATTTGAAAAGCGTATTAATATTAAATAGTTAAATAAATAATTACGTTAAAATTTAAGTGCTGAAATAATGTTTGTAACGCTCTGTCAAAGAATCAATAAAAGGACACTTGTCAGAAAATAAGTATATGATGACGATTTAACATCAGATGGGCGATTTTTTCAAGAATCGATTGTTTAATCGACATTGTATGTGAGATTCGATTATCGAAGAGTCGATTTATTCCTAATCGAGCTTTAGAATTTTTATTTGAAAAAAATACATTAGCTATATTATTGTATAGTTACCTAAGATGCAAAAAAGTCGTACTTTGAAGTGTACGACGTTTTTTTAGTTATTGTGAGGGTCGTATAAAATCTACTAAGAAAAATTGTATTTACTGCTTGGTACGAAAGTATCTATTTTCGAAATATTATTTAATCTGTTAGATAATTTTTTATACCAATGAAAACCTTTATTTTCAAGATATTACAATGAAGTTCGAACATTTATTTCATCCTCCATTTAAAAGTTATTCTTAACAATTTTCTTGGAAAAAAATCAATTTTTTTTCTTTTTTTAACATGTTAAGTGAATAATTCGAGTAAACATTAAATTTTTCGACATCTGATTTCTGTAAAGGGATACATTGTTACAATCTGATTGATTTATTATTCATGTGGTAAATATACTGGTGGTGTACCTACTATGAAAACGAGACTGATAACGATGATAATGAATAGTAATAGGAAAAAAAGTATTCGCCATTACACAAAGTTACGTAAATCTAATTGACGGAGCGATTATGTAGAGGCTATTAAAGTTTCAGGGCATTGACTTCTTAACATGAAATTTCCTGTTGAGTGATTGCCCGAGATACGTTTTCTTGAGTTTTAGCAAAATAAAAATTTGATCTCTCTATACGTGTTGAAAATATCTTTCTTTTTTTTTTTTTTTTTTTTTTTTTTTTTTATTCGAAGCGAGAGTTACGTGAAAAATCTCGCAAGGGTTTTGTCGCGTGTTCATAGCGCGATAAATGCTTAAAATCCCCGTTGATGCAAAATAATGTAATAATGTACCAAAATTAAAAAAGAAAAATGTAAATACAATCTCACCAGCCTTTTACTTATCTCGGCCGTGCGTATAGAGTAAAAATAGTGGATGCTCGATAAGAATAAAACACACATTTGTACGCGATAAGATATGGTGTATCTATAATACCTCCTTCAATTTTTACATTGAATATACTTATGTGTACCGAAAGAAGCAAAATTTTACGTTCTCGTAATTTTATATTCAAACTCCGCTTCGTTTAGTAAAATTTATCGTTATTTACACTCATTCTGCACAAACACGTGTAAATAAAGCATATATGTACAGAGTTCATGTTGTTGTACCTTATTATTACATAATACAATCTACCGATTGTGAATCAATTTCGTAATAGTGTCACGTATTTTTTTTTTTTCATACTAGCCAACGGCTGCACAATATCAACGTTGCATCACGCATCAGAAATATATATTTCATTAATGTAAAACGACACAATACCGCAAGTAATTACATTAATGTCCAATTTATTATCTGTGGCGTGTATAATGTTTCACATAAAATTAATAAAAAAATGTATATAAAAATTTGGTCATTCCTGATCATGAGAAATAAAAAAATTCTATGTATAATTATGTATACATATCTAATGGTCAATACATGTACATGCACGTTTATACGTCTGGATGTAGGTAGTAATGAGGGTATACATTTTACTCTGTACGTGCCCCCAAGGCAGTAACCATGACGACGCCAAGTCTAGGGGGTACTTGTATAGGTAGCTCTTCCCTATTTCATTTCATTTTTTTTTTTTTACTCAGTGGACGGGGGTGTCCCTATGAGAAAGCAACAAAGCAACTCTCCCAGCTTATATTATATGCGACAAAGATTTCACGCTGTGTGAAAGTCTACATACATACTTATGTACTTTACTTTCCGCTCTTGCTCTTTGTGTAATGATTCTCTGTCAAATACAATAAGTACTATGGAGAGAATAATATCATCATCAGCATATTACATGTCTATATATACCACCTCTTAGCGTGTCCGCCCAGATTCTATTTTTACCCCGGTCTAGATTGTTATAGACTATATTATATATACGAGCTTTAACGTAGGAGCCGCTTTTTTTTTTTTTTTTTTTTTTTCAATAAATATGTGCAACGAGTAATAAATGCAAGTGAGCATCTTACGAGAAATAAGTTCCCACACGATGCGATTTAAAACTTTTTGTCGAAGCTGGAAGAAATTATTTTACAACATAAATGACAAGGATACGAGTATAATGTATATAACTTGGAAAAAAGTATAATATCGTAGGTAGCAACAAATTACATTTTAAACAGAATTTTCGTTCGGTGTAATTTCGCTAGCTTAAATTTTAGAACCTCGTACTTAATGCGCGCAAATCTACGGATAAATTGTACACTTGGAATTGCATGAACATACACACGTACAGCATTTTAAAGATCAACAATAATCAATAATAAATTAAAGCAACCCATTCGAAGAAGTTATTGTTTGTACGTGAAATAATTCAATTCCTTTTAAGAGTTATAGGAAATGCATTGTTATTAAAATTATATTCAATAATGAAGTATACGCAATAGGTATGCTTTATAAATAATTGCACAAAACTCTTAAGAGTTGGAATTCTTTTTTGGAAGAAATCATATTAAATTACCCAACTTCAAGAAATTAACTTGACTTCAACGAAATTTTCAATTTTTTTTTTTTTTTTTTTTTTTCATACTTTATTTACAGCTATTTATATCTGGAAGCTGGGCGTCAAGTACGATTACAAAGCATCATCAAGATGCACATTTTTTACGTAGTCATAAGTGACGAGCTTTGTTTTACACACTAGACAGCCAGATATTCGCGACCCCCTTCGACGAGTTGAGAGACATTGAAATCATGTTGTATTTGTACAACTTCAGTCAGAGATAAATCTCTGCTTCAGTGTAATGTATGACACTTTAATTAGTCCGTCAGTGTCACTCAACTCGTCGAATATAGTGTTGCAATTAAGTTACAAGTTGTACCGACCGGTGCTGCCACGGTGCCAGAGTGCCGGTACTTAACGGTTGCGTCGACAGTAATTTTTGCGCGCTAGCTCGGTATATAAGCCATAAGGTATATATAAGTATAGTATATCATATATACACAGTACACACGACTCGATACGAGAGTGTCTGCACTGCTGCTCTCTCAATTTCAGTCAATGGTCGGTCAATGCTCATGCTTTGCTTGTTGCAACATAAGTATATAACACTTAGTAAACAGGGAGGAAGGCTGCAAAACGGAGCAGCAGCAGCACTGACCGAAGACCGAACACATCAGATTTCATTACACTTATCTACATAATATCTACACCAGTTTGATAGTACCTATACATACTTACCGGATCGCAAATATACATCGCAACACTCGCAACTATCGCGAGTTGCATGTGATAAGTATCGCGAGTAATTAAGTACAAGTTGTACTTACCTAGCGTAGTTTCGGGAGAGCAAACATAGCTGGTGTGTGTACCAGTGCGAGTAGTACTTATAGGGGTACTTGTAATATTTACGTAGGAGGCTAGGAGGTTGGAGTTAATTAAAAAAAAGAGTATACTTACGCCGAAAGTAACGTGAGCAGGGAGTTGCAAAATGGCCGACTACAACCGGGACCGCGACCGTGGGGATTATTATGGTGGCTCCACCACCAATGGTTCCGGGTACAATAACGATGTTCGCTCCAAGAACGATGACCCTCCAAACTCCAGACTCTTCGTCATCTGTCACAAGAGCTTCGAGGAGGAAAACCTGCGCAAGGCTTTTGAAAAATTTGGCAAAATTGAGGACATCTGGGTTGTCAAGGATCGTAGCACGGGTGAAAATAAAGGCATGTATATACCTTCATCGACAACCTTTTATTCATTTGCCTCATACTTTGTCGATACAACATACAAATACTTACGAGTTGTTACTGTTTCTATCTGTTTCAGGAGTCACCTACATCAAGTTCTCGAAGACTTCTGAAGCGGCTTTTGCTCTTGAGGAGATGAATGGCAAGTCACTTGGGAACATTGGCAGGCCGATAAAAGTCATGATTGCCTCCAAGTGAGTTATTTCATGTTACTTTAATTACCTATGAGTTTATTATTTTAATTCAGAAAAATTTCAATCATGTATATATATATATATTGATTTATTNCACACAATTTCGTGTCTTTTGAGCCAAAGTTGACCTGTACTTTTCTTTTTATTTTATTTTTCTTTGGCAAGAAGGCTGATGTATGATTTGTATAAGAAAATCTATTTGTGTGTAAATATTTTTTTCAACAATTCTTCAAGAAAAAAGTTGGAGCTATTGAATGTACTAATAAAATTTTTTTAACTAGTTTTATGGAAATTCTATACCTTTTCTGATCAAAATTATTAGTTGGATTCAGGTTATAATGATATTGGTCTGAATACCAACTCCAAACGTATATAAGCATTACTTATGTCCAAACATTGGCACCAACCCAGTAAAATTTGTGGTTTCAAAATCGAGAAAATAATATTTTAGTTTGGTATTTTTAACCCAGCCAGCTCTACAACGTTACATTAAAAATTCTGGGTTATTTAGTTTTTAAATATATTTTGAAAGATTTAAAGTTCAAAACTAGTTCAACCATCAAAAAAATATTATACAAGCAAAATACCATTCATACGAAATGTTTATGATTTTTTTTTTTTTTTTACCTTCCTAGTCGAGATCAAGGATCTGTAAGAGAAACTAATGAAGAGGAACGTTGGGTCAGATTATTCTGTGTCTTGCCAAAATCTATGACAGATTCAGACTTACAGGATGAATTTTCAAGGTATGGTCAGATTGAATATGCTACTGTTGTCAAGGATAGGTCAACAAACGAGTCCAAAGGCTTTGGCTATGTTAAATTCAGAAAGGTATCCAGTGCAGCAAGAGCTTTTGAAGAATGTGACCGGAAATTCAAAGCTGTTTTTGCTGAACCCAAAAAACCCAAAATACCTGATCACTCACAATCAGAACCGAAATTTGGTAATGGAGTGTCCATCAATTATGATAACCCAAACAATTCAAACTATTCCAACAGTTACAATAAAAATAGCATAGGATTGGAGATAGGAAGTAACTATCCCAATCCGGAAGGTTACACAAAACTCCAAGTCATTGCACATCCAGCATTAAATCAAGATCAACTTTGGAAATTGTTTGATGTTGTACCTGGCATGGATTATTGTCATCTCAAGGCAGATGCAAGGTACCGAATGCCACGGGGTCAAGCTACCGTTGTTTATACAAATCCAAGTGCAGCTGCTTATGCCAGAGAGAAGTTGCATGGCTTTGAATACCCTCTTGGTCACAGACTAATTGTTAAGCCAGATTTATCAGGAGCACCACAACCATCAAAGCCCATATTAAAGCAAGGCATTTCCAATAACAACATAACTTCAGGAGGTGTCACTGCATCTAGAACAGACTTGGCACACCTTGCAGAAACTATTGCTCAAGCCACATCTCTGATACAAGCTGCTGGCTTAACAGCTCCATGTACGAATTACAATAACGGTCTCTCATTTATTTTTGACGTTTTTCTCTCTTTTAATAAAATCTATTCATTTATAGCTCTAGATCACTGTCCTAATAAGTTACCTCCCGTACAACCCATGGCCGATATAGATGCAGACGTTGCTAAGCGATGTTTCATTGTGTGTGGACCTCCAGTTCCTCCGATTTATGCCATGAGAGATGCATTTTCCAGATTTGGAAATTTAATTGACGTGTACATGCTTCCTGGAAAAAATTGTGGCTATGCCAAATTCGCTTCTGTTGATAGCGCCAATCGTGCTATTGAGGTATAATCATTTTTGAAAAATAATTTCAACATTTAGAAAGAAAAGTATGTAAATGATGCAAATTTCTTAGGTTCTTCATGGCCAAGAGATTTGTGGTTCTCGTCTGAAAGTCTTGGAGGCGGAAGAGCGAAATGCGGGTGATGATAGAAGGAAACGTTTGAGGATGGACGAGGATGAACGTTAATAATGAAAAAAAACTTGTAAGTATAATTAACCACGATGCCCAATTGAATGAATGAAGCTCAACATGTGATGGCCACCTTTTTTACTCAATTGTTATAATATTATTTTATACATTACAAAGTTTCGTTATAGTTAACATTATCTTGACTTCATGGGAGAAATAAAATATTTATATTTATCTTCGCAGACCGACTGGTAATACACAATGCAGGACGCCACGCCACGAATTGAGACAATTTATAAAGACACACTTGACCACATCGAGCCTGCAACAGAAGAAAACTACCACGACCATTCTTACTTTTAACTGTCGCTTACTTTCGTCATATTTTAACGTTTAACTGAAGTACTTGATTTTTTTTTTTTTCATTGATTATCACAACACTTGACACCGGACATCACGGTAAACATTGATTTCAACATGTCTGTACTCTTTAATGCAACATACATTTCTGCACAATCATTGCGATTGGGCAAAAGAAAAAGTAGAAATCAGAACAAAAAAATTATAAGTTTTTAAACACCAATCGAGTAATTCTGGCAAAGTTATCGTATTTGCAATTATACAAACTATAAATCTCATCAATTACAGAAGCGCGAATCTTACCATTCTTGAAAAAGTATTTTGATAATTTTATAGAATCTGTAATTGTGTATGGTACATCAGTATGTGTACTTTTATAAATATACACATTAATCGTATATAATATATTCTATATAGCTACATTTGACAAATATTGTAGAGTTAGTCCTAGTTGTACTGTTAACTTCAAACCTTATATTTTTTATGATTCTTTCTAGCTATAGTTATTGTAGATTAGTGAATAATTGGCTGATAAATCTGAATGTCTTAATTACTAGACAGCTAAGTCTTCAAGCCTATTTTTAGTAATTAATTTTGGTAATTCGACGTAAGGTGGTATTGTACGTTATCAATATCAAAAGTGTGTTTTTTTTTTACTTGCTTAGTTTGTAGGAAAACTTTTGTTCAAAATAAATTGACTCAGAAATATCGGTGTTTTTACGTGTTATAGTCTACTAGGTATTCTCAACAAGCGCTTCTAAAAAAAACTTCGAAACATTAAAATACCTTTTAAATTAGCGAGTCAAGCGATTCTGGTAAATGAAATGATTGCTGATTCGCGTCGTCCACGGTTACCTAGCATCTTTAAAGGTCCAATAATGGTCGATAAACAATCAATGTGATCAATGCCATCTCTGTATACTTTTTTATTTGTATAGTTTGTTTACGTTTCGAATAATAAATTTAGAAAAAACGCATAAATAAACATACGAGTATGCATGTGAATTTTTCTTCTGTTCTCAAAAACGAGTACGATACATGCAAATTATTAGAAATTCGATGCAAATCTAAGAAACTGAAAATCTACATACAAAATGCTTTTGCATTTATAATTGTATATTTATTTGAAAGAGGAAACAAGTAGGAGTAAGAGAGAAAGAGGAAAAACAGTAAAAAAAAAAAAAACGCGAGCGCCATATAATTTTTCATACCCATCAAGACAGTAAGTAGAATAATAAAAGAATTTATTCTAAGCGACTGTAATGAGGGCTGTACACTTGCCCATTGATGACTGTAACAGTGACATTGGTGTCACCAAAATAATATACGCAACAGATACGGAATCAAATACAAACTATATACAAGCATATTCACTCAAGGGTTTATTTTTTTTACATCACTTATTTATATATATCATACGAAGACGAGACTCCCATGATCCATACACATCCAGACTCCGTTCTCTTTAACATTGAATTTTTTTCATTTTCAGGAACAATGCATGGATATTTTGCCAATCGAATGTACCTGACAACTGTGATATTACATTAATATAGATATTATTATGTCTAACGCCATTTTGAAGGCCGTAAGAAATGGCTTTCCATTTTGTGAAACGTTCAATACAATTTTGTATTTTTTATACCTACAAAAAAAAAAATAACATTACTTATATTGTCCTAGCAACTAATTTCATAATATTTGAAATTTTCAATTTCANATTTTAAATATCTTAATGGAACGTGAATTTCTTCAATTGTTTATCGAGCTCCGAGGTTGCGTAAATGGCAGCTTTCAATGAACCGAAGCCAGAGTATTTCCTCGGTTCCTCGATAATTTTCGTACCCGATATTCATAGGAATTTTAATAGTAATAAAAATAATAATAATAATAATAATAATAATAATACCTAATGGACGGTTACTGTTGGTGGTGCGTAAAAAAAGTAGATACATACATTGACTGAGAAAGCGACAATGGAGCCCGCAAGTACCGAGGAGTCCAGGGAAAATGCCAAGATCTCGGATTCCGGCTACTCCAATTCGTGCAGTAACAGCCAGTCCCATGCGAGGTCGGTATTTTTTTAAAATTATTATTATCTGTGCATGTTGTATCAAGCGCGCAACTCATCGCGAAAGGGGCTGATTACACACGTTATATTGTGCACGAATGTATTAAACGTACGAAGAAAAGAACAGAGTAATATACGGATGCTTGCAATTTACGACGCATTAATTTTTTTTTTTTTTATGACACTTGATGTATTAATTAAAACTATTTTGATTTTCACCCCATTTCAGTTTTTTATCGATTGTTTTTTACTCTTCGACCGATTTCAGATATTGTTATTGCAGGGAATTTCGAAACATCTTCAAAGCAATAAATTTTATGCCGTTATTTTTTAATAAAATATCTTCGTTTTCGAACGTTTTTCGTACGTTTTCTTACAAAGAATTTTGTTTCTAACATTTTTCGAAAATTAAGATATTTTCCAAGATCCCCACGATCTGACACCATTTGAAAGGAAAAAAAAAAAATAATTGAAAATTGATCAGTTTCAGTTCACTTACTTATTCAGTTGTTATTTACAGTTGAAAATATTTACACCTGTAACATGGAATATTTTAGGCATTATATCCGATTTGTTTAGCTTATTAATTGTTGTAAAACTAGTTACAAAAACACATTAATCTTTTGTATCACATGGTTTAAATTTATACCCCTTATTAGTTTTATTTTCGATCAAAAAGTTGATTATTTTATTTCATAATATTTGAAATTTTCAATTTCATGAATTTTATTTGTTTTTTCAAATAAATTTTTACAACCGCCATTGATAATATAAAGTCTAATTTTGTCCATTATTTAAATCGCAATCATCAAGAGTAAGTACTAGTCGAATTTTATTTTTACTTTTTGTGCAACAGAGGTACAGTAGGTGAACCTTTTCCGAAAGCTCGACGCCGATTGCTGGATCACACCTTGGATCGATCCAACAGGTTTCACGCAAATGTGTATCGCGCTATATTGTAACGATGTGAAAAAATTCCTACATTTATTAAAACCACGAAAATGTACCCCGTTTTTTATTTTCCAAAATCGATACAAAAATACAAATCGTCGAGTAAACATAGGTACTCGAATCCAAATTTCATGATTGGCATTGTTACTCGCGCGACGGTGTCGGTCAAAGAAACCATCCGAAACACCGATTCCGGTTTCGTGGGCCGTTGTCGGCGATCGCACACAACGGATCTATAGATCACTGGCAAAATGAAATACAACGTTTATCCAATGTATTAAAAAGAAGGAAAAAAACAACATTTGCAACGTCAATGGTCCGTCTGGGTGGGAGAAACCGATCCTCGAGCTGATCAAAGGGAGTGATGTATAAATAATACACACACCGACTTATCGAAAGTCGTAAACAATAAAAAAAAATATCTAAAAAGAAAGAATAGGGCACACTTAGATGTGGATAAAATAGAAAGAGGGAAGCAACAACGGAGAGCCAAGCGAGACGAGGGAAGAGGCGGATCTGCCCGGAGAGGGGATAAACTCACGCGGACTGCCGCGTGATATTCATATCCGCCGAGTCGTTTCCCATAAGGATTCGCGCGCGCTCACAAGTAGATCTTTCCTTCAGTTTGTGTGTGCCGTTTGATGATCAAGGGACGCGCTCGTTCCTCCTACCACCACCCCTTTCGAGCGATATCTGGTCCGCTGGAGGCGCTGCCCGTTGCGTATGTATGTATTTGGAGAAGAAAGGAGCTTGCAAGCTCAGCTTTTGGCATTTAAATATATAACGAGGAAGGACGCCTGCGCGCACCGATACCGCTTCAACCGCTATAGTACAACCACTGTAGGTCGGATTTCGAAGGGTGTCCCGAGCGCCAACCGGCTGGCTCATTCGACTTACAGCCAACGACGCGAGTGCGACGGTATTAATTTCGTTGCAATTAGCTTACCTGAGATTATTTTGCGGCCTTTGGTCGATTGTGCGCGCGAACTTTTATCGCTCGATAAACGTGACACAGTTGCCGTTTGTCCAAAGTGACAAGCTCGAGAAAATACAGATCATATAATATATAAGTATATATCGTGGTGACAAGTGCACTTTCAAACGTTGGATAGTATACGTTCGACGAAAGCTCGTCACCGCCGTGCGGCGAAGATGAAAAGTCATTGGATTGCAACGTCGAACGGTAGCATTGGTCCAAGCCACATCGCCTTGTTTTTGCAGATCACAACGGTGTCCGTTGATTATTAATAACTGATATTATATAGGAGAATCACAGGTAAATGGGTGTACGACGGCTCTAACGGCTCTCTCTCTTATTCCTAATGTGCATACCCGTGCATACCCGTTAATTTCGAATAAACGACAATTGCTAGTTAAACTGTTGATGAAGAAGCTTTATTTACATGTACTTACCGTAAATTTGATTATTACTATTTGATAATTTTTTTTTTTTTTTTTAATTTTAAATATCTTAATGGAACGTGAATTTCTTCAATTGTTTATCGAGCTCCGAGGTTGCGTAAATGGCAGCTTTCAATGAACCGAAGCCAGAGTATTTCCTCGGTTCCTCGATAATTTTCGTACCCGATATTCATAGGAATTTTAATAGTAATAAAAATAATAATAATAATAATAATAATAATAATACCTAATGGACGGTTACTGTTGGTGGTGCGTAAAAAAAGTAGATACATACATTGACTGAGAAAGCGACAATGGAGCCCGCAAGTACCGAGGAGTCCAGGGAAAATGCCAAGATCTCGGATTCCGGCTACTCCAATTCGTGCAGTAACAGCCAGTCCCATGCGAGGTCGGTATTTTTTTAAAATTATTATTATCTGTGCATGTTGTATCAAGCGCGCAACTCATCGCGAAAGGGGCTGATTACACACGTTATATTGTGCACGAATGTATTAAACGTACGAAGAAAAGAACAGAGTAATATACGGATGCTTGCAATTTACGACGCATTAATTTTTTTTTTTTTTATGACACTTGATGTATTAATTAAAACTATTTTGATTTTCACCCCATTTCAGTTTTTTATCGATTGTTTTTTACTCTTCGACCGATTTCAGATATTGTTATTGCAGGGAATTTCGAAACATCTTCAAAGCAATAAATTTTATGCCGTTATTTTTTAATAAAATATCTTCGTTTTCGAACGTTTTTCGTACGTTTTCTTACAAAGAATTTTGTTTCTAACATTTTTCGAAAATTAAGATATTTTCCAAGATCCCCACGATCTGACACCATTTGAAAGGAAAAAAAAAAAATAATTGAAAATTGATCAGTTTCAGTTCACTTACTTATTCAGTTGTTATTTACAGTTGAAAATATTTACACCTGTAACATGGAATATTTTAGGCATTATATCCGATTTGTTTAGCTTATTAATTGTTGTAAAACTAGTTACAAAAACACATTAATCTTTTGTATCACATGGTTTAAATTTATACCCCTTATTAGTTTTATTTTCGATCAAAAAGTTGATTATTTTATTTATTTATTTATTTTTTTTCAAATACAAGCATGAATTCGGACAAAAGGTTTTAATGAACGTTGTTGCTCAGAGGATTGCTTTAATAATGAATTAGACACTAAATTATTTATAAGCGAAGTAGTTTTTTTTTTCAAACAGATTTTATGCTGTTTTTGCAGTCAGTGTACATAATTATACAATCGAGTAAGTTTACGCGTAATGTGATTTCCTTCAGCTGTACGCTTAATTGGCGAAAATGACCAAAGGGGTATCGAATCTACGAAACATACAGATATGCTGCCGCCATTGTTACTGTTTAGAGCCTCTGCGTGAAAGCACACAATAAATTATAGTAATACTATGTGATGATGATACAATATCATTTAATAACTGTACAATCAATGCTCCGAAAAACCTTGGACTTGAGAAGAAAAAACGTGATTTTTCAAGTACATTTTAATCAAGTTATATATATAAAAAAAAAAAATTTACTTCATACCTATTATCACGTTTGTACCGTAGGAAACTAATGAAAGCCAATAAGGTTATACAAGTACTCATCGATGTATTTTAACTCTGCTCTTGTGTAACTTCTATGCCATGAAGAACAAACAAATATAGGTATATCAAAGCACACACGTTTAAAATAGAATTTTCATCTTATACAACCAGTATAGGCACACATGAACCGTTACATATTTAATTTAAATATATTTGAGCTACAAATGAAGCTGCAAACACATTAAAGTGACAAAGATATTCATATTCTAGTTGAGTTCAACTTACAGTAACCACCAACTTGTCAAGTTTCTCTAATTCTCTATAAAAGGAATAAAAATTGTTAAACTAAATTTAAAAATGTGTGTCACTAAAAACTTTTCCAATTACTTTTTAAACGCTATAGGTACTCACCATTAGGGTTTGCCGTGTGTTCCAGTAGCGCTCTCCGACAACTTACCGACAACTTAAACATGACGCAAGATATCGTAAGACATAATTAAGTTGTCGGTAAGTTGTCGGAGAGCGCTACTGAAACACACCCTTGAATGATTGACTCCCAAAAAGATGAAAATTTCGAACAAATTCCGCGTGTCGATTGTTAAGGCTATTTATAACGCAAGCCTCATATTCATAGCGCCGTACAATACGGTTAAATTCAGCTTTACTCGATTGTATGGACGTTTGCTCATGTAAAATAAAGGAAACGTGAAAATTGATAACAAGCGCGTATTGATCGTGTTGGGTGGGGGGCACGAGGCGTTACGATTGTGTGGATTTTCATTATATAAACCGAAGCGAGGGTTTGCAAAGACAATTGTACGTACAGGCTTTTGTAGGTGTACGTGTACGTTTGTATTCCAAGTGTATTTCAGTCCCTTTACAACAACCAAAGCTTGCCATGCACGCGACATTCATTTGATTCGTTTAATAATACTATCCGTTTATTCGCGACTCGTTACAATTTATGTGTACTTAACTGCCGTTGATGAGCATCTAATTTTATACGTAAATTGGATATAAATGAAACATTGTGCTCCATTAGTATCTCAATATGCGGATTTAGAAATGAAAAATTGCACGCAACAAAATTGATGCCCAATAAAATAATGCCTATACAAGGAGATATTTTTCTGCAAAAAATTTTTTCCTACATTTTTCTATGTACGCTAAAAATAGTGAAAACAACTTTTCCGTACTGCAAGAGTTTTTGGTTTGATTAATCCCTAACTCAGGTTTTTTTGTTTATGAATATAATTGATCTAGTTGTCTTGAGAACACTTGAGGTGGCTCATACGAATCGTTTGAAAAATTATAAAGATTAATTACGAAACTATTAACATGTCGATATTTTCTTAATTAGTAAAAAAAAAAAAAAAAAAAAAAAAGTAACAGTCGGAGCGAGTGCTCATCTACATGTACTTGTACTAACAATAATTAATACTAGTAGAAGGGATAGCAATAACTGTCAAATGTATCATTATATAATGATGTGCCAAAGTAACAATCTCGGAAAATAGATGTCAAATAACCATTCCTAAAGTAATAATGATAACAGGAAACTACAAAAGATTTAAAATATTTGTTTTTTTTTTTTTTACGAGATGCATATATTGCGACACTTGGGAGCTATCTGCAAATTTTCTTTGAATAAGTAGATAAATTTACAATAAACCAAAATTTCTTACGACATACTCCTTTTTTACATAAAATACATATTAGTTTACCATGACCGTCCGAAATTAATCGAAAAGTATTCAAACGGCAACACATTATCCAACGCATTAAACATAACTACCACCCGGTCAATCAACTATATCTATAAGACGAAATAAATATAATAAATTTAAACAAAATATTAGACTTGCTAGTATGATATGGGCTGTGTGATAGTAAGACACGCACGCACAATCATGAATTGGCCTGAGCTATACGTTAATCAAACTTTGGCCTTTTTTTATTTTTTTTATTTTTTTATTTTTTTATTTTTATTAATTTGAACATGTTAATGCTGAAAAAAGCTTATTGACTCATTATATCACGCTTCTCGTGCAAGTATACCTATAAACAGGTACATTCTGCCTATTTGTATAAATTGAGAATATGCAACATGGTTGTATCATTACCTACTTTTAGGATAATTTGCGTTGTTATGGATGTTATGCATTATATATATATATAAATATTTGTGCGTCGAGGCGAGTAAGTTGGCTGGCGTGACATGTTTTTCGGTGACGAGACTCGGCTGGATTGTCTCCATAACCGAAATGTCTATTAGCGTCCTTTTTCGGTTAAACGCCACTGTCAAAGTATATTTTGGCTGTGCATCGAGCCGTCTAAGGGGATGCGTAAGACGGGCGGCTGTGCCGGTTCTATAAATAGGCGAGCAAAACGATTTCACAATGCGGCACAATTAACAATCCAGAAAGGGGACACATTGCGTATACATTTTTAATGGGAAACGCATGATACATCGCCCTTCCGTTTTCGGATCCTCAATTTGCAAAATAAGATTCATGTAACACAAGCCGCATCACCAACAACAATCATATCGATTACGATCGCACGAATCGATAATTACAATGTAGGTATTTCTGGTTGTGCTCTTCCGTATGATTTTCTGCGCTTGGCAATGTTTTACATAAGAATTTATTTAAATGCGGGTGTCATGATCACATCGATGTTGTATATTAATTAACGATTAGTTTAGCGCACGCACTAGTGCATCATAAAAATATAAATGTTGCGTTGTGTATTTGTTGTTTTAGTGGGAGTTCTGTGTCGAGAAACAGTAAGAGGTCGGCCAGCAGTGGATATAATGAAGGAAATCCGTCGACCATCGGATCCTCGTGAGTACTTTCACGTTGTCTGCATATTTTTAATACGAGCACATGTTTCAACACATAATTGTTATTATTATTATTTTTTTTTTTTGGTCCCAGTTTTTATACAACCATTTTATTCACAAAATCATTTGTTTGAATGTTGCGCTGTTGTTAGATTTGCCACGGAGCGTTGTTTTTCAGAAATTCTAGAAAACAATACGGAAAAGTGTTCATTGCAAAAATAATAAAAAAAAAAAAAAAAAAAAAAACAATACGCGGTATACCGTTATATACTCGCGATTAATTATTCCAAATGACCAGAAAAGCCTGTAACTGCAGTTATTATATACACCAAAGAGCTAAAAATAAATCCGTAGGGCGTTTTAGCCTTCCAACTCACCGATCCGATTGCAGTGGGCGTAACGCAAAATTAGATGCCATCCAAAATTAACGTATCGAATGATAATAATGGGTCTATTTGGGTATAATATGGAAACAATAACACGAGAGAGTTGGATATCCTTTGATTTACCACCATGGAGTTTATTGTGTGTGTGTGTGTGTGTACCAAAGTATATAATTGACTGAGCGTGGATGAGCAACTGTTGTCATGACTATTTTTTAGTTCGGTGTATTCATGTCCGAAAATAATTGAAAACTTTGCCATGTGATGATACAATTTGGATTTTGGGCCCGCGTCAAGCGTCCCAAAAACGATTTGACGGGCCTTGTATGATTCCTTTTTTTTTTTTTTTTTTCGTCCCGTGTAATTTTTGCAAACGTAAACTATACCTACTTAGTATCAATTTGTTGACTGGGATAAACATGCATTATACGAGCTTTGCGCGCCAATAGTGTCGGGCCTCACGTGGCCGTCCACGAGTTTGCAGCTATATATCCAGCAATGCCGATGCTATTTATAAAACTAAGCTGCCGAAGAGCACAGAATGATAGGCATATCGAAGCCAGAGGGACATATGAAGCAACAAAATGCACGCATTACCATACTCGCACTTACTCTCATACTTTGCCTTCTCACTTGTGGTACATGAAATATAAAACGCCTCCATAATGGCAAGCGCCAAACTATACTTGCTTCAATGTGTTTATGTACGTTACGGTAGTGTTCGATTTACCTGTTTTCCAAGAAAACGTTTTATCCGCTAGTACCATTTCCACGAGAAATGCTTGTACACGAAAAATGCTTCCTTGTCCCATTGTCACTTGTTGGTAACTCAAACGTGACATAAGGTTTTTCCAAGTTATCGGTATACGTGACGAGATCGATTATCTGAATCCAGCAAAATTCTCGTTGCACAAGCCATTGTCGAGTCGTTTACTCAATGTCGAGGGCTAATTGAATTTATAATTAGTTTTGCCAAAGCGCGCTGTTACGACTTTTATTTGCAAAATCACGTGCCATTCGGTGGACGGACGTGTGGTTTATCTAGTTGTTCCCAATTTACGATCGATTTCGCGTGAACTTCGATCGATTGGTTTGTTTTGCGGCTGTATCATCCAAATTTTATAATATATTAAACAATACGGGCACTTTTTTAAAAAATAATTCAAAGTTTTTTTACCTTGAAGTGCTGGCAATCAACGATTATGACAGATATTCAATGTACGCGAGCGTTTAATTTTCAAACACTTGGATTTAAAGGTAATACATAAACTAGTAAGAACTGCTCGTATAGTAATATTCAGTAAAAAGGCCACATTAACGATTATTATGTTCCCAACACACCTATACTTATATGGTACACGTAAAGTTTAGACAAGTAACTTTATTATATGTATACATATACCTACTAACAAATATAAACTCGAAGCACTGAGTAGAAATATATACTAGAGATATGAGTAAGACACGCACGCACAATCATGAATTGGCCTGAGCTATACGTTAATCAAACTTTGGCCTTTTTTTATTTTTTTTATTTTTTTATTTTTTTATTTTTATTGTTTTGNCTTTCAGCTCGGAGACATTGCCGAAGCCGATCACAAAGCGCAAGGATAAGAGCTACAAAAAGAAAAAATCAAAGAACGAGTCGTGCGTGACGCTGGTACCCGCAGTAGAGACCGCCACGACCAACAACACCAGCATCGGCAATGTAAAACCGGTACAGGTCGCATCGATAAATAACGCCTCGGTTGGTCCGGGGCCCGAGTCGAGCTCGCCCCAAACCGCTATCGAGCCCAACTTTTCCTGCAAGTCCTCGCTCGTTCTCCACGACCGGAAAACTACAGGTTGGTAAATTTGTGCTGTAGTTCAGAGAGTTCATACGGATAACTTATTGAGTGTTGTTACATGAGCAGTTCCTCGAAAAATATCTACCGAGAGACTCACGGAACTTGTGACGAAAAAAAAAAATTAAATAAATAAATAAATGTACTTACTCGAGACACACTTTTGAAAAAAGGATATTACCTTTTGTAATGGATACTCTTTTTTCTTGGTCTTCCGCTGATTTTCGATCCAAGTTTGAGTTCGTGTTTTGAAATTTTGTGATCGGATGATTTTTAATTTTTTAATTTTTTGGATTGTAACAAGAAAAAAAAAGTGTTCTTCGTACTTTATTTTGAAATTTTTTAACTCGTTAGGTCAAACATTTGCAATAGTGGTTTTCGTACCTGGTGGCGCATGTCGCCAGGGCAAGCACCATGCCCGAGGGACTCCTTGTGCTTGCCCTGGTTGGACGACATCAGGTGCGAACCCTATTTTTCCTACCGAGGGCACACCCAACCCTCAAAGTATAGCCCAACGTAAGAAAAAAATATTTTTAATAAAGTTTAAGGCTTACGAAGAATAATTTGATCTACATTTTTGCTCCAAGTATAAATAAAATTATCAACACTGGCGCGAAATGCGATGAAATGTTTTTTTTTTTTTTTTTTTTAAGTATGCCTTACTAAAACATTTTTCATTCTTGGGGCTCCTTTTCTTATTTATTTTGTTTTTAACCAGACGCGGTGCTAGCCTACTCTTTTTAAAGGTTTACTAGGATACCTTAGGAACCAACTACATATTTTCCATTTTATCGTAATCATATCGGCACACTCTTCATGTTTTGCTTGCATTTGAAATCACACAAGATCGGTCAAACAAAGTAAGCGACAAATAATACGAGAAAAAAAAAATAATGGTCAAAGCCTTGATCGAAACAAAAAAAGAAAAAAGATGGATTAAAGACCTCAAAAATCTACAATAGAGAATTGCTTACGATATCGGTACAATATCGCGTAATGTTATATGATTTTGATAAAAAAAAAAAAAAAAAAAAAAAACAAAGATGATGAAACTGTAACCAATGAATGTGTCCCGAAGGGCTTTACATAAGTATTTATAGGCGCAGAAGGTAACCAATATACATAAAAGCTAAAAAAAAAAAAAATAAAAAGAACGAGAGAGTGTACGAGAAAACGAGTTTATATAATTTTTCATCGGGTTCGAGTACACACGCAACGCACTCATCTTTACATAAATAAACTCGCGCAAAATGCGTATACGTAACACTACATATAAAGAGATCAATTAACGAAACAAACGAAATGAATGGATTTCCATGCAGATATGAGCGTAACTAGAAATTATTGTTATTATCATCGTACTAGGCTTGATGGACATTCGTATTGGTTACTACGATTGTGCCTCGTTTGTTTATTAAGGAATAAATATATATTATACGCTTGTAGTCTCAACATCAGCCATTACGATAATTTGACCATTTTTTCGTTAGCTTTGTTTATTTTTGTCTGAAAAATTGCCGTTTTCATTTATTGCCTAAAGCCTATACGTGCCCATACGTATTCCTACCCACGTAGACATAGTAAAATACAGTAAAACGTATTTATGCGGGAACGTCTATTAATTACGTGACCTTATAAAAAACGAGTGGAACATCTAATCCTAAGGTGTGGATTTATACAAATTTTGATTTTTTGTATTGTCAACTGTAGAATATTTTACTTAAAAATTCGAGCTTCGTATATACGAGAAAGAGAAAAATTACCTATAGTAATTAATGGACGTTTCCCGACCCGATGGTTGGGTGTGAGCACATGTGTTTAACGAGATAAATATTTGCAGAAAAGTAACAAAGGAGATAAAAAGAAGTATGTTGGGATCGAGAAAAATATAAGTTTGTGCACAGAGAAAGACTCGACAGTTGTAGGCTTACTAAGACGATTTTATAGTAAAAAAAAAAAAAATCCATGCTTAGTGAAATAAAAATTTTTGTTGGTGAACACCCAAGAAGAAGTAGCCGTTATAGAGTTGGTCGACGCGACAGATCCAGGAGTGCACAACGACAACAACAGCTTGACCTGCGCTGCCAAAGCAGCGGAGTTCGACTCCTCGAAAGCTAACGCGATCGACGGGATCACAGCCTTTTCACAGCCGTGCAGCGTTAGTATTATTACCCGTGCCAAACGGCGCAATAAACCGTTCAATTACGAGACAATTACATGTGGAAAGAAAAAAAGAAATGTATTTTCACATTTTGTTTTTCATACGTACATAAGTATATTGCCTTTTTTTTTAATCTACGATTGAGCATATTTTATAATAAACACAATAAATGGGAGGGATTTAAAAAGTAAATGTCACAGCAAGTTTCTCCACCACTTTGTATTTACAGTTTTTTTTTTTTTTTTTTTTTATCATCATTTATTTTTGTACTCGAAAACGTGATTCAGTTAGTAAGGTGATTGGCTATAGCGAGTACACGAATTGTGTAAGAATTACTCTTAAAAAGATTTGCAAAAATTTGGAGAAGTGTGGGCCTTGTCGGAAAGTCTCAGAGATACAACGACATGCGGGAAATTTGAAAGGTGTGGACGATAACCCATTGACCTCATTACTTTTCAGATGTATACTCATGTATAAACAAATAAACAATGGCATTTATTTATTCACATTCGCACAATGTACATACACCCGTTGATTGCAAATACGACATAATCTCAAGCTATTTTACTTTTTCAGCACGTACAAGGGTGTTTTACCTACGAATTCTAATATAAAGTCTGTAATATTTGTAATTTGTTTCACGTTTTATTATTTTATTTCCTTATTCTTCTTTTTTCGTCATGAAAAAAAAAAAAAAAAAAAGTTGAGTGCAAATGGGAAAAACAATGCATGAAGACACATGCGTACGCCAATATTGTATGTGCGACGTAATCGGGATTTACAAATAGTGTACAGATCAGATTTATATTTTATAATAACATAACACTACTTTTGATGTGAGTCGTTGAGATTTTTGAAATATGCCACACTTTGTTGGAATAAAGTGCTTCTTGTAAAGCAATTAATTTATTGAGGAGAAACACCACATTGGGGACCAAAAGCTGCAAATTTTTTAGAAAATCAAGCTTGGTTCAGCCAAGCTCTATGGCAGATTTTTTTAAATTTCAATCCATCACGTTACAAGAGTAAGTTTATTGGGTTACTTGAGAAATTTTAAGTCGTACACAAAACGATGTGATAAAATCAATTCATTGAGAAATTATCTAATGAATGTCAAAATCAAATCAATTGCAGCAATTCATTTTTTGAAACCTCGGTACAGCATACGTACTTACGTCGAAAATACGTACCTGAAATGTGGCCTGAATGTATTTTTTCGAGAACTTTTCTAACTTGCTCTGTAAAAATGTTGTGTCTTGAAAATTGAGAGAAATAAACTGTGAGAACTCAATGTTTTAGTGAGTATCGTTTTTGTCCACCCGTTGAAAAACTTACAATTTTTATTGTTCACAAAAATGTTAAACTCGTACGGGATGAATAACAAAAATTTTCCGCTCTCCTTTGTCACCGAATTTCAGAACCTGTGAGTGACAAGTCACTCACATTCTTTATGAATAAGTGAGCCCTTAACTCCGTGTTGTGTCCGACGGACAACAACAATCGATGCAAAACCGACGTTGATAAAAAATTGGTGCAATCTTTGTTACACAGAGTAATAAATTCGTCGTTGTATATTATTTTTATTTTGTTTTGATGATTTTCAAATCAATAGAATCATTGAAGTTTACTAAAAACTATTGTGGCAAAAATTAATTTAATCTCAAAAGAATAAAGACAGTATATTTATATAAGTATAAAGAAAAAAAAGAGTGACCGCTTGTAAAGATTCGACCAAAACAACGCCAAAAAGGCTAATAAAAAAAATAAATAAATAAAAAAAATTGTTTATTTTTTACGTAGGAGGAATACTATGCGGTGATATCGATGCTCGATGGTTTAGTGTTGTACGCGACGTCGTCGTTACACGCGTCCCTTGGATATCCAAAAGACTCGTGGACCGGCAAGTTATTTACAGACTTTTTGGATGCCAAAGACAAGGATATCGTAGCCAATAAAATAGCCAACGAAATAGCTGTTTCTCGAGATTACCGATCAACAGGTAATCATGTAGGAACAATTACTTGAAAATTTCTTAATATCATACATTGCGTAGTTCCTTTGTGTTTTACTGTTTTTTTTTTTTTTTTTTAATAACTAAGTACTTTTCCATTATTTATTTATTTATTTATTTATTTTTTCATGAAAACTTTATAGACGTAGGATGTCGGAAGGAAATTACTTTCTGTCGTTTACGCAAGTACAGTGCGAGCCTAGTGTGCGACACACCGAGCCAACAACAGCAGAGCCCTGACGAGTGTATGCCGTACAGGATAAATTTCCTTTTCCAGAATTTTCAAGGCGACAAATCATCCAGTTTTCAGAACCAAGTTATGCTGCTCGCTTTTTTCAAACCCATTCATTCGGCCTACAAAGGTATGATTACTCTCTTTTTTCCATTTTGTTGTACATACAAATGTATTTTTTATTTATTTTTTTTTAATTTTTCAATTTAAAAAATCTTTTAAAAATCGGTTGGTACGTAAAATTCAGAGTTTGCTTGAACAATCTATCGTGGACTTTGATTCCCTTAAAGTTACCACATGGAGATTTTCTAAGGCCGAGACATTATTTTTTTAAATGACAGTTGACAATGAGAATTAAACCTGTGTTTATTTGTGTTGTGTGAATCGGAGCTGTCCGATCGACGAGTTCCTTTTCTCGAGCTTTTAACTACGATGATTTTTTTTTGTATTGTCTTTCGTATCACCAAGATTTATTTCAACACTTGAATAAAATACAACCGGCTTTATACGAGTGTTTTTAAGAGAATCAAATTGTACCATATTGACGTTACAAAAATGAAAATTCTAATTCATGATTAGACAGTTTGCAGTAAAGTAAGCATTACCTTCCGTGCTTAATGAGGATTACAAAAGTTTAATCTTCAAATTAATGCAACCAGACTCAGATAACTTTTGGGACAGGTAAGTATTAATATTCCCAATTCGTATTTCTTGGCGCTTTAGTCGAGATCGAGTTTCGTTTCAAATACTTATAAGTATGATTATGTATAAAGTATCGCGTGTGATGTTTAAACTTCAATCTGTCTGAAATGTGGGAAATTTCATCAAGTTTTTAGTTATTGATGAAGAAACAAATGGATTTTACCTTTGTCTCGTTATTTCTAATAATATTTCTTTTTTATGTAGCCATATGTCTCGTATCTGTCTTGTACAACAATTATTATTTGTGTCAAGTTTTAATAAAACTGTATGATTTTACTCAAATTGGCTTTCAAATAAGCTAGTAAGAACTACCACGTTATGTTTTTTATATTTTATAGAACTCAAAGTTGTTGTAAAAGCACACGTCGAAAAATATTATAAAATTAAAAAATTTCGTTTGTCCTTTAGTATTTTTTCTTGACAAATATTAACTTTTTTTTTTTTTTATGTTCATTTTAATTTTTAATAGTGCAGTTTACCAAGAATAATATTCGAAAAACGAGTAATACTCACCCGATTCTTATAAAAACTTGAGAAAATGAAGGATACGATCGACAGCGATTTGAAAGCAAAAATAATAATTAGCAATCATAAATATAATGTCATTATCCATAGCTCCAGAAGAAACAATATTATCTACGGTATTTACGACGCGTCACACCGTAAATTGCCGTCTATCATACGTCGATCCCGATGTCGTACAATATTTGGGGTATCTACCGCAAGATATGATCGATCGTTCGCTGTTTGACTTCTACTATCCCGAGGATTTGCCGCTCATCAAAGACATCTACGAGACAGTGAGCATGAGAACTTTTCTGGTCAACTTGCGGCGAATGTGTTCTCTTCCTCAAACTTTTTTTCCAATTCTTTTGTCGCGATTTTTACCATACGTTATGGTTTCTCAGAGTCAAAGTAATCAAAAGAAAACGTATTTCATTATTTAATTTAAAAAAAAACAACATTACGTCACCATGTCTGTGCAAAAAAAAAAAAAGAAAAAAAAGAAAAAAACATGCCCCCGATAATGTATTCAATCTTAATTATATATCCTCATGGTAAAGACAAACAATCAAAAACTTTACGAACGTGATCTACAAAGTGAAATTTATGCAACTCTAGAGACAACATTAGACCTCTGAAATGTTGTATCCCATGCCACGTATGACAGAATGACTGATAACATGTTTTTGATTGTGAAAAAATGACTACACATTGGATTTTTTTCAAATGTTGCGTCGTAGGTGGTCAACCTGGAAAACACCTCGTATCGGTCGAAGCCTTACAGATTCGTAGCGCAAAACGGTGACATTGTCGTCCTGGAAACGAAATGGTCGACTTTCGTCAATCCTTGGAAAAAAAACCTAGAATTTATCGTAGGTCAACACCGAGTTCTCAGAGGACCAGCCGATCCCGATGTCTTCCGATCGCCGGCTGCTCGTGAGAGCCACTCTTTCGCCAATATTAGCGAGGAAGTGCTCAAGGAAGCTAAAATTATCCAGGAAGAAATCATGGCACTTCTCAATCGGGTAATTAACCAATACCCTGATGTAGTTATGTATTACCAGTGTCGTAAAATGACATTGGTGAATCATAATAAGCCCATATCGATGAAAGCAAATCATTTTTTTAGCAAAGGTTGAAGTAAGGAGAACATTACATTGATATTATTGCTCAGTTATATGTTACACGCAATGCTTAATTATTCAAAATTCAGTCTTTTCTGACATAACGTAACAATTACATAATTATATAACATAAAGCAACACATGTACGTTATATTAAGCAAAAAATTATGCAATCGAAAGATTATCACTAGATATTTTTTTAGTAAATTGATTTACTAGTTGCTCAATTAGTTCGAATAAAGATATTTCATTTCCTATAGATAATACTTGGAAATTCATTTAGAAATTGTCTAGAGATATTTAGAGACTCTTGTAAAATTATGTACACGACTTATTATTTCAAACTTTATTAAATTTATCGTTTCGTTTTTATCTGATTGCTAGAAAAAAAAACAGCATCTTAATTTCTGGAAATCATAGTATGAGGTACTGTAATTTTAATTCCGACAACGTCTTGAGATCGCAAATAAATTACAAAATAAAATTTAGATTGTAAATTAGTCCTCCTTGATTCTCTCTTATTTAGTCACATAAAAATATAGTTCATTTAAAAACTACTGTAACCACCTGTGATGTCCAAACTCACGAGTCTCGACAAATCAGATCCTACAACAGAAATTAAACTCGGAAGGTTTATAACATACTAGACGAAATAATTTCTTTTTCCAGGCCATCAGATTATTCAATCCAATTAACAGAATTTCCTTGCTGGCTCTCGCATGATGATGATAATAAATAATAGTTATTATAGATCGAATAATATAACAATAATGATAACAGATCTAAAGATTCTGTTTGTTACTTTGCAGCATAATACGAGACCTTTTATTATTATCATATACGTATGAAGTAATAACCACGTTTATCTTAGCCTAATAGCCAGCAGATTTAAGATTTTCGTAGAGAGAGAGAGAGATAAGCGTATATAGATCTAGCACTTGTCCACCCCTATTCCCGAAGCATTTTTGTGTATGTACAACGGGCATTTTTTCCATTTTCTTCGCCGCTCGTCCGCTCCAGGGCATTGAGAGGAGATCCTCGTGTGCGGTTGCAGATTGCGATTTGCTCGCCAAAAAGAACGAGCTCGCCTCTTTTGTGGAGAATGTCCTACTGGAAATCAAAAGTCTGGCTCCCGGCAAAGACCACATGGCAGTCGACGAGAGGAGCTTTTGGGTGACTATTACATCTTATTATTAAAACATTAATACGTTTACGCATGTATTTTGTACATACCCATTAATTCATGTAGTTATAAATATATCATATTCAATTCAAGAATAACCATCACCATAAGCAAGAAGACTAGAGACTAGATTTTAACTTGTACCAACGTATGAATTTTCAATTTTTAACTTTTTTTTTTTTAATTTTTTTTTTTTAAGTACATCCATGTATATTTCAAATTCCAATTATAATTGCGTAAAATTTTTTGAAGATCCATACAAAGTCGCTCAATCACGCTTGATCTCCTTTCATGCCATTTATTACGTATATTTTTTATATCTTTGTACTTGAATCACCTGATATTTTGAGCCATTGGAAGAATTTATTGACCCATGCACAACATTTGAAATTTACGCGTACATTTTTAAGAGCCATTTATTTTTTTAATTATTTTTCAATTTCAAGGATTCTAAGTTTCTAGGTGCAAGGGCAATAATATATAGTTTAAGTAATGGCCATTAAGGTTTAAGGTAGGTGATTAACGAAGAGTGTTACTAACACCGTGTTTTATCAATGAAATGTGGTATTTTTTAACATTACAACATGTACTTGTTAAATAACTACCCTTATATTACTTGCACATACTATATATTGTACCTACACATATAGATTATTACTGTATTTTTTTTTCTATTTTAAATTAAGTAACACGCAAATTGAAGCTTGAAGAGAAAGAGGTAGTGCTTTAATTTTTATTTTGAAAAATGGTACATGAATTTATCAGTTGAAAAAGGTACTAAGAAACTTAGAAACGGAAACGTATTTGCTTCCATTTATAAGATTTCATTCATTCTATTGTACGTTTAAATACTACATAGGTAAGAAAAATAAACAGTTGGTTCAAAATAAAGAAATAATTGTTATGACTATTTTGATAATTAAAAACAGTATAGTATTATTGCGCCAACTAATTATTCAATTATGTTGAAGCTTCTGTGTTATATTACAGAGGATGTATATATACATGAGTTGGGTCTTACATAAAAAAACGTATTAGACTTTCACCAGTAGTTAAACCTCAGAAACAAATATACTATATACTACCTTTTTTTCTCTCTGGTCGAGATATGCTACTTAATACGCATTTTCATGTGAAAAAGAGACTTCCACTTTTGCATATTGTTAGGAGGAAATAAACAACGTTACAGAAAATAAGGAATGTGATTGGTTGATTGAGTATAATCAGGAAAAAAAAAAAAAAAAAAAATAGCTTCAAAAGTGGTGGTCCGTAAATGTTGACTGTAATGGTGGGGGATATTCTTAAAGGGATCGCATAATCCCGTGTTACAGGAGCACGACAGCGTCATGCTCGGCGAGATATCGCCCCATCACGAGTACCTCGACAGCAAATCCTCAACGGAGACGCCACCAAGCTACAACCAGCTCAATTACCTCGACAACATAAAGCGGTTCTTCAACAGCAACCTCGACATGAGCGTGAACAAGAAGCCGTACGGCAGTGACGAGGAGAACGTCCACTCGAGCGCTAACAGCAGCGACGAACTCCAAGCCTCGACAAAAAACGACGGCAACTCCATGTCCGGTATTTTCTTTATTTAATAACGCGTTGTCAGCAACAACAACAACAACAACAACAACAACAACAATAATAATTCTTCGACTCGCGTGCACCAGCTGGCGAGCCCAAGGGCAGCTCGTCGACGAACGGCAGCGGTAACAGCAGCAGCGAGTTGAACAACCGGCAAAGCTTCGACAGCCGGGGCGAGACGAGCAACGCGACCAGTCGCTCGACCAACCTCGAGTCGGCCCCGGTGCGCAACACGGCCCCTACGGTTGCCGGCCAATTCAAGCTGCCCATTCTCACCGAGTTGCTGCTCAACCGGCACAACGAGGACATGGAGAAGCTCATGATGCAGTTGCACCGCGAGCAAAAAAAAAACGACAAGCGCAGCAAGAGCTCCATCAACGAGCAGAAGGCCAAACAGCAGCAACAACCGCAACCGCAACTGTTGGCCGCCGCTGTTGTGAAGGGTGAGGTAGCGCCCCGCAAAAAGTCCACGAATCAGCTGAAGCGCGTCGCCTGCCAAAACTGGGAGACGCAGAACGGACGTGGTTACAAGCAACCTAGGCACGAGGGACCCTTGCAACCGATCCAACAGCAAGTCGCTGTCGGCAGTAACGACAAAGGCCACGCACCTCGCGCGGATCTTTGGCAGACTATGACAAGCACGGCGATGCCGGTCGCCGCCACCTCCGTCGCCCAACACCGTTACCCGGCCAACAAGTAATCCATGTTCATTTTTTTTTCTTCTTTTTTTTTTTTTTTTTTTTTTTTTTTTGTCTTTTCAATCATACCTGCCTATATACACATCTATTACATTCACAGCACATAACGCTCAATCACCTTTTTAATGTACGTTTAACCAACCACCCTCGCCGCTACTGTTACTTCCTTATTATTTGTTGTTTCGATGTTTATATATACATGTGTGCTGATGAAAAGCAATTAAATCTGAAAGGATATATATATGTATATTCATAATAACGGGCTTACTTTGGTTACTCGTTCCAGCGCGTTTACCCAGGCCATGGATCGATACCCCACGTTCCCGCAAATGGTCCCCGTTTGCTACGTGCCCGCACCAATGCCGTGGGAGAACCCTTTTCTAATTTCTTTGCCGAAGGAGCACCCCGGGCCGCCGAAACCCATAAGCCAGCCTGCCCCCTACTGTGCGTAAAATTTTTACCATTTTATCGCATTTTATACATTATGTGTATATTTATATAATGCATATATATATTATGTGTATGTTGTCATTTTTTCGTACAAATTTATCACACAGTATAATATCATACTTGATGGTGTTTGCGAGTTTTATACGTAAGTGTACGCCACGGGGTAGCCATACTTTTAGGCGTGGGGAGCTAAGAACAATTCAATTTGTGACAAATGTGACGTATACATAACGGACATTCAATCGTACTCGCAAACGCTTTATTTTGTTCCCTATACGTTGGTCGCGATAAATAATGTCATAATTAAGCACCTCATGATTGAAGGTACAATGGGGGATAAGGATGTCCTCGCAGTTTATAAGTATAGTTGTACTAACGAGGTGGGTTTAGGTTTTCTTCCAATGCCATATGTGACGACGCCGTTGCAGAGCGTCATGTACCCACCGATGATGGGAGTTCCCCCAATGTGCAATCCGTTCGTCGCTAACGAAACGACACCCACAGCCGCGTTCTCCGGGACCCTTGTCAATCCGATGGCCCAACAGATCCAACCCACTTCATCGTTACCCACGGCCATGCCGGCCCCGATGCCAACCCCGTTTGACCTCAAGCGGCCCTCCAGTCGCGAGACCAGCGTCAAGGCCGAGCCCGGAAGTACCATGGCCATGTCCGACTCATCGAAAAAGGTACGTTTTGGCGAGTACTAAAGAAAAAAGAAAAAAAAAAGGGAGGTTTAGATTAGGAAATAATAAGAAAAAATTCACCTTATTATGAAAGAGTCTGTAAAGATTGTCGATTGGGATTAGAGCAGAGTGTTCCGCCCACCAAAATAAAACATACCAAGTCATCGTCACAACCGCGTACGCGTGTAATATTATCAATCGAATACGCGTCGTGTAGTATGTGTAAAAACATAGCCTTCCAAATAATTAATTCATACTTGCATTTAACGATGAAATACNAAAAATTTTTAAAAAAATTTCAGATGGTTTTTCCGAGCGGCGTGGTTTCGCATAGCAGCGAGGGCGGCTGCTTCAGCGTCACCGACGAGTGCACGACGGCCAACACCACCAAAGACCATTCAATCCTCCCGGAGGACAAGGCCGGCTGCTCGAAACACTCGTCGAGCTTGTTCAGCAGCTCCCTCAACATAAGCTACTGCAGCGACAGCAACACGTACCAGCACAACACTGCCTCCTCGGTCGAGGTATGTGCTCGAGTAAAGAAAGAGAGGGGAAAAAAAAAAAAAAAAGTATAATGTATGTAATTTTTTTTCTTCTTCCTTTCAAGAGCAAAGAGAGCCAGCCCAAGCAGAGTCGCAAGGAGTTCCGAGTGATGCGCAAAGAGCCGCCCTGGATGGAGGGCATCAAGATGACGCCCGAGCTTATGTACGAGTACCAGTTGACGCCCAAGTCCCTCGAGGAGGTGCTGAAAACCGATCTCGACTTTTTGAACCGCTCGAAGCAGCCGAGCATGGTCAACGACCAGCTCAAACAACTCCTCCTCGATCTCGATGTCGAGGGCTTCACCTCGAAGTTAATACTCGAAGAAACGGGCGCGAGCAATTCCAGCAACAGCAGCGACTTGTCTCAGAGGTACTTATTAACAAATTATTATTTTTTAGGTAAGGAAGCTCACACGTTTCACAATGTTGGACTGTCTGTAGATGGCTGCATTAATTTTTTCACATGTATATATTATGCCGATATATAACAAAAGCTGTAGGTGCAAATTCAATTGCAAAGAAAATCATCAAAATTTTGTTCAAGTGTCGCAGTTAAGGGAAAACAAATTTATCAGCCTTCACGTTTGAAATGTAAATAATAAGTTTTGTAAAAGAATCCGGATTCTTCAAAATTTTCAATCGCCACAAGTATTCAGTTTCCACGTGTAAGTTGGAATTTTTTTAAAACATTGCAGCAACAAACTTCGACGAAACAGCGTGAATATGTCTCGATTATGTGTAACTGCACGTATATATTTGTTACATCCGCCTGAAGGGTTGTCATCGAATAAGTATCATCACTTTTTTTTTTAGATCAGAAGCTACAAATCAGCAAAATACTCAGTCTGGTGCACAAATCTCCGGGTCATGTTAGCACCCAAAGCCAAGAAACCAGACGACCACAACCACGTTAACGCGGCTTCCAAAGATTATCATGACAGTTATCACAAGTGCAATCGTACAAACAATACATACATTGTATTTGCTTGAAGCGCGCGTAAACGGCTATTTCGACTTCTTATTTTTATTATTTCTAACTGGATCAACAAAAGCAATGCTATACCAGTTATTGTAGATATTATTTTTTAAACACTTGTAACATTGATGGAAGCGTAACGCAATGGGCATGCCTCGTGTGTTTTCAACGTAGCAAGAACACGTGCGCACATGTCCGCTACGAGCTATCACGAGTTATGCCCATTGGGAAAGAATATCGATTTTTTTCAAGCTCAGTACATGATTACAGAGAGTAAGAATATATTGTTTTTCGGCTTTAGGTTCAACCTGACTCGAAGACTCATCGACCAGTATTATTTGATCAATTATCATTTATTGTTAAGAAAATTTATTAATGTAATTAATTATTTAGTTGTTTGTTTTTTCCACCCGTATTTAATACAAACGTTTATTTTTGTCTCAACAATCATTAATCTTATTTTACGGCACAATTTATTGTTTTTGTGAGTTTCGTGATGAAATCAACTGTGCTCAATGATAAAGTTGAAATTAAATCTGAACATCGTGACAAAAAAGTTACAATTGAGAATATTACCTGTTTCGCGGGTAAATCATATGCGGATCGCTTATCATCCAATTATTGTTATACTAATTAGTATAATGAAGTTGTTACGGAGAGTCCAAATTAGTGTAACTGCGTCCTATGGAATTATTTACATTGTACACTGTATACAGTTACATACAAATAAAACAAGTGTTTTAGAATACGCACACACACTGTCAAGTGTTCAATGACATAGTAATTTATTGATTTTTGTGAAATACTATTAATAGTACGACGAAAACTGGTGGTCGTTGAAAGCATAGTGATGAAAAAAAAGGGTTAATTCTACAAAAGTGTCGATCTTTTTATTTACAGTTCGAGTAGAATGGGTGCTTGGTGAGACGGGGATTAATCCTGGTCATGAGAAGGTGATCTTATGACAAAATAGTGAATATCATAATATGTGATTATCAAGCCAGACTAAGTTTCGAAAATATGCGTGATCCGGATTAAGCATGCCACAAGTGCGAAATCATCATTTTTAGTTGTCAAGACTTACTTTAATAGAGAAAAAGAAAACCATTTATAATATGATAAATGAATGAACAATGTTTAGTGATCGTATATTTTAAGATTTGCCTTAATGACCCATATGATTCGAGTTCTCATTACATCCAAACAAACATCGATCGAGTGAATCAGCGTGACAGTAGGTTTTTATTGCAAACGCATAGAGACTATAAGATGATACACGATTAACGAGAATAGAATCAGCCTTGTTGTAAAAAAAAAAAAAACCGAAAAGTGATAAATCTACAAAAATAGGTATGTGATTTTATTTTTGTTGTATTACAAGTATATAGGCATGCGACGCCTCCCCCCAATCTTCAATTGAAAGAGACCACTTTTTTCTTCTAAGATTAATTAAGTTAACGAAGAAGGTTCATCTAATAGTAATGATGAGAATGACAAAATGAAAAATATTATAAGTACAGTTATTTTCTTAACCTATTGACTGTTTATCATTAGTATGTTGTGTAATTGTTGATTGTAAATTTTACATAAATATATATAAGTATGTGCACGTGCACAATAACGATTTTATTTTTTGAAAGTTATAGGGAAGAATACTAAAAATATCCCATTACTTAAGTCTGTCAAATCTGTGGATCATCAAAAAAATATTCGACACATTGGAAGTAATGGAAATCAAACATTTGTTTTTTGTTTTGTATTCTTCCCTATTAAATAAACAGTATAAACGTAAACTTACATCACCCAATCTGGTGACACTGATGCTTAATGGTGGACTGTATGTTTTCCAAAGAGCACCGAAGCGACTTAATTTATCACTATTATGTAATGGTACGTTCTGCAGATATTTTGTTATTTTTGCATCATATTTTATATAAGCCATTGAATAATAATCGCTGTGAAAAATGAAAGGACTGACCTGTCAACTGCCAGATTTTTTTTTCTTGCTTAAAAGGTACCTATGTATTGATCAACAATAGCATCACGTGACCCATTTTTTATTAACGAGAAAACGACATTTTCAATCATCATTTTCAGTATTTCATGTTCGATGGCAATTATTTCAGTGTCGCACATTAAAATTTTTCAACAAGTTATATTCGTAAGCCTTTGATATTTTTAGATTTTTAAGTAAATTTATTCGTATGGACGTGATTGTTGCAAATTATATTTACATATGCCTAGTATCTAATCCATATTTTCCACGTCGATGGTAAATTGTTTACAACATTTCAATCAACTCTTATCAATTTTCAAATTTTTTGTCAACGTTAAAAGTACGCTGATACCAACTAAAAATTATGAAATATTTTCACATGTACCACTTGGAGCTACTTAAAGCGCTCCATAAGCATCATCATGTCTAGTTACAAATTTTACATGGGTAACGTGTATGTAATGGGACTTGAGGAGCGTTCGTACGACAGAAGTTCCGACAAATCCTAAGACATGAACAAACAAGTCCAATTAAAGTCAAATATTCAAATTACACCTTGATTTTTTTTGGGGTAAAGCGTGTTTTGGTGTATAAGATTACGTACTACAATTTGAATTTCTTCTTTCTCTTATTTATCAATTTCAATCTCTCATTAAGTTTATCCGAATTTTTAAATTTTATATTATGCAACCGAGTATTTTTGTATGAATTAATTATCGAAAAGAGAGAAACGAATTAATAATTTGTTATAGATTATGAATTTAATTCAACTCGTGTGTATAATTTATTTGTGCGTGTGTTTGAATGAAAGCGTAATGCGCCTTTGCAATAGTCATTACATTACATTCGGATGAATCGGATAACACGCTTTACCATAAAGGGAAAAAAAAAAAAAAAAAAAAAAATTGAATTTGGAAATAATTTTAATCAAACTTCTCGAAAATAAAATTGATATCAAGAGTAGGGTTGAGTTTGAAATTGTGCCAGTTCAAATAATGTGCATACTTTTATAGGTCTGAACGTATAAAAAATTAAGAGATAAGAGTATATTTGTATAAAGCGTTAATAAAAACATACATAAATGCAGCAAAGAAGTTGTGTTTCCTTGAAAAATATGTAAAAACCGTTATTAGGTTTCAAAGATTATTTATTCTAATATTTATAAAGATATGAACGAGAAAAGTTTCATAACATGAGCTCTCAACTAATTAGACTAACCAATTTCAATAAAAATTGAAATGACAAGAAATTCGCCAGAATCCCGTGTGATTTAAAAATAAAAATTGTCTATTATATCATAAAAACCAGATTTTAAGATAAAGTTCAATATGGGTATAAGTTTAAGTGAGTAAAGACTAAAAAATAATTCAAGGTGAACATTTTTCGCCAATGAAATTATCATTGGAATATTCGTTGCGAGAAATATGCCCAGAAACTATTATTTTCATTTTATAGAAGATGTCATGGCTTAATAATTTTTGTAAAACTAAATAATTTCTCAGGTACAATCTTCCTTCAAATTACTATGAGTTTAGTGAATACCGTTGATTTAATAGTTTTATAATTAGTCTTAAGATTACAATTAAGTTTTCTACGCATGTATTTAATAAGTATGTATCTCTATTTCAATCACAAATGCTTAGTAAGTAATTTTACGTGAAAAAACTTAATTACTATCTAAAGTAATTGTGTACGTATGTATGATTTGTGTATTACTAAGTTATGTAAAATTTAATGTTTGATTAAGACGTTTCTTTACCATACTTAAAATTTTGGATGGAATTTTTGCACGTGAACTTTCCATGTCCTTTGTGAATTATGTGCACTTTTCATGAAAAGCGTACACTGTGTAATATTTTGCAAAAATAAATTTTATGTACTTCACATTACAGATTCACACAGCCATTTTTTAAAAACAATTACTTGTATGTGAAATTGTTTTTGGTTTGACTGACACAAAATTTGTTTACATTTATATGAAATAAAAATAAAAATGTAGCATTAAAATTGCGTATTTTTTTTTTCCCAACTTTCAACTGCTTGAAAAAAAAAAATTCATTTGACTGTACACGTATAGAATAGCATTTTTAAGGTAAAAGGTAAATGACAGACCAAGCTATTTTCATGATCCTTAGACACTGTAAACATTTATTACGTCATTCAAGTACAACTGAACACCGATGGGTGGTTAAAATTATTATTGCTGCTGCAGCTTTCTTTAATATAATAATTATTTAATTGCTCATCTAGTATGTATATTTCCCTCAAATCGCAACAGCTTCAATAACACCATAAATATTCTCATTACAATCACATATGTCCAAGATTTTTTGTTTTCTTTTAAAAAATAATGCCTTAACGAATACTTGGAGTTAAATATTATAAAATAATTTTCACAAATACTACATACTTGTGTAATTTTTTACAACCCATTTCCCTATCAAATAAAAAATTGTTTTTAATATACACATGTTTTAAAAATTTGTCTTTGTCGCATAAACCTTAAAATATTAATAAAAAGCTCTTGAATAATGGTGTATTAAAATAGATATATCTATACAGACAATGTCGACTATGCAACAAAAACTGAGCTTTCATAAAAATAATGTAAAGAAATGAACTATATAAAAAACAATTAAAACCATAAAAATATTCGTTTAGGACACGAGACGAAGTAACATTTGTTAACGATTTATAAAAATCTGATTTTCAGAATTAAAACAAACAAAAAAAGAACCCCCACTTTTTCTAGTGTTCGAGATTAAGGTCATTTTAGAATTTATAAGCATATTTTAAATAAGTATAATACAATATAAAGCAAGTGTTATCGAATATGGAATAGAATAAACATTTTGCTACTACATTACTTTACACACACACTCGCATAATTTACATGATATACTTAAAATTACGTATTACTATAGTCATAGCGCAGTCTGGTGACAGGAATCAATGCTTTTGAATTGGTATTAATGTTGATGTTCCTTTGCGGATTTATAATTAGCCCAATAAGCCAGAACGTACTTAAACACGTAGGTATTTTTTTCTTATATACTGTTTTCTGTACATTATCTTACACTTTATTTGATACATCACTACCTTGACGATGTGTTTCGAAAACAATTCCCATCTTTTATTTTCACGAAAATAAATTTTTTTTTTTTTTTTCTTACTCTTCGAAATTTAGCAACGAAAAATAGGTGAAAAAAAATAAAGGGCAATTGCACGCGAGATCATTAACTCGTGAGTAAGTGAGTGCGTGTTTGGAAAATAAAAATAATTGTGGGTGCAATCGATAATGGAACACGCGGAAAATACTTGAGAAATGTGGTACATTGCGGGCGAGCGTGAATAAAAGATGTATAATTATGACATTTTAATTTTTGTTGAGTCATACGTTAAAAGTACGCACAAAAATTTTAAAATTTTTAATTAAAAAATATTTACGTACCAGTGCACTGAGAGTAGAACTATCAAATTTCCAAATACAACTCAAAGAGACAGAGAGAGAGAGAGAGAGTAAAATTTGAAAACAAAAAATCATAAAATACTTGATAGGATTCTTGACCAAAATGAATCAACCAATATGGTACATACAACGTATTTTCAACCATAAGTAATGCATATTACATGTGTGTTTTTAATCATTTACACGAGTACATGAGAGTTTCATGAGCATATCTCGAAATCGATAAGAGATGTATATGTTTGATTATATAGTTTTATAACATATTATGAAGAATACCATTAATTTTTAGGCACATCAGGATGACGAAAAAGTGTTACATGTGGTTGTCTTTTGTGGTCACTTATGCCTCATAATTACATTTAATTAAATATACCCGCTTTTTTTTACAATTATCGTTTGACGATAGTCATTAATTTTTGGTTGCTGTTGGAAAGTTTTTCTTTGAAAATCTAAAGCAGATATCGATTTCATCAAATATCTTTCGACTCGAAAATGAAAAAAAAGGGATTATTTATGTTAAAGACGGGTATGATAGTAGAAACAAAATGCGTACATTCAAATGAGATAAAATATTGCGATAAAACATCCTTTTTACAGCAAAAGAAATTTAAAGGATCGAATTAAATATCTGGAAAAACTAAAGGTTATCGCTTGACAGTTTTTTCTAAAACACCACTTTTTCTTGCTAATTTTCACTGTAACAACAAGGATACAAAGTCTATATTTATACAGTTTATTTAGAATATATTATTTAATGTCCTTTATTATCATATCTCGCATACCTACACACTACCCTATCGAAAAGATTTCTCAATCAGCTACGTGTTACCATCATTTTTTTTTTTCATCTTTACATACAACAGATACTTTTTAAGCAATTGCGGAATTTCGCGACCCCATTCGTAAGTATACTTTTTAATTGATATATAGACACACCTTCCGTGTAAAGGACTCGGTAAAAGGTGTAGGTTGACTATGCATACTTTTAGAGCAGAGCTATGTATTTACCTACTTCGACTGACATTGTATCTGGCCCAGGTAATATTTCGAAATCGTATGATATATCGAGTTAAGTACTGTTCCAAAATAAGATCTGGATCAAATATGTAATGTCAGTTGATTGTACTGAAGTTAAGTCGGAAGTTTCACACGTAACTGATTTTCTACCGTGAACACAATAGATTTTTCTTTCATTTCACGTGAATGTGAATTTAAGAGTGATTTTCATTTTTTAAGCAGAATATTCACTTGTTATTCTCTATCTTATAATTATTACTGTTATTTTTTTATTATTGTTTTATATTATTACCATCAGTGTTTTCAATAACCGTATTTGATTATAAAGTGAACATCTTACTTGTGAAGATTTAATTTTTAGAGTTTTTATACTTTTTACCGCTGCAATCTCGTTATTTACGTTAAATTTATAATAAAATAATTTGCAAAGATGAGTGTTATTGTACTTCATCCATGCAGATTCAGTCTTTTTTACTAAAAATAGATATTTAAAAAAGATAACGGAATATTCAGCGACGTTAGGGCGAAATAAATATAAAGTTTATTCCATATAGAAGAGGATGGCAGTAAAACGGGGTTCTGTCATTTTGCTGCAAAGTATGAAAATCAATAATAATAGTAACAATAATATTCAGTAATGAGGATGATACGGATGATTTTAGATGACCTCAAAAATGTTTGTAGAAGCGAGTGTCGATATTAACTTATGTTACATTTAGGAACTGGAAAAAATTGGACAAGAGCACATTTTTTGTTTTTCTATAAGGTTACGAGCAAATTTTCAACGCCTATATTTACCGCAACTATTCATTTTGTCTTAGACTTGAACATTTTAAAGCTAACTGATTCAATTATGTCAGCTGCCTTGTTTAATTTATTTAATTCCGACAGTTTTTGGTCTTTCAAAGTAACGATAGCACTAGTGGTAAAACTAATTTTTCGAAAATATTTTACGATCGGCTGTATTTTCATCAAACGATAAAAGATAAATAAAACTGTCATGATACCTTGCACACGTGCCGATTTCTTTCGTCCTTTGCTGTATCGTCGAAACTACACGGCAGTATTATAAATGGCAGCCCTATCATTGGTTGTCGTTAAAATTTCTTTACATAAGTGAAGCGAATCACAGAAAACTTGGTTGATTTATTTTTATGAACCTCTATCCTTTTTTTCCTTTAACGATTTATGTTCCAACGTCTCTTCAAACAGACATAATGCTTTGTGAACAAATTCATATTGTTCAGCAGTCTGTATCATACCTCCACGATCATATCTAGAAGAAAAAAAATATATATGTGTATATGAAATTGAAGGATTACATGTTCCGGACAAACAAGACTCGAAGTAATGATTCTAATTCGGGATACGCACCTCATTTGGCACAAAATTCCGAGAATATCCACACTGCCCTCGCGCACCAATTGTGTCATTCCAGTAGCAAGAGCGATAAAGCAACCAGTTCTGCCGATTCCCGCACTACAGTGCACGATTATTGGTCCACGTAATGTATTAATTTCTGCGGCCAAGCCAACCAATGCGTCCGACGATTCTGGGACAGCATGGTCTGGCCACGAATCGTACCTTTTCAAATAAGATTGATGTTACAAAGTCATCTCATCATTCCTCGATTGGTAAAATTTAATTCATTGTTGTCGGCTTACCAGTAGTGCTGGATGGTTCGCCTCTCGTTTTCGTGGCGAACCTCGAGATCACGAACAATGTAGCCTCCTCTGGTATCTATCGAGTTGAGTATTATTGTAAATGGTCCGGCCTGTAATCGTGAGTTTATTTCGAGCGGGAAATACGCCTCGCACTTTGTTTTAGCCTCCTCGTGTAGTCTCGTAATCATAACGATAACCGGAGTCCTCTCCGACCAAGCCATACTCCAAAAGTCCTGTATAGTATGCGATAAGGGTCCCTGTGTCGCGATGTAACGAGTATCATCGTCGTAGCCCTATAAATAAACAAGAGTCGATCCAAATGATTGTTGTATTGTTCTGTATATCGTTGCGCAACCAATTATGATCAGTTATAACTCACTCTAACGTAATTGGCATTGATGTAACTAGCGAGCGGATCGTCACTTCCGGGCAGCACGACTCGAGATCGCGGGTTTGGTAAAACCGAGCAGTACCGATTTTTCGTGCCAGAGCCGCAAATGTCAACTTCCTCGGGATAGTTGGGCGGCACTTCCCAAAATTCCTTGTGAAGGGAATTTGGATCTCCAATGGCTTTTCTGAGCTGAACCCTAGAGAGGACGTTGCCCGTGCTCAGCAGGTACTCTTCAGCCGTGAATTCGCGCGTCGGCGTCACAATGTTCGGCAGGCTCTCCGTTGTCGGGCCCAACTCGATTGTGAGACTTGCGCTCGAACCGCGTCTCTCCAACAAGTTTTTACCGCGACGCTGATGGTCGGGCTTGCGCTCGGGAGTCGCGATTGCCGAGACGTGTGGCGAGTACATGGACAGCGTGCGTCGATTGCCGAGATCTCGCCGAGGCGAACGTATTTTCCTTGTGCTCGTTGACACGTTCGATGAACTCGACGAGCTTGATGCCATCGACATTTTGAATACTGTCGCCATTGTCGAACTTGTGGTTGTCGTCGTCGTTGACGACGAGGTGCTTGCGCTTTCAGTTATCGTCTCTGAACTCGTAGATTCCAAGCAGGAAGTCGGTGGATTCGAAACCAATTCCGGAACGCATTGCCTCTCCGATTTCACTTTGACCCTTTCGAACTACGTTTAAAAGTAAAAAGACAGTACCGAGAATTAGAATTTTTATTTATTATTTTTTATTTTTTTATAAAAATGAAATATTCCAATAGTACAAATATTAAAATATAAATATTTTACCAGGGCACTGAATGCTTCAGAAGTAATGACTGTTTGTGTGGTTTCTGCTGCTGCTGCTGTTTCTACAGTCACTGATTTTTTTGTTACTGCCGAGGCTGCTGGGATTTCTGAGTCTGGTTCAGCCACCCACTTCACCTCGGACAGAGCTTTTGCATTTGAATTCTTTTTTGAATCATCTGGTGGACAGACTCTACCTTCCTCCACCAAACCGCGTCTGTCACCTTCTTCCGCGTCCTTCTCACGCGACATTTGCTGTCGCAGCCATATCAAAATCTGAAATTTTTGAAAAACCACTTGAAAAAAACTAACAAAAGCCAACAAAATAGTCCACTTGTCGAGGATCGAGTGTTACAGTTTGTATCACGAAAACAAATGAAAACTGTCACAATTTGTTTTTGTTTTTTGCGCATTTCCAATGAATATATGTTAGATAAAGGATCCAACTGGTGTATTACTAAAACATTGCAACAATATAAGGAGGGTGATCCAATGAGGGTGAAAGGGTTTTAATATGCGTATTAGTACGAGTATATTAAGATGAGTAACATTATTACCAGAAAAGCAAAGAGAACAGCACCAGCAATGGTACAAAGAGCTATAAAGACAGGCAGTTCTTTTCCCAGCCCCGCCGGAGTCGCGGCAGAGTCGAACTCCCGACTGGTATGGGCACTAAATTGCGCCACACGCAAATCCATTCCAGCATCGTCCAGTCCCGTTGTGGACCGCCAGAGTCTGTCGGTTAATTAAATAAAAAAAAAAAAAAAAAAATAGTAATAATAATAATGATGATACAAAACAAAGGACAAAAACAACGGTGAGTCAGATTATTATGAGTTAAGTACATAATATTATGTGGCGCACTCGTGATATTTAAAAGCCCTCGGCACGCAACACTCGCAGATATGCCAAAATAAAAACAAGTAAGATAGGTACCTAGGTACAATTGTTGGAAACAGCTGTGTATATACGTACGTCAAAACAAATAACAAGACGGTAAACAAACAAACAAACAAACAAACAAACAAAAAAGTGAAGAAGATAAAAATAAGACAAGTTAAGTAAGTACAGACTGCAAGAGAGACGATATGTACAAAAAAACAAAAAAAAAAAAAAAAAAATCGGCAAAGTCCGAATAAGTATACATTGCTGAGTGCCTTACTTATGGTTAAAGCTCGCTGACATGCCCTCTCGAGCGACTGATTGCACGCAATCGTCGTCAGGGTTATTTTGGCTGGGCCAGATATTCTGCTCCAGGCCTAATTCGGGCAGGTGATGAGCGGAGGACGATCGAGTTGTACTGGAGTTGCGACGTGCCGGTCGCGCATGTTGCCGATGGTACCGGTACCGATCGACACTCGTACAATAGTAGTAGTAGCAGTAGACAGCTACAGCTTGTGGAGCTTCCTCCCAACTCTCCCAAGTCCCTGAAAGAACAACACACCATGAAATTTCGAGTCAGACTGTCAGAGACACAAGAATCTCGTTATGAGGGAATTTAAGTATATACTAGTATGGTGCGTGGTGCTGCTCTGCTCTGTAAAATGTAAATGCGTGTATAAATCATATATGTATATATCACCACACACTAAACAGCCGCATGACGCATGACATCACCGGCTAATTTAACTCTGCATGCATAAAGTCTCTCTGCATCTGCAGTGTGTAATTGTGTATCTGTGCATGTGTAAGATAATCACAAATGTACCCAGTTACACACTGTACTCTGTATCTGTACACAGTGCTACAGTTATACACGGGTTAAGTACACCTGTTGACCTGTATCGGCTGTATCGTTATCGTGTTGTTATCTTCATACTAAGTATATGTACACAACTACACATACGAGTATCTATGTTTATAGACAAGAAATTTAAATAGTATTTGAGTGTACAGTATACAGTAGCAGATAGTATGATTATAAATAATTGTATTAGGTGCGTGAGTTCATTATCTCTTATTCTCTTCTCTTTGCTCATTCACAAGTACTTATAAGTAAATGATTATGTGTATTTTACGTGCACTTTCTAAGTGAAGCACGTGTCTATACCATATCTAATAGATTACAACACACTTACTAGTATAGTGCTCATTCATAGCTATAATTTTTAGTATATTATAGGGATAAATGACCCAATTACTGCGCACTCGACGGTAACTGAAAATAAGAAAAACAGACTGAAAAATTTGGGTGCTTGGATAGTGTAACACGTACGGACATTAATAACGTTCAATCCAGAATCATACTTTATATCATGACATTTATAATTGTTTAACTGAGTGACTCTAAACGAATCTAACCTACAAAACTTTGTAGTCGTGCGTAGTGATTGGTGCGCAGCAATTGGGTCTAGGGCTTCAGCATGAAAACCTTATGAGAGATACCCGCGCAGTAATTGGGGGCGTAGCGACTGGTGCTAATTTTGTAACCGTGCGCAGTAATACCAGCAAGTGATATCAGCACTAACAATTATTAAAAAAATAAAATAAAAAAAAGTCACTTAACAGAAAAATGTTTGTCGTTTTAATCGCAAAAGATGCTGCAGATAAAGATTAAGTAAAACTGGTTCAATTTACATCGAAAAACATTGACAAATGAGAAATTTAGTACAATCAAAAATTTCAGTGCGCAGTAATTGGGTCATTTGCCCCTAGTATGGATGAAAAAAAAACGATAATTGCCGTGTCGTCTGTGTCAACTATCTTGGTATTGAATGGATTATACTCAAAACCTAGAACTTATAAGCTTAACCTTTTTTTTTTTTTTTTACACCTCGACGTCAGTATGAAACGAGCGGTGAGTTTATTGATGTTTATATTATTATTATTATTGCTATACATATAATTTAGCAAGAGGAGCATCAGGTCTATAATATTGAAAGCCTAATCAATAATAAGTAAGTATAATTGATAGATATAAGATTCAATTGACTGTTCAATAATAGGTACTTCTGATCCCATACTTATTGTACTTGTTTCAGTACAGGTATAATATTTATTATATTCTACATCCCAGAAAATGCAAAAGTTTCGAGATTTTAAGGAAATAAGTAATTACAACTATAAGAAACACAAGGGAACAACTTACAACTATTTCACTGCACACACATGATGAAGGTACGTAAGTGTAATTGTTAGCTTTTACTGTTTCCATTCATGTCATTGACTTGTATGTATAGTCACTCACTCATATAGGTAATTACACTGACACTGATTGAATCGAACACCCGTATGAATAACCGTAGTACTAATCAGGCAAGTCAAGTGTAGGTACATGGATGTCGACACATTTTTCAATCTAGGTATATCATCAAATAAGTATTACAACAATGACCCCACACAACACGCGTCACAGAACTACAGTCGATTCAGCTCTCTCCCATCAATGGCGTTTCCCTTCGACTCTACACAGCCACCAGGGACTTGGAAGACTTTTGACGCAATATCCTCACAAATCCAGAGTATCCGGACACTCGCTTAAGTCTATTATATTAATAAAGCACGCGGGCCAGAAGCGGAGTGTAAAGAGACCCCTAATAATATAAATAAATCTACATCGTCTCGATGCGCGCTCACGGACAGCCGCTGATATGCTGACTGCCTCGAATTGTTGTATGAGTGCGTAACCTACCTAAAATATGTACATGGATTATTCTGTTAAAACTTGCAATGCTCGTCGCGTTTACGCAACACATTGAAAATCTAGTTGAAAATGTAACAGGCGGACAATTGTAAGTGTCGAGATCACAGTGGGACCGAAATTCTCTTGTGTGTGATCCTGTAGAAGTGAGCTGAAATATCAATAAGCTAAGTAAACTCTAAATCTTAATTATCTAACGTTTGTTCGAGAGGCATTTAATAAAAAAATACATTGAATCGCATAAATATACATCTATCCATATAATATGTTAGAATGAAAATATATACGTCAATGCTGGACGGTAGCCATTAGTGCCATTTTCAAGGGTAAGTCGTTATTTTTCGTCGAAAAAATTTGATAGCAAGTATTTCTGGTAAAAAAAAAAAATTACGAAAAGCTTTTTTTGGTTCTGCAATGTTTTTAATCTCCATTACTTTCTTTGTACTCGGCTATACGCAAATATTACTGAGTAGATTGGCGCATTTAATTAAAAATCAGAGATAAAAGCATAAATGCATATGAAGACTTTTATATTTACTTTGGCCCAGGAAGACCATCACGAAATAGGTTCTTTTGAGAAATCAGAAAGAAATGTGAGCCGAGTAAGAGTGATAAACATCGTGAAAAAACAAATTAAAAAAAATGAAAAGTTATTGAACCTCTAGTTTGTTGCAAATTTTAGCGGAATCATCCATACGTAGTGTTCGTAGCTGAATGATTTTTCTGGGCACCAGGTGTCGCTATATCAGCTATCATTCACTGGGGCGTCTGCAGCCTATCACAATCGTCATCACAGAAAATCACGTTATTGAATGGCTGCGGCTACTGAATCGCTGATAAGTAGTACCAGTTCGATTCACCTTTGATGCGCGCAACTGTTGCTGCTCTACCTATACTACTCACTTATTGTGATTGATTTTGTACGAGACGAGCTATTTTCATTCAGCTGTAGGTGCATGTATGTAAGTGTATTACACGTTGCAAGATGCCGATTTCTCACGTATACCTATACTCACGTTATGTAATACATGCTGTGCTTTAGCTGGACATGTACTTTTTATAAATGTATCTTTTTTAGGGTGCTTTTTATTTGTTGTTGTTTTTTTTTTTTTTTTTTTTTTTTTTTTTTTTTTTTTTTTTTTTTTTTTNTCCTAGTCAACCTAAACAAGTACGATGGTTTTTTCGATGTTGTATTTAAAATATAAACAATAATTGTTAATTGAAAAATCCATACACCTTTCTTTCTTATACTCATTTCAGTATTTTAAAAAACATTTATTGTTCAAGGAAATTGTAAGATTATTTACCAACGTTAACGTTAATTGTGTTAGCGTATGTTGCAATAAAATAGAGTTTACGTACTTTTTTTAAATCATACATTTTTATGCACCATCACTTGGAATAAATACCAAATTACTTTTGAAATAAACAAATTATTTTGCAATTAGTTGTATAGGTTGCAGTGTATCATACAGGTTCAAGGTTTTTTTTAAAATATTTTCTGAAAGTTTGGTTTAACATCGTATAAATTTGTTCAAAGCGTGGATTCCCGAAAAACGTGCTAAGCGAGTGTGCAGTGCGAAAAAAACAAAAAACCCTCTCAAGTATTTTTGACTTGCTTCAAAACCAACACAGTCACAATGTAATGCTAATACATTTTAGTCCTTGCAGAGATTTTTCATTGTCAGACACATACTAGACTGAAATTCACCTTTCGTATCCCCCCGCACCCTCCGACTTACGTTGATTTTTCTTTGTCGTGTCAAACGTACAGAGGCACATTAAAATACAAAAAAAAAAAAATTCGTTATCTCGCAAGCATCGAAAAAAGCACTTACACATGTGACACCCCTGAGCCATTAGGGGGGGAGCGACGAGCAACAATAATTAAACTTTTGCATCGAGCGGTGGATCCAATGAAATTTCGAGTGTAGACGCATAAAAAAAATCCATGCACACATATTATATCATATACTTTGTTCATCGAACGGTATAAATGAACCTCGTGACATTGTTAGCGGGAGGGGGGGGGGTGTAAGCAGCTCTGAGTTAGATTTAGATTTATTAGTTTGTGGCATCTTTCATCATCTCGTTGGTATATATATTATTTCTTTGCTGCCGTACATTGAGTTAGCCACCGCGAAACACACTGTAGTTATTATACGTGATCCACATTACCCGAGCATATATATATAGGTATACAATGTAAAATAAGCACACACTGCTGGAACGGGTCGGAGAAGCGCCGATGATGTATCGATGCCGTTGTACACCGGTACTTATAAAACGCGAGCTTTCACACACTTCTCGGCTTCAATTGTATTTTATTATTTTATTTTCGCGTACGTCTGACGATGGACACCCATAGCACTCGTATTGCTTTGGGAAAAAAAAATAGGTTCGCGCCAACGTAATCACGTTGAACAATACAATACTCGTATGAAATGATGCATTAATACATGGGCAAGCGAGAGCTATTTTCAATAAACATGTAAAATATAAATTGTAAGTATATATAGCGTCCCTCGTTGGACGGGCCAACGTGAAAAACTGATGGCTACGATGGCGCGGTATGCCGAGAGAGGAGCTTTTTCATTCACGGACGCCGTTTCCTGTTCCGAATCTCCCCCGCGCCCGTGGGCCGCCTACACTTTTCTCTCTCACTTACGCGCACACGCAACTTTTTTTTTTTTTTCCTGCACATATACATACGCATAGGCGCGTGCGCGCTTTTACAAAAATATAAAGCTTTCGCGTGGGCGTATGTGCACACACGCACATGTATATAAACGCGTGGTCGCCGCTTTTTTCGGTGTTCCTCTACAGATGAGCGTTCGTTGAAATTTACTTGTGGGGGGGGGGTAGGTGTCTGTGTTTACGCGACGCTTTTGGATGTTCTGGCATTGTGCGGATGAGACACATTTTTCTAAAGATATCGACAACGAAACCCGAAAGCTCCTTTTTACCGGTCAACCGGAGCTTTGGGTTGTTTCGTGTATACCTGTATGCGTGCGCCTTTATCGCTTTCACTTGCAGAAGAGGTGGAACGTTAAAATACGTGTCATGTATTTTATTGTTATGAAAAATTGCCGGCGACGGAACGAGGGGGTGCAGAGCCGTGGCAGAGGGGAAAGAGAAAAAAAAGCCGAGCTTTGTATATACACGTATATACTCTTTTATGTACACACATATGTACCTATAGCCAAGTTTCTCGGAGACACGCGTAAAACGTATTAATATATCCAGGCCGTCAGTCACTCGTAGGTGTACATATATGGAGGACGGAGGGGGGGAGAAAAAAAATTAGAAGAGTAAGGCTACTCACGTTTACATGTATATGTGGTACATGTGGCGGCTTTCAAAAAAAAAAAAAAAAAAATCGGCAAAGTCCGAATAAGTATACATTGCTGAGTGCCTTACTTATGGTTAAAGCTCGCTGACATGCCCTCTCGAGCGACTGATTGCACGCAATCGTCGTCAGGGTTATTTTGGCTGGGCCAGATATTCTGCTCCAGGCCTAATNAGAAGAGTAAGGCTACTCACGTTTACATGTATATGTGGTACATGTGGCGGCTTTCAAAAAAAAAAAAAAAAAAAAATCTCTTGTAGTGCTTGCTGAACTGTTTCAAGATCTGCCTGTTCATATATATATGACGAGGCAATCTACAGCCGATTCGTATGAATGAGCAACTCGCTTTTAGACTTGGGCCGTTAATATTTGTGTGCAACGCGGTTTTCTCCTTTTGACGATGATGCCCCTTATTAAAGTGACGAGGCGTGCATGAGACGCGTAAGAATAAACTTTTGCCGATCGGCATTTTATTTCATATTTTTTTTATTTTATTTCATTTTATTTCATTTCTTCAGAAGCAAACAAAAGTACAACAATCGGTAGCATTGTAATGTTAAGGGACTCACCTTTACGCGCGTAAGCGGTGGATTTGCCGAAATGCTTTGACGACACTCGTGTCCAGATCGACCTCTACAGTTGTTCAATTTTGACGACCCACTTTTTCGAACTCCATACGGTACAAATTATTTTTCCCCTGCAAAATATAGCAGAGAAAAAACCAAACCCCCCTGCGTGAGTGTGACAAAAGACTTTTCTTTTTTGAATTTAAGTAAAAAAAAAAAAAAAAACATCGTTACGACCCTCCATGCGGTTACTGTTGCTCGTTGTACACGAGAAGGGGTAACACACGGGTGTATCTCGAGAACTCTGATCTATTATTATCACGGAGAACGGAAAAAAAAAAAAAAAAAAAAAAAAAAAACCACCCCTTGTCGAGGCTTCGGTACACGGGGGCTGTGTAATCGAAATTTGCAGCTTCGCGGAGCATAATACACCCCTTTTTTTTTCACGAGCTCAAATCGCACGTATCGACCCGATCCACTTTTTTTTTTTTTTTTTTTTAACTTTTTTATGTTTTCACTACAACAATCAGCCATCCAGGCGTAAAATAAACATATATGAAGCTGACAGTAGAAGACAAATTACAGCACCGTCAAATAAAAAATTGTACTTGAGATACCCTCAAAACTAAAATAGGTATACCTGGTCCAGTTGCGAGGGTACTCCAAGTACAATTTTTTATTTGACGGTAAGATCACTGCTATAGAATTTGTCCGCTGTAGTTTCAGCCTCTTGTAAAATGTCGATCGCACACTCGTGTACCACCCTACTCTTTTGTTAAAAAATGTAAAAGTTAAAGTATCCAACTATACATGCAAATAAACGATGGACCTACCTGTTGGCCGTGCGTTACATATCATTCGGAGTGACGATGAAGTATCGCTCGGTTCACCAAACACATCACGTACGTCTGAACAATCAAGAGGCTCCGCACAAGTTTCGCGTGACGTGAATTAAAAAAAAAAAAAACATCATTTTTTACACATGTTTACCAGGTACTTTTAAGTACTCCTTTCTTTTTTTTTTTTTTTTTTTTTTTATGTATACAGCAACGCCCGAGTATGCAACATTTGCAAGTGCAACAGCTCGACTCGGCAGCTCGGCACCGAGTGCGGGATCAAAACTACTGGGCTACATCGGGAGAGGAGCCTCTCTGTGCAACACTGCAGAGGCCGATGCTTGGGATAGACCTGAACTTACACATACACGTATCTTTTGCGCGCGTGTGTGCTTTGCCATCACCTTTATATCGCACAGGTAGACCCTTGCAGACTTTCATCCGTGTGTGTGTGTTTTGGGGTTGGGGTTGTAGGGGAGGAGAGAAAGTGCACGCATCTTCCACCCCCTCCGTATATCGCTCCTTCATTTCTGAATGTGCATGCGCTCTGGCCGTGGGGCTGTTCTACGTATACGTGTATACGCGTGTGTGTGTGTGTGTGTGTGTTCTTTCACAAAAACTCCCTTCCCTATTCCCAACCCCCTCCGTGTACTTGATCTCTCTCTCTCTCTCTCGTGACTGTTTCCCCACTCTTCCCTACATCCATTCATATGTATGTGTGTATATAATATATATTATATATGTATTTCCCCTCGCCCCGGCCGTGCACGCGTCCATTGATCGAGTTTGCGATTCAAGTTTCCCCTCCCCACCGTCTTTTTCATTAATGGACGCTGCAGTGTAACAATCGGCCGTGCAAAAGTGCCTGGCACTTCATGGAGCGCGAAGAAACTCCGCCACCCCTGTCGACAATCCCTTGATTCTCTTCTTTGTTTTTCGCTACAACTCGTCCATTTTTTCTTCGACTCGTTATGTCATTCCCCACCCTATACATACGTATGCCGATTTTTAAAACAAGGGCCATCACTTTTGTCCCTCCACGATCTTAATTTTATTACATATGTATATTTATGCGTCTGATCGTTGGTATATATACATATTATGTAAAACAAGTACAGGCGAGTCGTAGGTAAAGCGTATAAAAACATCCCCTATACGGTATGATAAAACACCGCACCCGACCCTGTGTACCTATACACCCTCGACTCGTGGATCGATAATATGTACTTGTGTGCCTTGGTCCCTATATATACGAGTAGTCTGCCATGACGGTCTAGTCGGGCAGTCCACGTTGCACACGCGCTCCGTTTTTCGTCCCCTTTTTTCATCTCGACGGGGCTACACTGTTTTTTTTTTTTTTTTTCCTTTTTCGCGTTGCTTAAGTACCTAGTCGTTTGTCCGAAAGAGCTTTTCGAACATTTAGGGAGTTTTCGTTTCTAAAAGTAAAAAAAAAAAAATAATAATAATAATGATAAACAAATTAAAAGCCACAGTTTCAGAAGTGTATATTTATCGCAAACAATTATATTGTTAGACAATTTTGTGTGAAAATTTGATTCGCGTGGACCAACGGCAATTCGTTAACACAATGGTAATTTTATTTTTCTTAAAACAAAAGACAGGTACTTATGAGAATATGCATCAATGGATACGTGCGTGACTTTTGCTTGGAAAACTGCAAAAGGAGAAGAAATCATGAATGAAAAAGTTGTCTCTCTGGGTGCCAGCCTTACCACCTCCCCCGACCCCGTCTCTCACCCGCTCTCGGTTGATGCGCCCGAGATATACCTATACTTTATCAGTGCAACGAAAAATATTTTTCATTCAACCTTGCACACGCTGTACCACCACGTGTACATTCTTTTCCGACACTTTATCCAATGGTATTATATGTATTTTTATACGAGACTTTACAAGTAAATAAATCCTGTCTCTGTAACATATACGTACTGCAAATACACCCCCAATTGCAAGTACACGTCATATGTAATAATAATAATAGTATATCTGGGTCGAGTGTGGCAGTGTATACATAGGTGTGTTGTAAAACAGTGGAGTAGAGGGTGCGCACGGCGCAAGCGCCCCCCGATACGGGACTACGAGCATCATATCACCGTTTTTTTTTTTTTCCGTT